ACGCTTGGGCTGCTATCCAGCAGTTCAAGGCGGCTGCTGAGGTGGAGAGCGGACAGCGCTTGGAGGTACTGCGCTGCGATGGGGGTGGCGAGTACATCTCCAACGTCATGAAGGACACGGCGCTGAAGGAAGGGTGGCGGTTGGAGATCACAGAGCCAGATGAGCCGCATCAGAACGGCGTTGCTGAGCGTGCTAATCTAACCCTTGCCAATGGCGCTAGCTCGATGCTCTATGAAGCGAAGCTGCCGCCTTCATTCTGGGCCTACGCTATAGCCGCCTACAACCACGTTGCCAACCGCGCTCCTACCTCCGCTCTGCCTGGGGATACCACCCCACACATCGCCTGGACTGGCAAGACGCCGGATGTTGGCTACTTCCGTGTCTTTGGGTGTCTGGCCTACGTCCTGGTGAAGGACAAGCACCGGCGCGCGCTCGAGCCGCACTCTCAGAAGTGCATCTTCTTGGGGTACCCTCCCGGGACCAAGGCCTGGTTGTTCTACAACCCGGCCACCAAGAAGACGGTCATCTCGTCGCATGCGGTGTTTGATGAGCGCTACATGCCGGGGACGTCGCTCAAGAGCCTCAATCTCATCACTGTGGCGATTATAGACCGAGGTGAAGGCCCTCCGGACTTTGGGGATGTTGCTGATCAAGGGGGTGATGTGCCGTCGCCCTCTACCCATCGTCATAGCGCAGATGACGATGGTGTCGCGCTCTATGATGATCAGCCACCTCCCCCATCCGGACCGCCAGCGCCTGCCGCGCCTGCCGCGCCTCAGTTGCGCACACCGCCGCCCACATCGCCGCCAGCACCCTCTACGCCGCTTCAGCAGCCAGCTGAGCCTACCACGCCGCCTAGCGCACATCCGCCGCCGCCCTCTGCGCCCCGCCCGTCTCGCACTGCGCCGCCTAGCAAGGCCACGCTGAGAGGCAGGCAGGAGCGCGCCCTGAGCGCAGTCCGTCCCCTGCTTGGGAGACAGTTTGGCTGTCTACCTCGAGCGGACCGCCACCGTCGCGTCTGCCTCGGGCAACCAAACCGACCCATAGCTTATCCGAGCGCGAATTGACGACTCGCGCTTGGCAAAAGCAGCCTGCGCCGCCTTCTACAGGCCGCGCTACATCGTCTACACCCGCGCCCCAGCCGCAGGTGACGTCCCCTAATCGGTTTGCGCCGTTATCCGGCCAGATTGAGGAGGTGGACGAGGAGGAGGAGGAGCAGGAGGAGCAGAGCGAGCAGGGGGTGCAGGAGGAGCGCAGAGAGCAGGCGCAAGAGGATGATGCGCAGGACAGAGCAGAAGCGAGGCGCAGGATGATGGAGTGGTCAGGGAGTGAGGATGAGCTGCGGATCACTGATGAGACGCCTATCCCAGGAGCGCACGTTATGCAGGCCGGCCTCGACTATGTCTTCAGCGGCATCACCGAGGAGGACTGGTCAGTAGAACAAGCCCTCAACTTCGCCCTCTCGACCACAGTCGCATCCGACGCGCAGCAAGGCAAGCCCAAGACGTTTGCTGAAGCGCTGCTTCGCCCGGACAAGGCCAAGTGGATCGAGGCCGCATTCGACGAGGTGCAGGCGCTGGTCGACAACGGCACGTTCGAGGTGGTCGAGCTGCCGCCCGGCAAGCGCGCTATTGGCAGCCGGTGGGTGTTCAAGGTCAAGCGCAATGCTGATGGGTCTATCGAGCGGTACAAGGCGCGCTGCGTCGCACAGGGCTTCTCGCAGCGCCCCGGCTTCGAGTACACCGAGACGTTCGCCCCTACACCAAAGTGGGCCGCAATCCGCGCTATTCTCGCCCTCGCCGCTATGGACGACCTCGTGCTCTACTCCATCGACATCAGCAACGCGTTCTTGAACGGCGACCTGGCCGAGGAGATCTACATGCGCCAACCGCCCGGCTTCAAGCTCGGTATAGACCCGGACAAGGACTATGTCTGGCGCTTGAAGAAGTCGCTCTATGGGCTGAAGCAGGCGAGTCATGTCTGGCACGAGACGCTGAACAGGGTGCTTGTAGAGATGGGTTTCACGCGCATCCTCTGTGACCACAGCGTGTGGGTGTATGGGCGCGGCGACGCGCGCATCCTCGTGCCCGTCTTTGTGGACGACATGACGATTGGGTGCAAGACTGACGCACAGGCGCTCGGTATCATCGGCGAGCTGAAGAAGCACTTCAAGCTGCGCGAGTTGGGTCCTACCACCTGGCTACTGGGCGTTGCCATTGAGCGCGAGCGCAGCCAGCGCACGCTGTCTCTTTCGCAGCGCCAGTACGCCGTGGATGTCCTCTAGCGGTTTGGCATGGCCGACTGCCACCCGGTCACCACCCCGCTCGATCCCTCGCACAAGCTCAGCGCCGCCGACGCTCCTGTCACGCCGGAGGACATTGAGTTCATGTCTACCCGCGCTAAGGAGTACGCCTCTGCCGTTGGCGCCATCGCCTGGCTCGCCCTTGCCACTCGTCCCAACCTCGCCTACCCGGTTTCTGTCCTCGCTCGCTTCACCGGCAACCCCGGCCGCTCGCACTGGCGCGCGCTCATGCACCTCTTCCGCTATCTCAAGGGCACGCTTGACTACAAGCTGACCTACGACGGCAAGGCGGTGAATGCGCGCTCCGAGCTCTTCTACACCTACACCGATGCGGACCATGGCGGTAACCCGGACAATGGGTGGTCTACCAGCGGCCAGATTGTCATGATGGCAGGTGGAGCAGTCTCCTGGTCGTCTAAGCTGCAGACTATAGTCGCGCTTTCGACCACCGAGGCAGAGTACGTTGCGGCGTGCTCTGCTGGCCAGGAGATCCTCTGGATGCGCAACTTCCTGACCGAGTGTGGCTACTCGGTCAAGAGCGCGCCCTCCACCCTCTACATCGACAACAACTCGGCGCTGCAGGTGGCCAAGAACCCGGAGCATCATGGGCGCATGAAGCACCTGGACCTTGTTGGAGTTGGTGTGCTTGGACCGGCCCAAAGGGGATATTTACCTATAGTCACGTATCACGCTGTCACTTAACCTTGTCTTTGACCGTCATCTTGTGGTCTGTTGTTTGTGTCTGCGCCCTCCCATCTCAACAGGTTATGAGCCCCGCGCTCTAGTCTTTACCCGAAAACCCCCCAGACCTCTCAGAACTCGCTTTTTCCTCCAGAAAAACCCATTCTCTCATTCTCAAAAATTTTCACTCGATCGATCGGTCTTATCTGCACCATCCACCACTCATCATGTCTTCCCTCCCCTCCTATGCTGTCACTATCTTCCAGCAGTCGGAGAAGCTGCGAGGCAAGGCCAACTGGCACTCGTTTGCAGAGGCTTTCATTGACTTCTGCACTGGCGTTGGTGCTGACCACATTGTGGATAACTCTTCGCTCGATTCGTCCAAGAAAGCGCTGGACAACGCCATCGGGTATGTCCTCTCTGGGATGCTGGAGAAGGATGTGAAGGATGGGGTGCCAGGGAAACGTGGTGGCCAGGAGCTGTACAAGGCGCTGAAGGCGAAGTACACTGCCTCGACCAGGGCCCGGCGCGTTGCTGCACGCAAAGCGTTTTACCAATGCTCTCATGACTTCCCCACCCAGTCGCTTGAGCAGTTCATCGTCGAGGTGCGGGCCAAGGCGCAGGTCCTGAAGGATATGGGTATCACCATCTCGGACACCAAGATTCTGGACGTCATCCTCATGAACGTCCACCATGCCTTCATCGCCACTACCACCATCCTCCTCGCGCAGACCACCGAGCCCAAGCTCGACGACGCTATCTCCACCCTGACGTCTTCCCCTGCGCTCAACGTTGACGTCGTCAAGAAGGAGGAGTACTCTCCCAGCCCGCTGCTGGCCGCAAATGCGGCACGAGGGTCGCGTGCACCGCGGCATCCTGATGGTCATCAGGCTGACCTGACTGGAGGATGGGTGGACGACAAGGGCTACCGCTGGTGCAACGTCAACGGTGACGCCTGCCATCGGTGCGGGCGTGCAGGTCATATCGCCGCCTTCTGCATGTACAACATGCCCGAGGCCATCCGGCAGAAGATTTCGGACCGCGCGCATCTCAACGCGAACATGGTCAGTTCGCTCGCGGTCATGGAGGCAGAGGGCGAACACCAGCACCTCGCCCAGTCGGCTTATGGTGTGTACACTATCCCAGCTCGTCGCTCGCCCTCCCCCGCTGCCTCTCGCTCGCCATCCCCGCCGCTGCCGTCTGCCGATGACGCTGACGATGATGCCTTCGACTTTTCCGGTGCCGGTGGATCGTGGGGAGGAGTCTCTAGGCTGTACACGTGATGGTAGGATTTGGCTGGTTAGGTGGGAGTTGCTGGATTAGGTGGGAGTCTCTCTGCGGTCCGGCGCACAGGTGGGAGTGTTGGAGTTGGTGTGCTTGGACCGGCCCAAAGGGGATATTTACCTATAGTCACGTATCACGCTGTCACTTAACCTTGTCTTTGACCGTCATCTTGTGGTCTGTTGTTTGTGTCTGCGCCCTCCCATCTCAACAGACCTGCGCTTCTACTGGCTGCGCGATGAGGTGCATCGCGGCAGCATCCGCCTCGTCCATCTGCAGACAGCGGACATGCCAGCTGACATGATGACCAAGGCCTTGGGTCAGGTCAAACTGCAGCACATGGCAACGCTCTCTGGCCTTGGAGTTGGGCACTAGGACGTGCTCGATCAAGGGGGTGTGTTGGAATTGGTGTCTACGCGCTCTCTAGCGCCTATGGTATTTTTCTGCGATTTTACGGACTTTTTCCCGGTACTGTACGCTTACCTACAGTCTTACTTGTGCGCTCGCGCCTTATTGCCGAGCGCCACATATTTCCTCGGCATTTGCCGGTCCCTCCTGCCTAGAGCGGCACATCCGAGTCTTTTCTCTTCCTGACTCGTTTGCTGTCGCTCTAGGTGCGTAGTTATGCGTTGTATCTCGCTTAATATGATCCTGACTCGTTTGCTGTCGATCTAGTGTGATCACTGGCTCGATTCTGCCTCGGACAGTGCTATGCCGTGTTGTTGCGCGCCTCCTCATGAGCCGGTACAAGATCCCCTTCGAGCCGCCCAATGCCCAGATACGATGCCTTGCGCATGTTGTCAACCTTGTGGTTCAGAAGATCCTCTCTGTCCTCAAAGAGGTTGACTCTGATCCCGACGTTGAGGACTACTATGAACTCTTTCTCAAGCAGTTCCTCATCCACTTCAGCTATGAAGATGATGAGGAACTGCGTGAGTGGGAGGCTGAGGGCGGCAAGGATGGCGAGGATGATGAAGATAAAGAAGTCATTGATATGTCAGTGATCCCGGATGAGGTGGATGCTTGCAAGGATGCCGAAACAGAGGATGAAGTACGAGCCGCTTTTGAGGAGGAGGAGGGAGATGAGGATGATGATGAGAATGAAGAGCTTACAGCGCTTGAGAAGGTGCTCTCTATATTTTTTCCTGGCTACACCTTGCTGACATGACTTTTAGCTTTGCGCAATTAGCAAGAAAATTGTTGGTACACCCCAAAGTCGCATGGCATTTTGGAAGGAGGCCAAGGAAGAGTATGGCAACAAGGTTGTTGGCAAGTCCTTAGTTGCGCGCTTGATGCCCGTCCGCGACATGAAGGTTTGATGGAACACGGTGCAGGGAATGACCGACCGGGGTCTCCTGCTACAGGATGTATGTTTCCCCAATGGATATTGTACATTTTTCTCATCTTCTTCAGGCCATTGACTTGTGGACTTGGTGGTACAGCAAGGGAAAGCATTGCTCCCTTGCGCTCTCTGCTCGAGACTGGGACACAATCAAGATGCTCAACTCGATTCTTCAGGTATGCATGTCCCCTCACTTATCTCTTGCTCTCGAAACAGTACTGACACTATGCTAGATCTTTACACATATCACAAAGATCATGTCACAGAGCAAAACGCCAACACTGCCATGGGCTCTGCTGATGTATGAGCACATGCGCAAGAAGCTCAATGGGCATATCCATGACACCGCACTTCCGCTATACATGCGTGAGGCAGTGGCAGCAGGCTACAAGAAGCTTATGGAGTACTATGACATTGCAAAGAAGTCGCAGTATACTATTCTTGCAACTGGTGAGCACTTTTCCATTTCTCAAAAATGTTGTACTGATTTTCTATTAGTTCTTCATCCTTCTTTGCGTGCTGAATGGTTCCGCAACCTTGGCGAGGATGTGTACCAGCAGACAGCTGCGCTCCTTCATCATGTATATGATGTCTACGCCACAGAGCATGCTCCTGCATCTGCTCAGCCTCCTCCTCCACCGGATGCTGCACAGGATGAGATTGACGACTTCCTTGCCAGCATCTCAGCATGTCCTGCGCCACCACCTGTGCAGCGCCCTAAACAGCGATCAGAGGTTGAGCGCTGGCTTGCTGGAGATGGGGGTCCAGGAGATCGTCAGTCCCCATTGGCATGGTGGAAGGTATGATTTAACTATTTCTTTGTTTTATTTCCCATCGCTCATTTGATATAGGAACATGCACATGAGTTCCCAATCCTTGCACGTATGGCTAGGGATTACTTGGCGATCCCAGGTACATCTGTCTTGGTGGAGTGTCTCTTCTCCAAGTCCTGTCATGTTTGCCGGGACACGCGCTCATCCTTTCATGCGGTCACAATTACCCAGCTGGTATGCTCAAAGAAGTGGCTCGAAGATGAGCGCTTATGGTATGAGGTTGTTGAAGGGCGAAAGAGCAGCAAGCCCAGTACGTAGAGTAACCAGGTATACTGGGTAATTACTGAGTAGTACTGTACCTACCTGTATGGAAGCAACTGACCGTGGGCTGTGACAGACCGCAAGCCAGCAACCGGGCGGGGTGGCGCCGTGACAGGGTGCAGGACATGCAACTAGGCTATTATTTTGTATACATAACACAGCAATGATAAGCTACGGTAGCCCAGTGGTTAACGGCGCCTGTTTGCCATATTTTTTGTCCTTCTAATCTGAGTAAGGTCAAGCTTCGAATCCGGCGAGCCTGGCGCAGATCGACTTGCTGTCTGATACCGATCTGCCCGACTTTGTGCTCGTCCGTCACCGGTCTCTTCAACAACAACAACAACGAACCTCACGATGCCTCCAAAAACTCGTAAGAATGTGCCGAAGAAGGACACTGGACCAACACAGGCTCTCATGTCTCGCATCGAACATCTCAAAGACTTACTCAAGAACCTCCCAGACTCGCTCCCCATTGCAGACAAAAAAAGCACTTATCAATTTGGTCTGGACTACGACAAACTCGAAGACCGTGGCCCCCTGGGCTCCTTCTCGCACAACATGGAGATCTGCTTCAAGACTGCTCGTGGTCAACAACTGCAGATAACCGAACGCGGCCCGCGCTTGCACGACGGCCTGATCAATGTGATGAAGGATGCTGTTGGGCTCATGTCAGAGAAGGATAGGGAAGTTCTCCAGAGCGCTTGGCTGGAAAGGATAATTGACGCGGCAGTTCGCGCGGGCGGTGTGAGCTCGAAGATGAAGGAGGGAAAGCGGCGGCGGCAGAGCACTGTGTCAGGGAACAAAAAGGCCAGGGCTCCCAAGCGGAAGAAGAGCACGCCAGACGTGATCATCGTCAGCGACAATGACAGTGACCGCAGCATAGATGGACGAGCCAGCTCCCCACCTCCACCAACAAGCTCTCCATGCCCATCAACTGCCGCTGGTCCATCATCGATCGCACCCTTCCCCTCGCCTCCTCCCCCTTCCACGCACCGCACGTCTCCCACTCCGAGCTCACCGAGTCCCCCGCCAGCACTTCCTGGACCGAAGGCAACCGTCATTCAGCCACCACCACTGCAGAAGACGCTGAAGCAGATGACCATTCAGTTCCCGCGGTATGCGTCACTTTCGCAGGCGGAGAAGGACGCGATCAAGGCGAGAAACAAGCGTGAAGCGCAGGAGAAGGAGAAGGAGATGCTAGCGATGGAGGAGCAGAAGAAGGTTGACACGTTGAAGAAGAAGGAGCGGGAGCGGGAGCTGGCACGGCTGCGTAAGCAGCGCGAGAGAGCGCGGAAGCGGGAGGCGAAGGAGGCCAGGTCAGACAAGGCGGAGGTCAACAAGGTCACGGACCACCTCATGCGTGGTGCAGCGGCAGTGAATCATGTTGTTGGGATTGCCGACAAGGCAACGGTTTCTTGTCTGGAGGCGCAGCAGTGGAGGGCCGAGCGGAACGGCGTGCTCGGAGGCACCCAGCACGCGAAGGCGGTCAGAACCAACTGGTTCCACCCCTTCCTCTGGCCCTTCATCGATGCTACCATGCGGCACGTCCTTTTCAGTGCATCCAAATGCGAGAAGGTCCTCAAGCGCGAACACCCGGAGCTCTATGCTGGCGTGAACCCGGATGGAAGTATCGCCCTGAACCGTGGACTTGACAAGGGTACTATCCAACGGTGGAAGGCAGGGCGGGGGTCGTTCGAGTGGTCTCCGACAACACTGGAGAACGTCAAGAGGGCAAGAGTTGCGGCGGCGAAGGGGCGTGCTGGTGTGCTGGGAAGACATCAAGAGCTCGTCGATAAGATCAAGCAGATGCTACGTGATCTTTGCACGTCCGGCCTTGTCGTCAACGTAGCAATCGCCCGTCCCGTCATGGTCGCTCTCATCCAGGCTCACAATGCCTCAATCCTCGCCAACGAGGCGCACTTCCGCTGCTCCGAGCACTATGTCCGCAACTTCCTCCAGAGCGTCATGGGCTACAGCTTGCGAAAGGCCACTCAGGCGGCGGCTCACATTCCACCCGATGCGGACGTGCTTTGCGAGCGATGTGTCTTCCGCATTGTCTACTTGATGAAGTGGTACAACATTCCGCTGGAGCTATTGATCAACATCAACCAGCTGGGCAACTACGTCCTGCCGAACAACAGCTTCACCTATGCCGAGATTGGGGCTAAACAGGTCAATGCTGTGGGAAAGGATGAGAAGCACGCATACACCCTCTGTGTAGGCAGCACCGCGGCCGGAGGATTCCTCCCCTTCCAGCAGATCTTTGGCGGCATGACTGATCGCTCGCAACCGGCCGAGGACGCTCCTGGCATGGACAAAGCTCTGGCGTACGGCATGCACTTTACGTTCGCCCAAAGCGAGACCAGCCCTCGCAGTCACTACAGCATGCAAAAGACGATGAAGGAGCTACTTGACCACATCGTGATGCCGTATGTCAACTCCACCATCGAGAGCATGTCCCTCCGCCCCAACCAGAAGTTCATCCTCCTTATTGACGCGTACCCGGTCCATACGAGTGAGGAGTTCCGCTTCACCGTTTGCACGTACGGCAACTTGCTGCTCTGCTACGTGCCGAACAGCTGTACAGGCATCATTCAGCCTGCGGATGTCAGTCTACAGCGGCCTGTGAAGCACGTGCTGAAGCAGGCGATGTTCGACTATCTCACCGCCGAGCATCAGGCTCAGATCGCTGCGGGAGTCGAGCCGAAGGACTTCAAGATGATTACATCCTACCCTACACTTCGGAATGCCTCTGTTGCAGCGTTAAACCGCGCCTACGAGTTTGGAACGAGTCTGACCGGACGGGATCTAGTTCGACAGGTGAGGCACATCGAATGACTTAGTGGTCGCTTCTTGCTGACATCCCGCGCAGGCCTGGCAAAAATCTGGTCCGCCTGGCAAGCCCCACCTCTCACTGTCACCTGAATGGCTCAAAAGCGAAGAAGCGCACGCTGCTTTGGACGAATACCTGCAGAACAATCCCACGCTCTATGAAGAGATTCGCAACCGCGTTGGCCACGTCTATGGCTCATTCAACGCAGCCGAGCACGAGCCGGACCCTGCCGCACCAGACGATTCAGACATCCCGCTCTCGAACATCATTCACGACATGTTTGGAGAAGATGTCAATGTTTCTGATGTCGAGATTTGGTACGGGACCCCTCTCACAGTTGCTGAATGCCAGAAAGGGACCACTGAAGGGCTCGGACTGGAGGCAGCAGGAGTCGAGGAGGATATATTGATGTTCGGTGACAATGGGGAGTGCTACAGCGCTCGGAACCTTCCTGTACATAGCTGAGAGGCTGCCACAGTTTATTACGATTTTTCGGCGATTTTTTGTGGATTTTTGGCAGTCACGCCCCGCCGAGAGGCAACTGGAGTGTCGTGACCAGTGGCCTACGCAACGCAACCGGGCCACCGTGACCATGACGGTTGCTTCCATACAGGTAGGTACAGTGACTGAATACTACCGAGTACCAGGTAAATACTCGAAAGTTGTACTTGGAATGGAATTGGTTGGAGCCTTACTAGTAGTAGGTACCCTGTACAGTAGTCACCTAACTGATATGGCTATGGTTGTCTGACTGCTAGTAATTGCTCCATACTGCTGTGTTTCCCCCATTTTGATTGTGATTTTCTTAGCCTAGGCATATCAGTTGTTGTCCCACACGTAACCGGCGGGACTGCGTGGCATGGCAAAATTAACGAGCCTAACACAATCCTTCTCAAGGAGAATGACTCCACAGCTCCCTCCTACGTTCACAGGAACCCACACGTGCAGCATACAGTCACCACAACTCAGCTTGCCCATTTATGTGCCAAATGAATGGTTGAGCCAATGCAAACATGCAAGAAGAGGACTATATAGATAGGTATGTAGCTGTATGCACAAACAGGTATGCTAGTAGGGTGCCAAAGGAGGAATGTGTTGTGTAACATGCTGAAGAGATAAAGTACAAAGGTATGTATGGCGGGGAAAGCCCCTCAGGCTGGACACTAGAGCGAAGGATCACGGTGCTGACTCAATGGACAACAACAGCTAGTACGACCTTAGCGCAGAAGCCGGCCATAGTCCAAGCGACTCCGGTCCAAGCCAAGCCCTTCGCGCTCGCTTTCGCTTCGTTTCGGGAAAGCATTCCAGAAGCGCAGAGTCTCGTCGCCCGCGCCGGTCACGATAGTTTCGCCATCGGGCGACATCGCCAGATAGAGCACGCTGTCGATGGTCAGCATGCGTGAAGGAGCCATAGGGAAGGAATGACGCTGCGAGGAATGGAGGACGTACCGGTTCATGTGGCCAGTCAAACTCGCAACCATCTCCAGGCTCGGATACTTCCAGATGCATATCTGGTTCTGTGCGTGCGAGGACGAGTAGCCGTGTGTCGAGACCAGCTCGTGCGAGGTCAAGGACCAGATGAGATTGCAAACCTAGGGTGAGTTTAGCGCAATGTCATAGGCGGGAATGGGAGGGACGACGTACCTGACTGCCCGTATCCAATTCGCCAAGCAGTGCGGCGTTCTGGCAGTTCCACCAGCGTATATGCTTGTCCTGTGTGCCGCCTCCCGTGGCGAGGATACCAGAGACGTGCGGGTCCCACGCAAGTGCCTTGACGGCGGCTGTATGCGCATGGAACTTGAACAAGTAGTTCGAGTCTTCGAGACGGTTTAAACCCCCACATTTACGGACTATATGCGCGCAACTCACCTCCGTTAGCCTCATCGCCCGACCCCGACGCGCTCCCGGATGCACTCGCGCGCGAGTCCCTGCTTCCCAGCCCCACGCTCACCATGTTGCTGGGCGTAGTCGTCGGCGGGCGCCGGGATCCTCTCAGGTCCCAGATGCACACCTTGTTGTCGTTCCCTCCGCTCGCCAGCAAGCCCGCCGGCCCCGAGCCGACGCCGCTCGCATGCCCGCCGTCCACGCCGTTGCTCCACTTTAGCCCGCAGACCTCCTGCCGATGGCCGTTCGAGCGGCGCACAGGGTCGATCCCTGGCTCGCGCACGTCTCGATGGTGTATCATGCGATCGCGGGAGCCTGAGGAGAGGAGGTGGGAGTTCCAGGCGAGCGAGCCGATGCGCTGGCTGTGAGCTTGCGTATATTGGCGAGATAGTTGCAGGGTGGAAGCGTCGTAGATGTACAAGCGGCCAGAAAACGTGCCCACAGCGAGCAGGGAGCCCTGAGTGACCGTCAGACCGGGTACGATATCGGAGGCTGGTAACGCACCTTCTGCACCCATGAAACTGAACTAATCTGATCGTTCACGCTGGAGAGGTCGCATAGCTTGGATACTTGGGCGTTATGCGCTGTCCACAAGTAGACGCATGCACCCAGACCGACGCCAAGCACATTTGTGCTGCTCCAGTCGACGAGATTGAGGTAGAAGTCCTCGGCCAGCTCCGGTGCATCCAATACCCTGTAGGGGGTCTTGCAGACGTTGCGAAGTTGCCGCCGCGGCGACTCGAGGGTCTTTTTCGACTGTGCTCTCACGGGCGATAAGGAATAGGCACTCGACGTCGGATCATCCAGCGTCCGCCCACGCTCGGGCGATCGCTGGGGGGAGTGCTTCGTCGGCGAGCTGTAGGCAAATATCCGTCGTCGCGTTGGCGTGGTGGGGGCAGTCGGCGGCGCAGCAGAGCGGACGGGGGAAGATGGTCGCGAGGGCGGCTCGGGGGCGACTTCGGTATGCAGCACGCTCGTGAATAGTGTGTTTGCTTGCTCTATGACTAATCAGCGAGAGTGCCACAGACGACGATGCCACCACGCACCTTTGAGCGCATCGCTCTCGCTGGGTATAATGCGGCTCTTCTTGGATGGGGTGGAAGGACCGCCGTCTTTGAGGTGATAGGATGTCATCAGGTCGTCCTCCTCGCGGCTAGGGATGAAGCGGTCGCCATAGTCCCTCTTTGAAGGCGATAGGTCGGGCGCAGGCGACTCGGGGGCGATGCTGCTGCCGCTACTTGTGCTCGGGCGCGAGCTGGGGTCGAGGGATGGAGTGCTTGCGCTGGCCAGTTCCACTACCGGCAAGGGGTTCGCTGGGGGGACAACGGGATGGAATCGCTTCTTCGTCGTCGGTGTTGTCTGCTCATCCTGGGCGATGGCGCCGCGGAGCCGCTTGCCAAAGGGCGAATTCTTGAGACCGCCAGACATGGGGGAGAGGGGGAGGATAGTAAGGATAGTGCTTGTCGATGTCGTCGATATGTAATCAGCCGTCGATACAGTCGGGGGCGCGCACAGCAGCGTCCAACGCGCGACACGGATGCAAAGGAGAACTGACGCTTGGACCCGACGCGCAACTCTATTGCCTTACACGATCACCTGATTGAGTCACGTGGGCTCCTCGTGTACGCGTAGCATCGCCATTGTTCGAGACACAACACAGAAATCCCCAGTGCAAAAACCTGATATCGTTGTGTATTCCATTGGAAGGTAAGATAGAAGATGCATGTTTCTCTACGAATTAGAGCGAAGATAGAATAAATACAAGGGTGATGTTCGCGCCTACAACGCGTAGCTATAGTACAGATGGACACTGTTGTGCCCAAGGGAGGTACAAGACACGTCCAAATAGACGCACTGCCGTACCAAACCGAAGAATAACATACCACAACGTCCATCCTACCCTTTCCGTCCCCGATCCATATTCCATATATTTACCTAGATCGAGCGTCTTCATCTCGCGCAAGTCAACCACCATCGTCTACCTAGCGCTCACGCCGACCGCGCAGCCCCCGACGGACCCGCCTGCCCCTCCTGAATCACCCGCAACGTCGGCACCGACCCGTACGTCGCCGCCGGGAGCGCGCCTCCATTCAGATCCTTGCTCGCGCGCGAACGCCCCCGTCTCACCTCCTCATCCCTGCCCTTCCCCTTCGCCTTCCCCTTCGGCGACACCTTCCCCTTGCCCTTTCCGTTCGCCCCACCAGCACCGCCGGTCTGGACACCGGCCTTCGCCGCCTGCCCGACCCCGCGCAGCGGGCTGCGGACGAGAAGCAGGAGGGCGAGGGCGCCGCCCAGCGCGCCGGTGGCAACGACGAAGATGGCTTGCGGGTAGGAGGCGACAGTCTCTGAGTACACCATACCGAAGAGGAGGGGGCCGAGGATCATCTGGCCGGCAGCCTGAAGGACGGCAAGCGCGCCGAAGACGCGGCCCACGTTCCCATCCTCACCGGAGGGAGCAGCGGTGGGTGTGGTACCGGGGTTGGCATCATCGGATGAAGATGAGGTGCCGGCAGCGGACGCAGAGGCAGCAGTACCCGCGGACTCGGCAAGCAGCGCGCGCGCTTGCAGAATGCAGAGGGCGAGGCTTTGCACCGCAGGGACCGCGCAGCCGCCGAAGCTAGTGATCGCAGAGGCAAGAGCGAACAGGATCTCCGCCTGGCGGCCGGTCGTACCCGAGGCCGCGGAAGACGCGCTCAGCAACTCCGGCACCGACTCGTGCGTGTCGTAGTTCGGCATCGGAAGGAGGCAGACGAGCACGTTGGAGATGATATCCAGGCTAACCGACACCCGGGCGAGGTTCAGGTCGAACTTTATCTCCGTCGCGAGGCTTGCGGGCGTCGGCTTCGCTTTCTTGCCCGCAATCGCCGCTGCGGCAGCGGGCTTAGGCTTGAACAGCGAGATGGCCATGGGCATAATGAGCAAGAGCACGATTGCCCTCGTCCCACCGAGCATCGAGATATAGTACGACAGCTGCTCGGCGCCCCAGCCGTAGACGTGCTCCGCGTACAGGTACTTGAGCTGATAGATGCCGGTCGAGAGGAGGAAGAGGAACAGCGCGCCCGCGAGCACCGTCAAGCTCCAGTCCCGGCGTGGACGCAGGCTCCCGGACGTTACATCCACCACCTTCACGGGCAAAAAGACCGCGAGCGCGCTCGTGATACCATGCAGCGGGCCCGCGCTAGCATGTGGCGCAAAGTACGCCGCGCGCGCCTTCTCGCGCTTCTCCTCCCCCAGGCTCTCCGGGAACACGCAGCCAACGAGGAGCACGTTAAGCAGCGACGCGCTCGCGGTGACCCAGAATACCTTCGTCACATCGCCTGTCGCGCGAATGATCGCGCCGCCGATGCTCGGCCCGAAGCAGACGCCGAGGAAGAAGACACCGGTGAAGCGGGAGAAGATGTGCGAGCGCGAACCGGGGGAGGTGCAGTCGGAGATGTAGGCGGAGGATTGTGACTGGATGGTCGCGTAGCCACCGAGGGCACCCTCCAGTGCGGGGACGAGAAGGAGGAGGGCGCGCGAGACGGTGTGAGAGGTGAGGAAGGAGAAGATGGAGTCGTCGCGTACGGTGGCTTTAAAGACGGAGGTGCCGACAAGGATGAAGACGATATCTCTGCGAGAGGATCAATGAGAATGAGCAAACGGAAGACGATAATTGGGCGTACGTCAACAGCATGCCGAACAACGAGAGCGCCAAAACCTTCGTTCGACCATGTCGCTCACCAAAGTGCCCCCACCAGCCTTCGAGTTGATCAGCTATCAAAAATAGACAGATGTACTACGGTGCGTACCAGTGGTGAGTGCGGAAAGGAAGCCCATGGTAGTCATCATGATGGTTTGCATACGAGCAGCGCCTCGCTGCACACGAGGATCGGATGTGCAGAACGACCGAGGGACAGCTGATGAGACATCGACGTCGTCCGACTCGACAAAGATGGCATATGGAGGAGAATCTACATCGTGCGAGATGAGAGGGGAGTATGAGGGAGTGTGGTTCTGCGCGGGTGTGTATGCAGATTGATAGAATTGGTCTAGGGAGGTAGAGTCTTGATGGAGAATAGTGTTGCAGGAGAGCTGAGTGAAGACTTGCACGCGAGGCGCGAGAGTCATGCCGCGCTGCAGCAGAGTCAGCAGGGATCCACGTGTGTACTAGGGGAAGGACTTACCGAGATCGCAGCGGTCAGGGCGAAAGGGACGAGCCTGTGGCGCGCACTGAGTCAGCGATGGGATACGAGTGCAGGGGCGACACTCACCAGAGCGGGCGGGGGCGGTAGAAGGGCTTCTTCTGGGGCTGCCCGCCAAGCAGGGGATCGCTCTCTGAGGGCGTACTGGGCTCGGAGAGGAAGCTCGGCATGCGCGACGCGGCGCGCGACCGCGAGGGCGAGACGAGTACGGCGACATCGGAGCCCAGGACAGGGTCACCCGCGACGCTCTCCGTGCGGGACATGGTGTTGTGGTGGCGGGGAAGAACAAAGGGAAAGAGTTGTGCGACGGTCGATAAGCCGATAAATAGGTCGCGGTGAGGGACGCGCGCGCGAGGCCTGCATGAGCTCACAGATGACAAACACCAGCCAGATAACGCCGCCGGCCACTCGGCCCGCCTATCCGCGGCGAGTTCGAGCGGGTTGCTGCGGTTTCGTGGCGCATACGCCCACCACACGGCCCCTGGCCTCCTCCTCCATTCACGGACAGTAGATAACGGACCTCCTCCGGACTGCCAGGGCCCTCGTAGCGCATTGTTCTCGACCCCTTTGCACAGCTCGATGCGACGCCCTGCCACCGGCAAGCAGCATCAGCCACGCTTAATTCAGACTTGGTTTAGACGAACTTCAGTATACATCGGTGCACCTCGTCGGCCTTCCAGCCTGTGGCGCAGGAATTCGGTTGGCGTAGCGGGGACTGCAGTGTCAGTGCAAACACGCAGACTTCCGAATTGACTGAAGCATGATCATACGGCCACGAAATCGATCTCATACATGGTAAGGCTCGCGTGATTGTCGAGTAGAATCATTCGTTCGACTTAGACAAGTGTAAGTAACGAGTTAAAATGAGGCTTCGTAGCCCTCTAGTGCCAGGGAAGTCCGACACCGATGAGAATCTATGTGATATCGGAAACCACTTCTGTACGAACAGTAGTCAATTGTGAGGATCGCTGGTCAAGTAAGGGGTTAGGTATACTTTCTACATTTTGATTAAGGTACCAAGAACAGTGTATGATCACCGTCCAGCTTGCGCAGAAGGGTGATTTGGGCGAACGGAACAGTAGACTTCGACATCCGGCAATTACCGCGCAAACATTCAGTTCGTCTCAGTTTCGTACCCATCCGTTCGCGCGCTGCCTGCTCCTTGAACTTACCACCCTCCACACAAGCAACATGGGCGGACGTTTTGCAGTATTTCGGTGCCCCGCCCGCGCCCGCAAAATTTTCCCGTTCCAATGACCATTTCATCCACAAAAAGAAAAAAAAAAAACTAGGCAGACTGTCAAAAGACGACACCAGCAGGATTCGAACCTGCGCCCTCAGAGAGGAAGAGATTTCTAATCTCTCGCGTTAACCACTCCGCCATAGTGCCTTGAAGAACACAAGTTTGTTGGCATTTCCAACCAGAACATACTTGATGCCCTGAACCAGCGCTTACGCCACATTGTCATTACTTCCTTGCTCTTGACGCTCATCACCACCCTCGACACTCACAACCAGTGATCTTCTTCCCCTTTCGCTACGCTCCGACTAGCCGCCATCCACATTCACCAATCCACGCACCATGGCCGAACTCCTCTCCGGACAAGCCTCGATCCCGGGGCCCAAGACAACGCGGCACCTGCGCGCGTGCATGCTCTGCTCCCTGATTCAGACGTCCGCCGACTTCAAGCGGCACGGGTGCCCGAATTGTGACGAGGTCCTACAGCTGCGAGGCTCGCTGGACAGGGTGCAGATGTACACGACGAACCAGTTTGAGGGCGTCATAGCGGTGATCGACCCCGAGCAGAGCTGGGTTGCGCGATGGCAGAGGACGGGTGAGTGCTAGTCTTGAATACAAATGCGGGAATATGGGGTCTAGCGGACGGGGACGAGGGGTGGTGTGGAGAACGTGAGGCTGACTACCTTTTTCATATAGCGAAACAAGTACGCGGGATGTATGCGGTGCGCGTGAAGGGGAGAATAGGCCAAGAAATGGAGGAGACCCTGGAGGCGCGGGGGATCAAGTACAGGCCGAGGGATGGTACAGATCAGGACTAGTCAAACTCACGGTATGTTGTGCTGTTCGTGTGCATGCGCGGAATGCTGACCTTTCTGTAAACAGGCCTCGTCTTGTTCGTCCACGCCGTCGATCGTGTCCTTCCCTATCTCTCGTCTCCGCGTCCACATGTATCATATAGCCAATCCTTTTCACATCGCTTCGCGCCTGCCGTCTACAAGAACTGCACATCTCAGAGTAACCGATGTTCTCAAGCGGGCACGCAAACAATATGCAGCATGACCCGGGGCCTGGGTTCGTTTCCTCAGGCGTCTTATTGCGTTCCTCTATGGCATGCTCGACATGGTCCAATCTAGCCACCACATCGTCGATGATAGGACCCTGGAGAGGTTCGTCGAGCTTCAGATTACGGCCTGCAACGCGTTGGGCATAACATGAGCGCCCGTCTAGGCTGCCCTAGTGGGAAATGTGATGTGCGCCTCGCCCATCCGACTCTTGTCTCCTCATCAACAATGTTCAACTCGAACTCTCCCAGCGGCATCCAATTCCTCGCCCGTGATTCTCGTCCAACACATCCTGTCATTGCATGAATCTCCCACTACCATGACAATACCTTGCGGTACGTCACCTGCTACTTGCCTGTGAGACTGAAATCCACGGTAGACGTACAGCCGCCATAGTGAGCGAGGCACTTCGCATTGACAAAGCTTACTGTCGGTCAATACCGAGCCAGCGCGTCAAGCCAAACTACGCAGTATTTTTCCAAGTGAAATCGTATTCTTTGTATGAAGCACAGTAGTACGCTATCGACGGTGATGTGCATGATGATCCTCATTGAATCAGAAAGCACGCTTAAGTATGGCGTATCAGGCGAATGTCAATCAACCTTGGATCGTTTACTAGAGGGCGGCAATTCATCAAGAACATCCGACGTCGAGTCTGACCCCGAACGGGAAGATTCCGATCTTTTGCGCTTTGAAGCACTTGCTGCGGAGACAGGGTTCGCATCCTTCAAGTCGTCTGGCTCCGCTGCCTGCGCGCCAGATTGCGAGGGAGAACGTGCACTTTCCCTCGCGTAACATTGAGAAAGTCCCGAGACCACCTTCCTCCGCCGCCCGTGCCTGTCGGGCGATATGCTCGTCTCGCCGACAATGTTAGCCACCATGCGAGACAGAATCCAGGACCTGTTTTTTTCCCGTTCGGTCAGCGTTGCCTCCTCCAGCACCGCTTCAGTGAACTGGACGAGGGTGGGGTTGACGGTGACCGTGCGGTAATGCACGGGCTTGGGCAAGGAAGGCGGGCCATGAAGCGTGTACATCTCCCATCGGTGATCATCGATTCGCTCGAGGCGGTTGAGAGCGTTCGCGTCGGGGTTCGGCATTGCAACTTCGAGCACGGGGAGGTCGCCGAGCGCTTTGCAGGGGTTCGGGAGGGTGGCCAGGAGGGCAAGCGCTTCGGACGTATCGGCAGCCTTTAACGACGCGTACGGTGAGCAAGTCAAGTATCGGAAAGGCAGAGCAGAAGCGCACCTTGTCTTCGCCCACGAAGTATCTGCCAACTCCACCTTTATGCGGACCGCAGTGTCCAGAGGGTCCGACGCGCACAATGACCCAAAGATAGTCGCCGTCAAACCGCCGCAGCGCGAAGATGAATGCCGTCGGGTCCGGCAGCAGGCAGAACGCAGTCTCGTGCTCGTGCCGGAGCCAGGACAGCGCTGTGGCATAAGACGTTCCGTCCGTGGCGAGAGGCAGCACCGCAGATGCCGGATAATCAGCGTGTCGAGCAGTGCGATACCTGGCTTCGCCGTTGTCCCATACGCCCGATCTCAACTCGACGAGGTCCGCATACCGGTTCGCCCACTCTGGGGCCTCTTCTCCGGGGAAGATGAATGCCTCAGCAGGCCCGCGGGGTGTGGCAAAGATCCGCGAGAGGAGCAGAATGGCGTGCTCACGCGCGCTCGCGAAGGCGGGCTGGTCGGAATTATAGATGAGCTTGTGGCTGAAAAGCGTCTTCTCGTGGGCCCATCGTGCTGCTTCATGCAGAGTCGGCGTGCGGCGTAAACGAGGATGATCGGCTCGTCGACGACGACCTGCGACGCATTGTCATCGGCGAAGTACCCGAGGCCACTGTAGACGAGCCAGCTAAAGTCGGGGCCCAGAGTGGCACTTTTGGAGTGCCCGAGGACCAGGTATTGGTAGAGGATATGATGTAGAATAGCACGCGCTTGAGGACCTGAGATGCAGAAGTAGGTAAGCGGTGGATTCAACAGGCATAGCCTCAGCCGTGAGTCACCCGGCAAAGGAACTCACTTCCGTTGAAGTGTCTTTCTCGGGTGCCCTGCTCGAAAGTGGACGTCATCCAAAGAAAGTCTCTGTCCGTGCCCTTGTCGACCACCAGCTCAACGTCGTCTTGAGGAATGAAGTGGACTTGACTATGCAGGAATCGATGCAAGTACGTGTGAGGGGCATCAACCACGGTCATTGGCGCGCCTTTCAGGAAGAACTGCACAAATTCAGCAGCGAATTTGTGACTGAGAGATGTGTCAAATGTCCATAGTGTTCAGGTATTAAGCACAACTTACCGTCCACGAAGCCAAGCTCCTGCGCGCTCCAGTAGCAATTGTCCTGCGTCAGAGGTTACGAATGACGGAGGGAGATAAGAGCGTAGGAAGGCGCGAACATGCTCGGGGCTCGAGGCTCCGGTGCTGGAGACAACTGTGATTGAAGACTTGACGCTACTTGGAACTCCCCAGCAAGCGCCCGAAAAGATGGGCGTCAGCCACGGCAACGCATTGCAGGCGTCGCCGAAAAATGAGATTACGTTTTTCCAATCCTCCTTGTTATCGATGTCGACTCCCCATATGTACCTGTTTTGGCAAAAGTCACTGTTGTCGAAGACGCAGAACAATTGGAAGTCATCGTTCCCCAGGAGTCCCCGCAGGCTAGAGACAATATCGCGCATGATGGTCTCCTCGCGGTCCCACGTAAAACGCATATGCTCATCCAAGGCTTTCCAAAGGCGCAGTGGAAAGTCCGAACCATATTGAGAGGAAATTTGTACGCTGGTCCAGAGATCTCGCGCCTTGTCGACTGGAAGCGTCACACCGACCGTTCCTGCGAAGGCGTGAAGGAGCAGCAAGTGGGCCATTATGAGTCTCTGGAATAGCTTCTCCACGTGCGGAATAGAGTGGCGCGGCCCGCACAAGGAGCTGTATTCAAGTACAAACTCGCGTAGATCGGCGCTTCCAAACTCGCCTGAGAACGGAGTCAGATAAAACCCCCAGTGCTTGCGCAGGCCCTGCAAGAGGAGAGCTGTCTTGCCGGATCCGTTTGCATTGATGAGAAATCTGAATGAAAAACGAAGCAACATTAATAACGCTCAGGCTCGGTGGGTTCAGAGTACGCACGTAGGTTCACCCTTTCGAAATACGTGGGCGATGTTGGACTCGATAGTTGCGTTCACCTGTTTGCTGGTATGGGCGTGGGTGTTGTGTGCCAACGCGGGTTTAGCAGGTGAGTGATAAAAGCCCCCAATTGATATGAGCTCCAATTGTGCGACATGCTCGCGCCATGCAGGCGTCGTACTCTTTTCGCCTTTCTCGGGAGTCGGAGTCCAGTAAGGCCGCTCGGCATTGTCGTGTAGCGCTCGTCGGAACTCGTCCAATATGTGGCAAACTTCGTCGGAAAGCTTTGTAGTACTGTCATCGTTCGAAGGTCAGCGCCCTTGTCCACTATAGCGTCTCTGGGATGAGCAACGCACCTTGAAGTGTGTGACATGGCGCGTAGAGGTTCTGGAGAATTGTGACACTGCGTGTGTTGGTCGTGGTAAGAAGCAAGAAGAGGAAGATACAAAGACCTTGTGTATGCTGCCCGGACCTGCGCTTACGTAACGCGTGCGGCGGTCCATACTGCCTCAAAGATATGGCACCTGAAGCGAGCAGCGTAATGCCAACGCCACAACACAAAGGGCCACTGGGATCATGCAGACATCATTTGCTGACCCCATGCACACGACAGCTTACTATGCAATATCGAGTGATTGTGACCACCAGTTCGCGCAACAACTAGTCAAGGCAAAGCAAAGCGTCGTCGACGTGAATTTTGGTCGAATGCAAAGGGGGATAGTAAAGACATCGTGTGCGTGTACGGTAGCTTTGGGCATGGTAACAAAGTAAAGGGCGATCCAGCGGCCTTGGAACCATGGCAGTTAGACCGGAAAGCTAGAAAGCAAAGCCTTGAAGCCGAGGTCGGTGCATCCTCGATCCCAAGACGAGCAAAGCCGTTGAAGACGCCAGGGTGGCAGAGGCGTCGGACGCGACGGTGTAAGACACTAGATGAAGGGGTAAAATATCGAAGATACGGTGTTGAAGCGTAAAGTATTTGGCAGGCAGAAGAGATAGGAGTGGGCGTTGGGCGCAAAGGTATACATCTTCGTTCAAGAATATGAGGTGGGTGGCACGTTTGGCGTTCTTCGTATGCGAGAGTAAAGTCTTCGTACGCAGTCTGTGGTATGCCGTGGCTTCCGCTAGCAGACGGCGTCCGAATGCGTCGGCGATGGCTCCGAACGTCTTCGAAAGAAAGCCGGCGCTTACTTGCCCTTCTTGCCACGCTTAGAAGGGGGCGGTGGCTGTTCGATCTCGTCCTCCTCGGAGTCTTCATCGCCGCTCGACTCCTCCTGGCGCTGTACCTGCTTTTTAGATGCGGGAGCTTTCTTGGCAGGCAGTTCGTCATCAGACGAATCGTCTTCCTCCTCGGAGTCCTCAACGACAGCAGCAGGCTTGGCCTTAGCCTTGCTGGCGGGCTTCGCAGACCCTTTAGGGGCGGTAGGCTTGGTAGCAGAGGACTTGGGAGCAACGGGCTTGGGCGCAGGAGCCTCCTCTTCGGAGCCCGACTCTTCCTCGTCGCTGTCGACGGGCTTCGCAACGGACGCAGGCTTTGCGACAGGCGTGGGCTTCTTAACCCCCTTGGGTGGCTGTGGGTATGTGTGTGAGACGGGGGTATGTGCTTGCAGTAAAGATCGCGCACCTCGACAGGCTTGCCGTTCGCACCGCCGTATTCCCTGACAGCATCCTCGTAGTCGTGCTTGAGCTTCGCCGCCTTGGCCTCGTAGCTCTGCAAAGCGTGGACGCGTCAGATCTTGCAGAAGCTGGTGAACGTGGGCGTGCGCACCGACTTTTCCTGCTCGGGCAGGGACTTCCACGTCTCGGAGATGTAACGGAGGAGCTCGGTGTTGTGCAGACCCGGATTCTTCTCCTTCATGCTCTGCCGGCAGTCGTTTTGGTAGAGGATGTAGGAGGTGGCGGGGCGCTTGGGGGCGTTCGGGTCCTTTTCCTTCTTAGCGCGCTTTTTGCGCTTGCCGTCGTCGTCGTCGGGGGACTTGCGCTTGCGACCCTTGAGCGGGGGGACATCTTCGTCGGACGAGTCGATGGCGCCGTTGATCGGCTTCCCGTTGGCGAGGGCGAGCGCGTAGGCGTCCGCGTCCTTGGCCACCGAACGCAGGTAGTGCGAGAGCTGGCTGAGCGACTGCGCGAGCTGGTGGCGTGTTAGAAGGCCGCGTATATGGCTGATCACCAAGACTGACCTTTTCACGAGGAGCTTCAAGGGTCTTGGAATCGGTCATGGCGGTTGAAGACAAGTCAAACGACGATTAGAAAATTCCTGACCAGTCAACAAAATGTCCAAGCGCACGTGAAGCCGGTCGGGAATTGCCGGTTTTTAAGCTCCGATTCAACAGGCCGGTAAGCGGATCGACCGTGTCTGCATTCAAACCACCGTGTCGTCGTCGACAAAGACGACGAGCAGCAGACCGCGTCGCCAGCAGTACGAGCAGCGAGCAGCGCGCTCTGTCTAAGTGAATTTGGCCCCATAAAGCGCGCGTGCGCGGAAAAGACAAGCCACAAGAAATGGATTCGGACTCGATATTCAGTCCCTGGAACATCTCGCAGCCCCAGCCGCCGTTGGACAAGGCGCCTAACGAAAACGCGTGGATGAGGAACCAAGCGTCGCCACCGGTCAGCGCGTCGGCGGGGGCAATGGATCAAACGGGTGGATTTCCTGGATTAGCAGGTGACCCTGGTGAGTCGCGCGCGTCGCGTAACCCGTTTGTCACTGAAGGCTGGCAGGCGTCGTGGGTTCTTCGAGCGGGTTACAGAGCACGGGCTATGTTCCGTACGATCAGTACTATCTGCCCTCGACATACACGTCCTCGTATCAGACGACTCAGTGGCAGAATCAGCCGTCGGCCTACAGTACGATCAATCATGCGCTGGGCCCCACTCATCCGCCCTCGTCCCAGAGCACGCCCACGCCTTCATCCATGGTCATAGAGTACGTATTCGCGTGTCCATAAAGGCCGACACGCTCACCTTCGCGCAGCCCGTCTTTGACGACCTCGAACGGCAACGACATGCAACGATATGGCGGCTACTTTGGACAGGCCTCGACCCCATTACCCACTCCACCTACACCCCAGCAATTGCAGATGCACTATCAGCAGCATCAAGTCCAGCAACCGTCGACCCAACCTCAGCAGCAACAGCAGGCACAGCAACGTCCACCCTCGTCACAAGCACAAGGCTACCCCTACTCTGGCTACAACAGTTCCTACCAGCCCTTTTACTCGCACAACCCTTCACAAGGGCATTCGAACTCCCCTCAACCACCCACTGTCTCTCCGTCATCCCTCCAAACGCCCTCTCCTTTCGCGCCCGTTGCTCCTCAACAGTTCTATAGCACCAATTCTGTAACAGCGACCGCGTCCAGCTCGTCTACGACCTCCAGCGTCCCGGCCTCGCAACCGCCGCAGCCCGCGGGCCCGACGCCGGAAGAAAAGAGGAGCAGGTTCATAGCAGCATTGCGCCCCTTGCTGGCTGATAGTTCTTTTACCGGCGCTCAGGCTGTGAATTTACTCATGGACCGAATCCACGATTACGGTGTTGACGATGTAGATGCGCCCACGCGGAAGACGATTCTAAATGCCATTCGCGATCATGCTGGCAATCATTATTTCCGCGCGTGGTCGGAGAATCCCGAGGCCATCGATGTCACACGCGACTGGCTCAAGCAAGGCTATCAAGCGAAGGATGAGACGGTCATGCCGCTGCTGCACGTGCGTATAATATCGTTGTGCAGTGAATCTGTGTATATTGAATGTGTCCATATGCAGTTGATAGACCGCCTGCCGTTCACGGTGCAAACGCTGGCAGAGTCCAAAATCGGCAAGGTGGTCCGCAAGCTCGTCAAGGAAGGGTCTAGCGCCGGTGAGTCATCCATCACATCTTTTCCCACGCAAGTACATTTCCACCCTCTCGCCACGTTTTCGCCGGGGAACTTGTATAGCGAGCTATCTCGACGTAGAACGCAAGCTGTATTCTATGAGTCTTCATGTAGATACCTGCCTGACAGCCGTCGGGTTGAGTTAAGAGTAGAATACGGCCCTAATTTCCCACGTGTATCGAATCGCCCGATATCTGACTTGTGAACGCAGCAATCAGGGATATGGCACACAATCTCGAACGCCGGTGGAAGGCAATGCTAGACAAGCCCGATGGTGAGTCTATGTCGGTTGGTTGTACGAATATCAAGCTGAAGTTGTTTGTTTTCGTAGTGAACAAGGCCAAGCCGGGCGAGAAGCGCAAGCCGACGGAGCCGCCGCCAGCGAAGCCTGCACCAACCAAGAAACAGGCGGTCGCATCCTCGGCGGCGAAGCCGACGTCGGTGAAGAGGGACTCGCTTTCGGGAGCGTCGACGACCAAGTCCGCCGCCGCCGCGAAGGCGGACACGGGCTTTTTCAGCGCACCCAAAGCCAAGCCAAAGCTGCCTTCGTTCAAGAAATCGACGACGAGTGCGCCGGCGGAGGTGAAGAAGCCTCCGGTGGTGGACGCTGGGATAGCGCAGCCGAGCTCGGTGGACCCGTTCAAGGAGCTGATCAGTCAGACGAAGAGGGGGAGTCCGGTGGTGTCGACGCCGCAGGTAAACGCTGCACCGAAGGCGAACGAGGCGGGGGCGAAGGGCGGGAAGAAGAAGAAGAGCGTGACATGGGCGCCGGATGGTAAACTGGAGAGCATACGGCTCATTGAGAAGGCGGTGTACGATGATGACGGGGTATGTGAAGTGCGAAATGGATCCGATTTGGGGCTGACAACCTATAGACCGCCCCTCATCCTCAACATCACGACCTGCGCGACTTCGACCGTGGAGAGGGTGCTGCGCTAAAACACCTCTTCGAAGAGGTCGTCGACTGGTTCGAGCCCGTCTGTAAGTGTTCGTCCTCGAATGATTCCGACTGAAATGCTCACGGGAAGCAGTGATCGAGATCAAGGACGAAGAGCGCTACGACCGCGGGCTTCAGAGTCTCGAGAAAGAGGCGCAGGAGCAGCGCGAGGCGACGGCGCTCGCCGCCTTATACCCCGACCCATCACTTATACCCGCCTGCCCAACAGAGCCAACCACTGTTCTGTCAGAAGAGGAGACGGATCAGGGCGTGGTGCGCATGAGTGCCGGGAAGGACATCGAGAGCGAGATCGACGACCACCCGGGCGACGACTTTGCGCCCCCGCCCTCCATGGGCTCCGTTGCTGAGCTTGTTAATCAGCTCGCTGCAGGTAACTCCTCGTTTGTCGACCCTGCGATGAGCGCGGTGCCGTTCAACGCGCCGGCGGGCCTGGATCTGAAGGCGGCGGGAATGGGGCCGGATCAAAATCTGGGGGCGCTGAGGGATGCGTCCCAGGAGACGATTCAGAACCTGCTCTCGCAGCTGCAGAACACCATGGCGGCGCAGGTACCCCCGCCACAGCAGCCGCCCACGTACCAATGGGGTGCGGGCGGCGGGGGAGGCGGCCCCGAAGCGGCGCCGGCGAACGGATACGGTGAATACGAGCAGAGGTGGGGCAACAATAATGGGCACGCCGATGGGGGTGGCTTTGGGCGCGGTCGGGGTCGCGGACGGGGGCGAGGTGGTGGCGGCGGCGGGGGAGGCGACCATAGAGCGTATAACAAAAGAAAGCCGTGCAGTTTCTTTCAGCAAGGAAGGCGCGTGAAATTCCCTTATGCGGATAACGTGGTTACCGCATGCGGCAAGAACGAGGAACTGATACACAACCAAACAGATGTCGATACGGCGATCAATGCGACTTCTTGCACGAGCTGCAGTAGACGAAGCAAGATCTATGGCGCTCGGAAATCCTTGACGGAGGCCTTGTCGCAAGGCTCATTATCATTCCTTATGGCCACGAACTTCTTGTCTTTATACATTACCTGCATTCCACCTGCACTACTTATTCATGCCAAGTACGCACACATTCATAATATAGCATCTTATCTATCTATGTCGTGTAGAACCACGCATGTGCCAAATCCCATGTATCTCCCATCGGACCGTAATCTGTCACATAAGCACAAACCCGAGCGGCACTCACAAGGTCTTCTCCATACCTTCCGCCTCTTTCTCCTTACCATGACCAACGCACGCGGTGTTGCATTCTCAGGACCCTCTACGAGCCCCATTTCACACTCTTCCTAGTGCGCTCAACATCCCAGAGACGCCATAGTATACACGGGCGCTGATCTTTGAACGATGACAGTCCTACATACTGGACTCCGACTGCCGCGGGGAGAATACGACGCCTGCATAGCGTGAGCATGTCGCCCCATCCGATCTCATGCCAATCGTGGGACCTACGAATAGGTGAACGGAACCATGGAGTACAACATCGCCGGCGTATTTCGCAGGGATAACCCATTCGTGCTCTGAGACTTACTTAGTACTGCACGGCCACCGTGCACTGTACACCCCACCTTCGTACAGTTCGCCGAAGCAATGGAGGAGGGGACGCTAAACGAGGCCCGTGAAGAGCGACAAGTCCTGAATTCTGTCTCGCATGGTGGCCAACATTGTCGGCGAGACGAGCATATCGCCCGACACGTACAGGCGGCGGATGAAGGTAATTCCGCCACTTCCTCAATTCGACGCGAGGGAAAGTACACGTTCTTCCCCACGACCAGGTGCGCAGGCCTGAAGGAATCCGTGTTCCTTACAATCGTCAGTAGCTTTGCTAGTCGAAGTTCACTCCCAATAGATATTGTCGCCGTCGCGAGGTTCATCTGAATTCCCAGAGATAAGGCGTAAGTACGTGCTAATAAGAACTACAGGGAACAGGAAGAATAAACGGCAGGAAGAGCTACAATAAATATGCAAGCTTGCGTAGTATTACACGGCGGCGGCGCGATGGGGGAGGTATCTATGCTATCAGACACTTATGTACACACAAAACAAGGAGACACAGATGATTCCACCAGCACTGCAGATAAGGTACCGACATCAGGGAACAACGCAGAGGAAAGGTTCGACAACAACACGTTACATACGTCCATGGCACGCTCGGGCAGTCCGCGCGCGAGGGGCACTTAGCTCCCCGCGCCGGACTTGCGTTTGCGCGAGGCACGCTTGGGCGCGGGGTCCGACTCCGTATTCGACGTACTCTGCTTGCGCTTGACACCCGCTGACGGTGCGGACGCGCCAGCGTTCCGGTTCCGCGCAGGTATCGCTTTGTGCTGCTTCTGCGGCGAGGAGAGCGGCGTCACGTTAGTCGCAGTTTGTGGGGAGGCGGTTGTCGACGAAGGCGTCTGGTTGACATTTTGAGAAGGAGGGGGGATGGTGGGAGTGGGAGCGCCGGCGGGAGCGGGGGTTGCAGAGGCTGAAGCAGCGCCACTTGGGTTCGTGACGTTCGGCGGGGCGGGGGTGAATAACGTCGGCGCGGAATTGCTCATGGAGGGTGTGCCGCCTGCCGAGCCTGGTACCGGAGGGATCTGCACGGACGAGGCAGGCGGTGGCGGTATGGTCGGCATAATTGGCGTTGGTAGACCCTCTGGTGGGCTGAGAAAGAGGGTGGCCTGTCCTTCTTTATGCATTGGGTACGACGGAGGCTTGACTCTCCGGCCCTTCTTCTGAAGTTCTTTCGCGTACTTTGTTAACGACTCTGGTACAAGGTCAATATCTACTCAACACCAATAAGCACCTGCGTACCTTTAGGGCCCCATCCTTCACGCTTGGATGCTACCATGAGATCCTCCAAAGTCGATACACTCTCCATGAGTTCCAGCGTTCGCATCGCCGTCTGCGGGATCCCGAAGCCGTTGACGGGTTCCGCGGGCATCACGGTTTGCTGTCCGAAGACCAGGACCTGTTGCTCTTCTAGCTCCGGCTCTTCGCTAGGTATCGTCGGCGGCTCAAAGAACCCGCCCGAGGGGACGTAGGACAGGTCTCCCCATGAAGTCGGTGGTCGTGGCGGCATTTTGATGGTGATGGTGTCGTAATCGCCTTCAATATACGGTCGCTGGATGAAGCGCTCGCTCTCCAAACCGTCGAACTGCAAGTGCGCAATCTTGAGTTCGAACTCGTCAGCGAAGGAGCCGGTGCCTTTGTAACCTGAATGGTCATAGGTCATAAAGTCAGTTGATGAACGGTCTCCCGATGTCAGAGATGTCAGTCCCGTACCTGTACGGCCGCCTTTCCAGCCTACACGGATGTGAAATGTCATCGGACCCTAAGACTTGAAGTCAACGGACGAACATCCATTGCGAAAGTAAGAGGCGTACCTTCAGATTTACGATCCAGCCGTTCTCGTACCTAAACGTCCAATGTGCCTCCATGCACTCGACGATGAGATGCCCCGGTGTGGTGGCCGTCACCTGCGTCATTACCCGCTCTCGCAAGCCTGGCATCGTGAAGTACGAGCAGGTGTTGCCGGCCATCGCAGCAGTAAAGAAAAAGCGTGGCATGACGTGGAAGGGGATCCTGAAGATACGGATCTACGTACGAAACGTCAGAGGTCATCGCAGAGAAATGTGTGGAAGAACATCTTCACGCACCGATTCCGAGTCGTAGTCGAGCAGGGTCAGCTTAAAGACGGCCGTAGTAAGGAAGTACTCTTCGATGAGCTTTTTCCACCACGAGGGGTTCTTCTTCTTGGGCTCGCAGATCAATGCGAGCATCCCGCTGAACTGCATCGCCCGTAGCAAGCCCGCGCCCTCGTTCAACACGCGTCGGAGGCGCGGAGGGCTACGACGACCATCCTCCTTCTGCTGTACGCCCCGCATAGGGGACCCAGGGCGCGCGTACTCACCGCCGTTGGGCCGCTGAGGGCCGTATTGCGACGGCGACGGAGGGGGCTGCGGTCCTGAAGGAGGTGGCACCTGAGGGCCGTACTTCTGCGGCGAGAGAGGCTGCTGCTGCTGTTGACCAAGCGGAGGCATCGGAAAAGGCCCTTGACCTGGCGGGTACCCTGCTTTTCGCTGCGCGTCGCCGTTGTTCATCCCATTCGGCGGCTGCGCGGAAGGCGGGCCAGACGACGGCGGCGCTTGACCTGGCGGCGGGGGCATCGAGCCGGGCTGCTGCTGCTGAAAGCCGCCGAACTGGAACGGTGCACCACCGCCTTGCTGGAAGCCAGGGGGTCCGGTAGACTGCGGATTGCCCATCATATTGGGCGCGCTATGCGTGGGCGTAGGTGGCATGCTCGCAGATCCCGGACCCATGCCGCTACCAGTGTGCTGAGGCTGGAGGGGGTTGGCGCCGAGCGGTTGCATGCTTCCCGGCCCTTGATTCGGCATCCCGCCGGGCGGAGGCATAGGACGAGAGCCCGAAGCCTGCATACCGTTGTGAGGGGCGCCGGTCTGATGCATCGGATTCCGGGGATCGAAACCCATAGAGTTGAATTGCGCGCCTGAACCTAGTTAGCAGATTTTCGAACGTAGAGGAAGACAAAAAGGCGCACCTTCCTGTCCATCGGGCGACCACTGACTAAGCGCGCCCGCCGGCGTCATACGCGGTTCGCCAATACCACCAGGACCACCGGGACCGGTATGCTGAGGCGTCAGCCGTGGCTGCTGCCCGCCCATTTGTCCGGGTCCTCCCATCTGCCCCGACGCACCGAGGGACCCCATAGGCGGCTGCCCTTGGCCGGTATGCTGCGGCGTTAGCGTTGACTGCTGAGAGCCGGACATTCCAGCACCCTGCATGCCCGTTGACGATTGTCCTTGCCCCATATGCTGACCCGGCGCTGAGTGCTGTCCCGCTCCCATGTGCTGTCCACCCAGCGCGCCTCCGAAGGGTGACTGCCCTTGCGAGAGGCTTGCCATCGGCTGCATGTGAAGGGAGCCCATGGGCCCTTGCGAGCCCATCGACCCTTGCGAGAGCCCGCCCATATTCCCCTGCGGAGCGCCACTCATGGTACCCTGGGATACACCTCCCATGGACGTTTGTCCGTCTGGAAAAGGGCCGCCAGGCTGCGCAAATCCGCCGGCGCCACCGGGTTGCTGAAGACCAAAGCCGCCAGGCTGACCCTGCTGTGATTGGGGACGCATCATCGTCTGCGACTGCAGGCTCTGCATGCCTGGTTGCGATCCCGACATGCCAGCCTGCGGACCTTGCATGCCGGCTTGCTGACCATGCATCTGCTGGCCTGGCTGACCGGATTGGGACGGTGGGCGCATACTCTGCGCGCCGGGCATGCCTGGTTGGCCGGATTGGGAGATGGGGCGGTTGGAATAGGGTTCGGAGGCGAGCATAGAGTCAGGTTGCGATTGTCGCCCAGATTGTGGCGCGCCATTCGGAGAAGGCCCCTGTATGTTCATGGGGAGGTTCATGCCCCCCGCGCCTGGCACGCCGACTACAGATGGTCCGGCCTGCGCCATCTGGCCGGGTTGGCTCTGTGGTCTGCCGTCTAGTTGGGATTGGGGTCGGGGGCCGAGTTGCGACTGTGGACGCCCCATTTGCGATGGCGGGCGATGACGGAAAGGATCTTGTGGGGAGGGGCCAAAGCCTGTAGGATCGAAGAAGAGCGCATCGGTCAATATCAGCTGATGGAAGGGCGACGGCTGTGACTCACCAGTACGAGGAAGATCTGTTCGCTGTGGCATCATGCCCCCCATCTCTGGCGGACGGACGGCCGCGGCGCCAGCACCCATGTCAAGGGGCGGCTGTGGCGCACGCATCTGCATATCTCCTGGCTGCCCCGAGACGCGCTGCATCGCCATCTCCTGCTGGCGCATGCCCATGTCCATGGGTTGTCGCGAGCCCGCCATGTCCATCGGAGCCATCATCCTGTGCTGCTGCGAGTTCATCTGCATCGGCATCGGCATGTCGGTGGGCCGCGAGAGACCAGCCATGTCCATCGGCGGCATGCGGCCCATGCCCATGTTCATGCCACCGAGGTTGGGGGCCATGTCGCCGCGCTGCATGTGCGGCATCATGCCGGGTACGCTCATGCCCATGCTCATGTTCATATTCATCATGTCGGGGGGCTGTTGGCGCGCCATGTTCGAGGGGATACGGCGCAGGGGAGCCATGCCGCCGTGCATCTACATGCGTAGAATATCAGTAGACGGACATGAGGGTGGAAAGGGTGACGCACCGGACCCGCGCCTGGATAAGCTGGGCGCATGCCACCGCGAGCGATGCCCTGAGCATGGTGCGGGGACATCTGCATGCGCTGCATTTGCGCCATGCCAGGCGCGCCGCCCCCCATGCCCGCAGTCATGCCTGGGGCGCCTCCCACCATCCCGCCGGGGCGGGCCATGCCCCCGGGGCCACCCATGCCCATCATGCCGCCCCCCAATCCGTTGCCTGCTGGACCGAGCGCGCCGCTCGGGCCCAAACCGCCAGGAAGCATCGCGCCGCCGCCGCCAGGCATAGCCGAGGGTCCGCCGATCATCCCGTTGTTCATTCCGACGTTCATCGTTCTGCTCGTTGCATGTGCAGCGCGGGGGAACGTCTCTTCGAGGCGCGCGGGAAAGCCTCCGCTGAGTAGTATAGTTGCTGTCCGACGCCCAGGATCGTTCCCACAGGGCTGAGGGTTGTGCGTTGGATGACTGGGGCGTTGGAAGCGGGTCGCGCGGTGAGGGGGTGCGCGTCGACGTCGTCGTCGCCGGCGTCAAGATACGCGGTGTAGGGCCGCTTTGACGAGGCGAGCTCGCGGGAAGAGAACCAGCTATTGCCAAATACCTCCAAATCCGGGCCGCACGTGGTAGCCAGATGTTGATGAACCTCAAGGCGGCCTGTTGGCCTCGAGGACGACCGCAGTTCGTCTTGATTTGAGAAGATTGGTCTTGAGATGAGCGCAGGAATCAGGATCTCTAATCATAGAAGAAGGGAGTTTATTCTCTATGAGCAGTACAAATCACGTGAGAACTCCCACAGTCTCTTCCCTAGGCGTTACCTGTCTCTCAAAATCCTCATCTACGGTGGTCGGAAATCCCGACTAGTGAAAGACGTCCTGGTGGCGTGCACGAAAGCACCGCAGTGGTCATCCCAGACAGCCTTCACCCCGAACACAATGACAGTGGGGGTTCATACCAAATAACATTATGTAGGTCCTACCCACCGCGCTCCGTAATCCTCATCGCATATGTGTTTTCACTAAGGCAAAGTCTATGTGTGGATACCATATGTACTCATGCTCATCGGTCGTGTCAATAAAGTTAAGGGTGTGTATATACAAGGGGATGGGAAAGACGAATTAAGACTCCCGAGACAGAGCTTTTGCCCGTTCTTCCACGCCGTAGTGTCCTGCAAAGCACGTCAGCACGCGACGATGCGGGCGAGCCCGCGAAACGCACCGTAGCCGGGTATCGTCCGTGACTGAGAAAAAGATGAAGGCCTAATCCTTGACTCTCCATATGACGGCGGCGGCGGCGATACTTAAGACAAGGACGCCGACGGCAGCCTGAGCATTCGCAGGTGAGCCAGCTGTGCGCTGGGAAGGCATTAGCACCGACGGCGTTCCCTGGACAGGAAGCATTGACGTACCCCATCCCGAAAACCGACGCCCTTCCTGATGTCGTCCTTCATGTCCGCAGAACCCGTGAAGCCGGGCATCCCGCCCCTGAGACTGTGCTCCGGGGTGACGAGCCCACGCTCACTCGCATCCGAGAAGCCCTTCTCCTTCACGTCGTGCTCCACCTTCGTCGCCCCGGTGCTCACGCTCTCGGCGTCGCTCAAGCCTTCCTCGCTCCGGCTCTCGCTGCGACTTCGGCGTCGGCTGCTGCCACGGCGCTTGCGTGCGGGGCTGCGCGGACTTGGCGGGGTGACGAGGCCGCCTGTCAACTTGGACGAGGCGTCGCCGTTGAGGAGAGGCGCAGGGTGGGACGAGGACGCAGTCGAGGCGACACGCTCCTCAAGGATGCGCATCCGCTCCCGCTCCGCATTCCACTCCTCGCGCATGGCGGCGAACTGCTGGTCGAACGCAGCTTTGTAGTTACTGAGGATCTTGCTGACCTCCTCCGACTGAGACGGAGCGGGCTCGGGGGCCGGTGCAGGGGCTGGCGTGCTCTCCTGCTCGGCCTTGGAGGTCAGGAGCGTCTCGAGGACGCCAATCTTCTGCTCGAGACGCTGGATAGTCTCCTGCGCCTCTGCGTGCTTGGATTGAAGGGAGTTGCTGAGCGCAAGTGCAGACTCGAGTTGAGCGGTGAGGTCGGACATGCGCGCAGCGAGGTCGTCGATGGAGGCGGTGACCGACATGTCGTTCGAGAGAGGAGATGGCTGGTGGGGTTGCCTGTCGCGCATGCCGAGATGCGTAGGCTCCGGTGTGCGAGGGCGCCCCAGCGCCAGGTTATCGTCGCGACGCTGCTCGTCATCACGGTGATCCTCAGCGTTCTCCAGGTGCTCCTCATCCACCTCATCCACGCGCTCGAGCTCGTGCGGGACGAGCGTGGCGACGCTGCGTGCGTCATCGTCATCGTCCATCGATTCGCCCTCGCCCTCGTCGTCCTCGTCGAACCCACTGCCCCGCTCCTCCTCCTCATCGTGCTTCTGTTGTGCGTGCTCCACATATACAACCTCGCGCAAGCGGCGCACTTCTTCTCTAATCTTCTCCTGCTCATCAAGGACTTCGTGCAATTTCTCCATCTGCGCCATCAACGACGATTGCGCGGCCGTGACCTCCTTCTCGAGACCCGACAAGGTGACCTGCATCGTGTCAGGTGACCCATGCGAGGAGCTGGGACGCGGCGGCTGCGGCTCCGGCGAAGTGGATTGCTGTTGGGGAACGCCGTCGACATTCGATGACGGCTGTGGTGGGCGGACAGGTGGTAAGGAGTGTGGATAAGGAGGGGCGTTCGGGGGCTATGACCAGTATCATGAACGACTATTCTCCGCAAGGTGGCACCGTGCGACTCACCAGGTTGCCACCCAAGGTATCATGGATGTCGCTCATGGCGCCAGTGATGGTATGCAGCTCGGCCCCGGTCTCGCGGCTCTTCTGGAGCTCGCCTTGTAGGCGGTTCAGGATATGCTCGAACGAGATGGTCGACTTGCCCGGCGGCCGCATATTCGGACCGCCGAGCGAGCCCAGCTGGTTCGCGGGGCCATTTTGCTGAGGCGCATTGCCGACCTGGCGACGGGGCGGCGGGTTGCCATTGAAGTTGAAGGAGGATGAGGGCCCGGGGTACTGCTGGTGCTGCTGTTGCGGCTGGAGGTGCTGTTGCTGCTGCGTCAGCTGCTCCGCGCGGAGGGCGACCTGCGCGTCGTGTTCGGAGAATATGCACACGACCCGGGCGGACACTTTGTGGTGGATGATAGTTTTGTTGTCCTCGCCGACGATGTCGATACCGAATTCCTAGGCGGGCTGAGTATCCGGAGAGGGAAGGCGGACAGGCACATACGACTATATCATCCGACTTGAGGTCATATGGCTCGGACTCCATGCCCTCGCCAGACAGTCGGTCGCCGTTGATAAACGTCCCGTTTGAGCTCTTGACGTCGCGTATGTATATCTGCGCCGCGTAAGTGTCACCCTGGTACTTCTGGTGGCACGCACCTTGCCATTCTCCTCCCAGACCTCCGCGTGCTGGCGGGAGAGGACCTTGGAGTCGAAATAGCCATTCCGCTCGCCGGGTGCAGTTTTGGCATTGGTCTGTCGGCCAATCTTGACCTTTGTGTTGGGGGGCAGGTATATGTGCTTCGGGATGAAAGAGTCATTAAGCGGATAGAGGTAGAGGGCCGGATACAGCGGCTGCGCGGACGCGAACGGCGCAGGGGCAGGCATCGTGGTTGGGAAAAAGAGAGTGAGCCTGCATTACGTAACGTCACACTTCAACCTTTCACGTGCGTCGTGTCAGCGCGTCAACGGCGCCCACAACTGTCAACTCAGGCTTCACGCGCGCAGTCCAGCTCATCCAAGGCATGTATTCGCACGTAACAACTCAGCGTACGCCGTTCACGAGCGCGGGCGTGCCCTTCAGCTGCTCCGCTATTCGTTGCTGCTCTGCTCTCCGCTCTGCCACCGCGTCGTACACATAGTGCACTGGCTGCCTCTGCCACGGCCGCTCCCTCTCCTTCTCCTCATCGTCCTCCTCGTCCTCGTTCCGCACATACAGATCACTACTGTGTTCCCACTCATCATCGTCGTTCGGCGCGTTCTCTGATGCTGCAGCGAGCGGATGAGCACGGAACAGCGAAACTTGATGGGAAGTACGTACCGTCTGGCTCTTCTTGCCGTCTCTTGCCAAGGGCCTTCGCACTCGGCTTCGAGCTGGGCTCAATGGGCGTATCGCACTGCTCGTCGATCTCTATGGCGACCGGTGTATGCCGCCCAATACTCAGACTCGCGACGCCGTCGAGAATGTTGTGATGGTGATGAGACTGTCCGTGTATTGGCAGGTTGGCCAACGAGTTGGGTGGGTGAGGCGGCGTTGCAGGAGAGGGTGTTCGAGAATGATGCTGTATCGAAGGCGAGCGAGGACCGTGTGGTGCTGCGGGTGGAGGCGCGAGACCTTCACCATGCAAAGTCATGGAAGTAGGACGAGAAGAAACACGTTCATGTCTTTCTTGGCGCATAGGCGAAGGTGTCCGCGAACGAGATGCACCGCTCGTTAGCGATGGTGGTATAGATGCTTCCGAATCCATTTGATGTAGTTTCTTTTCTCGTGAGCTTGCGCCTTATCTTCAAAAGTCAACGCACTCACATGCCGGTCCATCCTGGTCTCCTGTCGACTCCTCTTCTCCACTTTGCGCTCTTGAGCGATTCGTTTCATATCGTCGTACTGGTTCAGCGCCTCTACCAACTCAGCATTCGCTGCAAGTAACGCAGCCAGTAGCCGCTCTTCCACGGTTTGCTCGCTTGTATTGGAGTCTGTATCGGTGAGGATGGATGCCTTCGAGTCCTTTCGAGTTCTTGACTGCGGCTGTTCGTGGTCTCTTTGCACCCGTGAGCGCTCGGCGTTGGCAGACGCCCAGGGTATTTGCGCGAAAATGAGTTCTTGAGAGGCACGGCATTTGACGTAGAATTCCTAGCGAGATAAGCAGCCCGTTAGCGTACTTGGAGACTTCAACGCTGCCGAAAGCTACCTTGATGATATCTGACTTCATATCCTCGGGTTTGCGCATCATAATTGCCTGCGAGAGAAGCGACGCGTTGCCCTGCCCAATCTTGCACTCCGTGAATAGTCGCCGCATGTCTTCTTCTGGTGGTATGATGCGGTTATGCGACGGCGTCTTGTGCTTCTTGTGATGCTGTACATTGCGAATGTGATGACAAGGGCGAAGAGGATATCAGTAAGCGACAGGTATACCTCTGGCTGACGACTTCATATCGCACCTGCTGTGGCGAGGGCGGAGAGCTGTGAGTTGGTGGTGGTGCTTCGTAGTTGGCGGGGTGCCCCATCTGCGATGCGCGACCGCCGTTAGAGGGAGGCGTGAACATGACGTCTTCAGTGTCGAGTGGGACACCCTGGGCGTAACTCAGCTCTGCGGCACTTCATAGCCACCACTATGCGCATACCTCGTCCGGCTTGTCCGCTGGCTTGACTTTGCGCCACAAACCCCGAAAGCCTTCGTTCTTGCCGTCCTTCGCTGCAACACGTTAGCAAGAGACGGCCGTTAAATGCGATTCCGTACTCACTTCGCCCACTTGCATAAGCAGCTGCGGCCACGACATCAAGAAGACGCTCGCGCACGACGGGCGATGTGCGCGATGAAGTCAACACGTCTTCTAGGCTATCCAAAAACTTGCGCGAGGTGGTTTGCGCGATGAAGGTCTCCGAGGAATTACGTAGCAGTATCGCCCATAGCTGTTATACTCGTCACGGTATGCACAAATGAGAGAGGTTAGGACGCTTACCCGTGCAGCGGCCAGTTGCGCAGGCGGCTCGCCATACCTGAGCGGGAGATAAACACGGCAGAAGCAGATATATTGATGACCACATACTTGAACTCGCGCCTGAGTGCCCGAACCGCCTCCTTAGCAAGAGAATCGCTGGCAGATGCGCGTTCGCAGACTTCAAGCACGAGGGCCCAATCTTCGGACGATGTGGCCGTCAGGTAACCTATATCGTTATATTAGCAGAGATCTAGAGAGTAACGTTGTCTGCGCACCAATCATTCTCGTAAGCTCGCCATCGTCCTCCCTCTTGGTGTCCTTTGTCCGATCGCCAAAGAGATTGGGCTGCCAGAACCCGCGTTTCTTTTCCGGTTCCTTCGGCATTGGCGCGGACTGGCTGTGCTCTGACTGCGTCGTGACTTCATCTCGTTCCAAGGATGGCGGGTCGAGTGCTCGTAGGGTATTGGTGATAGCGCCGCCGTGCGCCTGGGGCTGCTTGCGTATCTTGGTCGTATCCCGCGGCGGCTCCTTCGATCCCACGGGCGGTGGCGACACCATGCTGATGGCGCCCTGCATTGAGCGTACGCTGTACGGCGACGGCGATCGCGGGCTCGCAACAGGAGGAGATGCGCCCGGGGGCAGGCTGCCGTGCGAGGATTGGCGGGAGGGCGCGAGCGCAGGTGCGTGGGGACTCGTGAACTCATCGAGCAGCTGTGACTGACGGACGACCTCCCAGTTCTCATCTTCGTTCGAGGGGCGCGGCGGGCGGCGATGGACGGGTTCTGGGGGGAGGTATGGGTGGGGCGGGGGCGCGGGAGCGTGGTCGGGCTGGTGGTGGCTGTCAGCTGCGCGTGCGGCGCGATGGGGCGCGGGGGCGGGGCGTACGTCGATGTCGCGCGAGCCGGGGGCGACGCGCGCGGGCTTGGGCTTGTCGCGGGCGAAGAGCTTCTTCATGCGCGCGGTGGATGGTTGGGGAGTACGAGAGCGCGCACGGATGAGACGCTGGGCGAACGCTGTCACCAGATGCAGTGTTGCCTCCGCACGTGTCGCTGAAACATCATCGATCCGCTTGCCCTTTTGGCCTCTCCCGCCGCGTCCTTTGTTCCTGACCTCCTTGTGAAGCCTGGGCGACCCTTCGAAACTCTCTGGCTTGGTGGACGCGGCGTGCTTACGAGGTGCTCAGACGCCAGGTACTTTCTCTATCCCTCGGTGCCTGACTTATTCGTGCAAGAGTAGTACTGATGCTGATCAACGATGGGGCACTTGAACTCTTACGACTTGTTGCCGGTCCATTGACTCGATATGACTTGTTCTCGACCATGATCAACAAGCAGCTAGTCTACGATGCAAAAAGACAAGGCGATTGTTCTATGGTCGGTGTACGACCGGTAGTCTTTCGACTCCGGCATAAATTCGAGGGAATATACCGCACGATCTGCGGGCACAGAGTTACCTTCGACATCGCTCCTCGACATCTTCCTTCGCCTGCTCTTCAGTGGGTTACGCGACCCAAAATCGCTTTGCTTCGGTATGATTGGGGCAACAGTAGTGTTCAAAGCATCATCGCCGTCTTGTCATAGACTCATAATCCCCTGTTTTGCGGGCTTGGTGGCGGATATCTCTCCGTATAATCGTCTATGATTGTTGCGTTTTAATGTCCGAGTACCCCATGGAAGGGGGGATGACCATGATCCCACCGTGTCAACAAAGAGAGCCTCAGGCTCCTGCTACATTCTGAGCATTCATGGGATCGTCACAACGTGTCTCTGCCCTTCTCCTAAGTTGAATGTTACCCACCCTCGCGGGATCGGCACGATCACCTCTTCGTAAGTAGAGAAAATAAGGCTCCTGTAAAGTGGACTATCCCTAAGGCGTAATAAGAAGTAGTACACGCACAGAGTCATTCGATGCATAGATCAAGGTAGAGGACGCTGACCTGACAGCAGCGACTGCCTAGGTAGCGCCTGCAGATGTAGGTCCAACCGCTTTACTTCCAAATCGAGTCCTTTCACCGACCTCCGGTTATCCCGGCCCGCATCCATCACCCATCAGAAACTCCACGTGCCACCTGATCAGTCCCGATCAAAGTGCTTTTCCCGAAAGTTTTAGCACTTGCGTCTCTTACCTCGTCCGCCCAGCTTCCCCCTTCCTCCCGGTACTTGTACCGGTTTTCCATTTCCTTTTCTTTCCTTTAACACCCTCCCCCGCCTTACGACTGCGATGGCTAAGGCTGCGAAGGGCGACGCGAAGCCTGCGAAGGTCAGCAAGGGCGACAAGGCCGCGAAGGTAGACAAGAAGGCGAAGAAGGAGACCAAGGCTGTCCCTACGGCCGCGGAGATCATGGCCAAGAAGGTCGTTGAGGTAGGTGTCCTGTCATATCTGCTGCCGATGCGGCCATCTTGAATGGAGAGGGAATGAGACGGGGACGTATCATACATCGTGCAAGATGCACGCTTGCTCATCGTGCGAAGAATGCTCCCACCACCTTGCCTCGGTCAATCCATCGGTGCTCTGCGGCTGATAGTTGACACCCATCCCAGAAGCCTGTGAAGGCTGACAAGAAGGCCGCGGCGGCGAAGGAGGCGAAGTCAAAAACTTCCACCCCGAAGAAGGCTGCTAACGGCAAGGTACGCACGCTCTGTCGATCATTATAGTTCCGTTTGCTAATCCCTCTCAAGGCTAAGGCCGCCGAGTCGTCCGACGACAGTAGCGAGAGTGACTCCGAGGAGGAGGCGCCGAAGCCGGCTACCAACGGCAAGGTGCGTCAGCTGTTCCCTCCCCTCCCATCACCCTCACTAATCCACGTATCTCACAGAAGGCCGCTGCTGCCGAGTCCTCCTCATCCGACTCCTCTGACTCCGAGAGCGAGGACGAAAAGCCGAAGGCCGCGCAGGTCAAGGCAACCCCCTCAAAAGCGGCCGCGAAGGCTGCGTCGTCGGACGACTCCGATGACAGCGACAGCGACGACTCTGACGCGGAGAAGAAGACGCCGGCCAAGGCCGCTGTAGCCAAGAAGGCCGCGGCTGCGGACTCGGACTCCAGCGATGACTCTGACGACTCTGATGACGAGAAGCCTGCCGTCAAGGCCACACCCGCGAAGGGCACGCCGGCGAAGGCTGCCGCTAAGGCTGCTGAGTCGAGTGACGACAGCTCGGACGAGGACAGCGATGAGGAGGAGGCACCTAAGAAGGCGGCGGCGAAGCCGGAGACGTCGTCTGACGACTCGGACTCAGACTCTGACGAGGAGGAGAAGCCGGCGGCGAAGAAGGCTGCTGCTGAGTCCTCGGACGACTCGTCTGACAGCGACGACTCTGACTCTGACGCTGAGATGGAGGACGGCACGAAGGCTGCCGCGCAGACCAATGGTGTGTACACTTTCTTCATCACTGCGGACAACATGTTGATGCGATTCCTAGGCAAGCGCAAGGCGACCGACGACGCCCCCGCAGCGTCCAAAAAGGCCAAGCTCGCCAACGGTGACGCCAAGGCTACCGGTGACGAGGAGGAGGAGTACACCTCCGTCTTCGTTGGCGGCCTCCCCTTCGATGTCGACAACGACCGTCTCCAGCAGGAGTTCGCGAAGTTCGGCGACATCGAGTCCGCGATCGTCATGATGGACCGCCAGACCGGCAACTCGCGCGGCTTCGGGTACGTGCACTTCGCCACGCACGAGCAGGCGAAGAAGGCGAAGGAGGAGATGGACGGGTACGAGCTCGATGGCCGGAATATCCGCACGGGCACGGCGACGAAGCCGCAGCCGAAGGGCGCGCACGACCCGTCGTCGCGCGCGCGCCAGTTCGGCGACAAGCCCAGCGAGCCGAGCAGCACGCTGTTCGTGGGCAACCTGTCGTGGTCAGCGACGGAGGACGCGGTGTGGGGCTTGTTCAACGAGTATGGTGTCAAGAACGTCCGTCTGCCAACGGAGTTCGAGACGGGCCGCCCGAAGGGCTTTGGGTATGTCGAGTTCGAGGACATCGAGGGTGCCAAGAAGGCGTACGAGGCCCTCGCGGGAGCTGAGTTGGATGGGCGCAACATCCGCCTCGACTACTCGCAGCCGCGCGACAGCAACGGCGGTGGTCGTGGTGGTGGGCGCGGTGGCTTTGGCGGTCGGGGCGGTGACCGCGGCGGCCGTGGTGGCGGTCGTGGCTTTGGTGGTGGTCGTGGCGGAGGCTTCGGTGACCGTGGTGGCCGTGGCGGTGGTCGCGGACGTGGTGGTGACCGCGGGTACGGTGATCGCGGCCGTGGCGGCCGCGGTGGTGGACGTGGCGCACCCCGGGGCAGCGCCCGCTCGGGTGCCGCTGCTGCGTTCGAGGGGAAAAAGATGACCTTCTGAGTGTCTTGTACTGGATAATTGGGTTCACGGTCTATCATCTATCATGCTTGTTTGTATGTCCATGCCATGCCATTATGTGCTTGCTTGCCTTCTGCTACTGAAAGAGTCCTCTTCTGTAATGTTCTATGGTTACCCGAGTATAAAGGTGGGTGAGTTCACCGATGCATGCAAGGCATCTCGCATGGATTCCGCTTTCGTACCGAGTACATCTGATCGACAGAGTCAGTAAATGGCTTGATCATCGCACAGCACCTGACTCTCGAAACTGCCGAACGTATATGGATGACTGCTACTAGTCAGTAAATGCGAAAAAGCGGGTGAGGCAGGTGGACGCCGTCAAGCAGCAGTGGAGCCGCAACTGACTCCCGAGCACATATCAATACCTCGTCAGCAGTGAGTGATTCCATATCGGTAAGCGCAAGAATAGTGGCTTCACGCGCGCTGGCGGATGGGGAGAGATGAACCCGTGACGTCCATGTGGCGCACGTGGTTTCCGCATGTCGTCGCGTATTCCGGCCTTGTCTCTTTCCTCTACCTTCTTCGAAGCACAGCTAACGTCCCTTGCGATCTCTCTCAAGTCAGTACAGGATGATTTCGACCTCGCTCGCAGTCCCCGACCTGCCCACTTCTCCCGCGCGTGCCGAGTGGACGCTCAACGAAAACGACGAAGATGTCCGACGCATGGTCATAACCCGTGGCTTGGTCAACCAGTCACCCGACGTGTACAAGGACTCGTTCGGGCGCGCTTACTGGCAACTTCCCGCATACTATGCTCTCTGCTACGTCACGTCCACGTCGAACATCTATTACCAGTGCAAGAAAAGGCCCATCGATCGCAACGGCAACCAGGCCTTCTTCGGTGACCGGTGCTTCACCGTCTTCATGTGGCTCGAAAGGCTGAAGGCGACACTTGGAGTGTCGGAGGACAAAGGCTTGGTCAAGTGCGAGCTCAAGGACGGGCGCTTGGTGTATGTGCTGGTCATCGCGGCGTCGGACAAGCCAGATACAATTCCGCGTCCAGCCGCACGTATTCAAAAGTTCAGGGAGTTTCTGGAACTCAGGATAGAGCCCGTCGTGCGGAGAGTTGTGCAGCCTCCGGTGCGTTTTCTCATCTCTCTCTGATTCTACGCAACTCATCTCAAAATTTGGACGTACCAGCTTTATGATTAACTCATTACAACGCCGCTTCGTGTCGACCAAGAGTTCCCCAACTCATTTCCTACTCACGTCCAGGCTTTCTATGCTTGTTACTCATCGTACCTGATCGCAGCTCGTGCTCTCCTCTGTGATGTAGCGTACGGAACCTTCTGAGCCTTGCAAAAGGGACAGGCAACGTCGATCCAGTGTGACCAATGGCAGCGATTGCTTATAATCTATCTTGTTCGTTGCCTGTCAAGTCACGCTATGCCCTTGATACTAATTTAGTTTACGAAAGAAGCGCTAAGCCTAGCAATTGAACGGATGACTCAGGATCACAGTTGAACTTCGCGCGGGCTGAACGGCGGGAGACAGGAATCCAGTCCATCGTCCATGTAGCTCACTCGGTCTTTCAAGTGCGATGAATAACTATGCAGAATAGATATTTGTGAAGATCATGGAGATCATACAATACATGCGATCCGCTACTAAGAAACCTAAGGAGTGCCACTTGAGTGCGGATCAGTGCGGAGTGGTCCTCGCGCGCTTCAGCTTGTTCTTCTTGGCGTCTTTCTTGCCTGGCGCGTTGAAAAACTTGACAGGGTGCGGCGCGCGAGTCGAGCGTCTGAGTTCAGAAGACTGCCGAGTGGACGTCGACGCCGCGGGCTGAGTAGATGTCGAAGCGGCGGGCTGAGCAGATGCTGAAGCACTGCGACGAGTTGGCACAGGCCGTACTGAGGCAGAAGCAACGGATTGAGTATCGCCACCAGCAGACGAAGGAGAACATGAACGAGACGGCCCCTCGGGTGGGAGTTCGGTACGAGCTTTCTTCCGCGGCGGTGCATCCTCGTCAGAGTCGGAGCTCTCGTAAGCGCCCGGATCCTCGTCGGCTTCAATTACGGGGGAAAGAGCCGAAGTGGCGACGTTAAAGTCTTGCTCGATGTCGGCAGCGGGAGGAGGATCCGCGCGCGCCTTGCCCTTGCCCTTGCCCTTGGTTCGGTCTTTTCCCCTCGAGCCCTCGTTCCCATTGTCGCCCAGCTTGCGCGTCATTGCTCTTGTCAGGCGAGGGGAAGGCGGAGGAGGCGGAGGAGGCGGAGACGGCGGAGAAGGGGGCGCAGGATTGGGCACGGAGTCGTTCTGCTCGTTGTCTTCTGCAGGCGGAGTACGTTGACGCTCTTGCGCGTTCAGCTGTTCTTTGTCGCGAAGGTCGCGCGCTTGCTGCTCCATCTCGTCGTGCTTGAACGTTTCATTGAGCCAGGCAACGAGCTTGTCTTCCCGACGGTTGCTCGCGTCGGACCCGTACCAGGTAGGAAGGGACCACGGCTGGACCCTGAAGGCAGGCCGCTCCTTCTTCGGCTTGGCGATGTCGGAGGCTACAAGCTGATCGCCCTTTGGCTTGCGTGTTGCGATCGTGTGCGTGTAGAAGTCGCCCGAGGTCGCGAAGAGTAGGATAGAGTTCTGGTGTTCCCATTGGGGGCTGGCGAAGAGGACGCGAGCCTGAGTGGGTGTCAGTGGGATATAATTCGTCGTTGTCTACACGGCCCAGACACACCTGTTCAATATTGTCAACTTGGGCCTCGTCCATGAAAACAGAGAATGAGTGGGACCACGGCATTGTCGTCTGCTCGGTCTCCTGGCGAGAAGGGAGGCGCTTGGATTCGGTGTTGACCAACTTGGTTTCATAGACCTTGTAGCCGTGTAAAAGCGAGATCGGGTTGAGAGGGATATCGAAATCCTCAGGGTCGGTAGGCGGAAGCTTCCTCAACTCGCGCTGGACTTCCTCCACAGATTGGAACACAGGCTGCTTGGTACGTTTCTTGGTACGGGTGGAAGGCTTGTTGGTCGAGATGGATTGCGAAGGCGCCTGTTCACTGCCACTGTGCGCATGCGCAGCGTTGTCTGAAGGCAATGTCAGCCTAAACCTTTCTCCTTCGAATATCTAGCGCGTTGACTCACCTGAGGCGACATCGCTTCGCGACTGTCGAGCCTGAACGGCGCTTGATTCCTGTAATCTGCACCCGCCATTGGACGGGACATCAGCCGCGGGGACCAGCGCATTTGTCGTCCATTCCTGTCGCTTCTTCCTTGCCGCGATCATGGCCTGAGGTGTATAGTCGGGGGAATAGTACGCGTTGATGGCGCTATCCGGTACCCGATGGCGGGTGCCACCGACAGCAGTCTTAGCGCTACCAGAAGGGACATGAGGAGCGCGAGGCACAATGCGCCAATCTTGAGCAAAGGCTGTGGTACTCTGTTAGACATTGTAAATGTATTGCTTCTCATTTGAATAGTGGGCCCAGCTTACAGGTCCTGCGCCTGTCTTGCTCTTTGCCAGTTCTTGAGAGGCCTGTGGGGGTTCAGTCGCTGTTACGAGACAGAGAATTGGAGGAGCACACCATCTGGACCACATTTGGTTGGACATTGCTGCTCGACGACGCCTGCTGTTGTGTCGTGGATTTTTCGTCGGGGACTTTGACTTTTCGGGACTGCGTAGAGTGTCAGTAAAAACACCCATGTGACAAAGAAGACCTCACGTCGAAGGTACGAGTGGCATCCATGCCATCGAGGGTATCAACATCAACAATGTCCAGCTCCCCTTCGAGATCGCCAGCTACAGAAGGAAGTGAGCGTCATGATCCCCAAAATTTTTGTACAAGCGCCAACTCACTGTCAAGACCTTCCGACTCCTGGTCAGGTATTCGTTCTTGAAGACCCCGACTGGACGGGTCAAAGGCCTCATCTTGAGATGGGACTGTAAAGCAGCGTGAGCTAAGGGGATGGTGAGATGCCAGTGTATACACACCTCCCACACCGGTATGCTCTTCCTCGCGAGTGAGACTATCGTCCGGATCGAGCCAGACTTCCACGTCGGCTAGCCGAGGAGGAGTGTGGCGGGTGTTGTGTGCCCAAACAGATTCTTGCGCAGTTCCGTAGGCGTTGCAATGCAGTCGCCTGCACATTCTGCCCAGTACGAGGTTCCAGAATCCGTGCCAGCGATCCTCAAAGTTACGCGGGTTCAGGTCGTATGAGAGCCCACACATGCGAGCGAACTCGAGGTGGAGATCTTCCCTGCTGAGGGAGGTCATGAGAAACGTGATGAACCAATGGGAGGAGCAAAGGTGAAGGGCATACCGGGCGACCAGCTATTATATGTACTCCGCCTATTTGGGCCTCGAGGCGTGCAAAACAAACAAGACACATTACGGATTGATGGCTGCGGACAAACATATGACTAGGACAATCGCGGGATGCAAACAAGTTGATGGGGATCTTGGCCCTGCCCCGGTTTTAGCCAGATTTGGGCAATAGCGAAATTAAGATGAAAGAGGGCTGTGGGGAAAGTGGCCATGGAAGCGAGGATAGAATGGAAGCGAAATGCATTCGTGGAGCGACCGCATGCCAAATCTAATGCTACATAACCCAGTGGCTGCGCTGAAACCGTCTGGCCCGAGTTTGGCAAGCGATGCGGGCCAATGCAATGAGGCGAACAAACAAACAAACGCACGCTGATGTCACACACGTGCCGTTCAAATCCGTGACTGCGGTCACCAATTTCTCACGAACGCGCCTTGTTCTGATCTCCCATCCCGCACGCCACACTTCTGCCATGTCCTCAGAAAGAGGTGCGTAGGCAGTCTTTCTTGTCATAACCGTTCATTTAACACAGCTTTTAGAATACCTTTACACGTTTGACGAGAACGACGACGACCCCACGCTCATGGTCATCACCCCGCCCCTGTGCACACAATCACCCGAGGGTCATATTGACGCATATGGTCGAACATACGCCAAGTTCCCATCCTTCTTTGGCCTCTGCTACGCTGTCTCCACGAACCACATAGTCGACATGTGCAAGCGCACTGGCGACGGGTACTACGGTGACCGCTGCTTCACGATCATCAAGTTCTTCGAACGACTGGAGGCAGCCACCGGAGTGAACCGCGACAACGGCATCCATCGGGTGGAGCTTCCGAGTGGATATATCGCATACCTTCTGGTCATCTCCTGCTCGGATCAGCTAGAGACTTTACCGCACCCTAAGAATCGGATTCAAAAGTTCAAGCAAGTTCTGCACACCAACAGAGATCCCATCCCGCGCAAACTTGGTCAGCCCAGGGTGCGTCATATGTTCTATCTTCTCATCTCGATCACTGACAATCCTCCAGATGTACGACGCGGCGTAGGCTATGTGGTTTTTCAGTCGGAAGTATCTCGGGTGGATCTCCTGCTATGCTGTATATTGCTTTACCTGCTTTCTCGTTGTAATGCATGTCCTCGCTATGTCGGCTTTCGTTGCCACACGCTATGTATCATTCGCGGACTTCCCCCGTTTCGTGTGCTCAAGTCTCGTCGTTCCTCAACACGTAAGGCTCATCGTCTCTGCAGATGCCCTGTAAACACGCCCAGCTCCCGGTCATGGAGATTCAGTGCCCCGTCGTTCCCCACTGGATTTGGTCTCTTGAGCGCGTCGCCCGAGCACGTGGCAGTCACGTGAGGTAAATGCCCTCGATGTGCCACAGCGTCACGCAACTCATATTACTGCTACATTCATTGTATTTTATCATTGGAACAGATCCGCATCATCGCTCGCATATCGCACGCGTCTCGCTCACCGGCACCTCTCCGTGCTGACTAGCAGCTGGATTCGAACATCCAAGAGTTTGCTGCGCACGTGGCACGAAGCTCCGTGGCTCCGGCGGATCCCACGAACGCGCCTTGTTCCCTACCCTCATCTCCCCCGTTGCACCGAGAGAAATGGCTTCCCTCTCCACCGTGCCGACATCCTCCGCTGGAAAAGGTACCTTCACCTTCGACGAGAACGAGGATCCTCGTCTCATGGTCATCACACCACCCATGTACAATCAAACACCCGTGCCGCACACCGACTCGCATGGTCAGACCTACTTCCAGCTGCCTCCATACTATGGTCTTTCCTACGTTGTTACGACCAACAACATCTACAACATCTGCAAGCGCACTGGCGACGGGTTCTACGGCGATCGCTGCTTCACCATCATGCAGTTCTTCGAACGACTGGAGGCTGCCACCGGGATTTATCGCGACCACGGACTTCACCCTTACGAGCTTCCGGATGGGCGTACCGCCTATATTCTTTTGATCTCTAGCTCAGACAAACCAGACACCGTCCCACGCCCTGCTGCACGGATCCAGAGGTTCAAAAGGATATTGCATACGAAGCAAGAACCCGTAGTGCGCTCATTCACACAGCCGAAGGTGCGTCAGCTATCATATTCTCTGACCGCGCGCTTACACGCAGTCGCTCAGATGTACCCACCTTGAGACGCGTGTATAACGCTTTAAATCAAGTGGCCGTCCTATGCATGCTATCGTGTCTGTAGAATTCCCTCTCCGAGCTTTCCCTGTCCTCTCCTATTTTACACGAATTCTTCTTCTCGAAAACCTTATGTATAATGCGTGCGAAACTGCAGAGTGATCGTCTTTCACTGTACGTACACTCCGCGCGCGCCTTCCAGGCTCATCGTTCATATCGCAGAGTTCACGTCGACGGTAAAGCAACGATGCTTGAGGGGTGAGGTCTGGGAGAACTCGTAGCTGATGCTTAGCGCCTGTTTTGTGCTGACAAGCATCCAAACACGTCGCTTTTTGGCTCGTGCGCGTCACGCGTGTGAGAAGCGTGGTCAGCCGCGCATCGAAGCTCGGACCTCTTTTCCCTGATCTTTTTGATTATGTCATCGCATAAACGCACCTTGTACTCTTCTTTCACCACAACCTCAAACACATTCGCGCCTCAAGCACTTCCGACCATGGTCTACGCCGAAGGTGACTCGTCTGTCCGCTACCTACGCGTAATACCCTGTTGACATTGATGCAGAAACCTGGACTCTCAACGAGAACGACGACGTTCGACGCACTGTCATCACGAAAGGGATGATCGGTCAAAGGCGCAACCTGCATCAAGATTCATTTGGTCGCCACTACTGGCAATTCCCCGACTACCATAGCCTCTCCTACGTCACCTCCACGACGAACATCTATCACGAGTGCAAGAAGAGGCGCGTCGATCACAATGGCCAGAGAATCTTTTACGGCGACCGGTGCTTGACTGTGTACAAATGGCTTGAGCGCTTGGAGGCCGAGCTTGGTGTTACGGAGGGTAATGGCCTGTACAAGACCGAGCTCGATGATGGGCGGCTTGTCTACGTGCTTGTCGTTGCTGCTTCTGAAAAGCCGGAAACCGTGCCGCGCCCTGCCGCGCGCATCGAGGCGTTCAAGAAATTCCTGAACACGAAAAAAGAACCCAGGGGGCGTCGAATGATTCAGCCCAGAGTGCGTACCTCATATACTCCGGAAAGCGCGTGCTTAATTCACCTTCTTTCAAAGCTACCAGGCTTGAGCCACTTATGCATTCCGACCATCGCGTGCGATGGAATCGGTTATACTAGGCTGCCGCTAAATGCTTTCTTTCTGCATCTGTCAACTGATACTTACTGTCGTTGTACTTATGTACTGCTTATTGGCTGCTTCGAATGCCATCTCAATCCGTTCTTGGGCTGACGCCGTGTCGAAATTTCGTGGTTCTGACACGAAGGGAGTAAACTTGTGGCCATTTGCTCCCGTGGCATTTGGCTCCGCGATGGGTGCCCATCATTTCCCACGTCCGTACCTTGTCCCGAACCTTTACATCGCACGCCACATCGACATGTCTTCGGCCAGAGGTGCGTCGATAGACCTCTATCAACCCATCTTGCCGTCTCAAAGACCTCATCAGCGCCCACCTGCACGCTCGACGAGGACGACGAGGACATCACGCTCATGGTCATCACTCAGCCCTTGTGCAAACAGACCCCCGAGGTTCACCGCGACTCGGACGGCGCTCCATACACCCAGATGCCGTCTTTCTTCGGTCTTTGCTACGCCACCACCACAAACAACATTTACAACATGTGCAAGCGCACCGGAGACGGCTTCTACCGGGATCGCTGCTTCACGCTCATCAAATTCTTCGATCGACTCGAGGAAGCTCTTGGTTTAAGCCTTGACAACGGCATCCATAGGGTAGAGCTTCCGAGTGGGCTTATTGCTTATGTGCTCGTAGTCTCCTGCTCGGACAAGGCGGAGACCCTCCCGCGGCCCGCGGCTCGAATTCGGAAGTTCAAGGCCCTTTTACACACCGAGAGAGAACCGGTTCCGCGGCAGCTCGTTCAGCCTAGAATGCGTCGCCTGTCATCTCTCCAAATCTTGCGCACTCACTCACCGGTCTTCAGATGTACGCGTAACAGGTAAGCTGGTGTCATTGTGTCGAACGCTACATCCTCTTCTCAGCGTTGTCAGCTTCGATCTCGTCTGTACTGTATGCTACGCGTGTCTCTTTCTTCCTAACAAAGCTATCTTGTTTTACGTCCATCCTACCAACGAAATGATTTGCTTACTTCCTTGGATGGGATCTGCGTTAGACAGAGGGTGTCCGTCGGCGCGTCGCTCTCTGATCTTTCTCGAGCGCGCCACCCAGCCACGAGGTAGTCACGAGAATGTCGCTTATGCCTGAAATGATGCCAGCGGCGTCGCGTAGCTCGGATCCTGGCCGTCACCTCGCCATATCCGCCACTCAACTGAACTCCCGACATGAGTATGGAGAGAGGTGCGTGTGTTCCCTCGTAAACCTACCGATCGTCTGACCTTCAGCCAGCCTCCACATGGACATGCGACGAGAATGATGAAGACGTCCGCCGCATGATCATCACACCCGGGATGATCAGCCAAAAAGCAAATATCCACCGAGACTCGCTCGGTCGTCCCTACTCACAACTCTCCGACTACCATGGCCTTTGCTACGCCATCACGCCATCCAACATATACAACATGTGCAAGGCCAGGCCGAAAGACCGCGAAGGCAACAAGTGCTTCTACGGTGACCGGTGCTTCACCATCTACAAATGGTTCGAGCGATTGGAGGAAGCGACGGGTATATTTCGCGGGAAGGGCTTGTACGAATGCGCGCTCGATGACGGGCAGCCGATGATGATACTCGTCATTTCCTGCTCGGATAAACCGGACACCATCCCACGCCCCGCGGCGCGCATCAAGGCATTTAAGGATTTCCTGGGCACCAAAAGGGAACCAATGGTCAAGCGTTTTGTGCAGCCTAGGGTACGCTTTCCCTCACTTCCTCATTGCTTTCGCAATGACAGTCCCTCAGATGTATAGCGCCTGAGCTGGCTGCGTGTATCTGTCTTGGATCTGGAATCTAGAAGGGCTTGCCGCTATGCTATCTAATTGCTCTCTCGCCACTGTATAATACCCATCCTCGTCCTTGTGATTAAACACGATGCTGCCGACAACCTCGGCGCGTGGTGATTGTTACTTTTTGGAATCTTTGAACGATCATGCAGGTCGTGTCTCTTTCTTCATCGTTAGCACGGGTGATCTTGATTGACCGATGTTGATCTTTGAAGGTGCGTGACGCCCATGTGGCATCCGGCTCCGTGATTCCCACGCGCGCTCCTTGTCCTCTACCTTCATCTCTCACATGGCATTTCAGAACATGGACACATTCTCAAGCTCGCCGGCATCTCACGAACACCAGTCTACTTGGACCTGCAACGATGACGATCCCGACATCCGACGCATGGTCATCACTTGCGGCATGATAAACCAGAAAGCTGAGGCGCACCGTGACTCGCTTGGACGCCATTACTGTCAGCTTCCCTCTCATTATGGCCTTTGCTACGGCATCACGCCGTCGAACATATACAACATGTGCAAGGCTATCCCGATGGATCGCGACGGCAAGCAATGCTTCTACGGCGACCGGTGCATCACCATCTACATGTGGTTCGAATGACTTGAGACGGCCACTGGAATATCGCGCAGAAATGGCTTGCACGAATGCCAGCTCAAAAATGGGCAACCAGCTATGTTGATGATCATCGCTTGCTCGAACAAGCCGGAGACCGTTCCACGTCCCGCTGCTCGCATTGAGGCATTCAAGACATTTCTTTGCATTGAGCGAGACCCGGTGGTGCGCAGGCTCAACCAGCCCAAAGTGCGTTCTGCCTTGTCTTCTGTTTGCTGTGCGTTAGTGACAGTCCTTCAGATGTACGGCCTCTAAGTTGGCGGTGTACTGCTCTAGTGACTAGAGTCCCGTTAATAGCACGCCTTCTTCTTATGCCATCTTTTTGCTATCTCGTCCCTGCAAAATACCCATTCAAGTTCCTCCCTGCGCCCTCTCGCTATGACCATTCATGTTCACAGGTCGTACACATTGGGGTAGACCTGCATTGTTATTCTCGGATGATATATACGTCTCGCTCACCGGCACGTCGTGGTGTTATGAGCGTCCTGGAGTGACTGATCAGGGAAACCTCGCAGTTCGTCGTTTGGAGGATCGAACGTCAGATGCCCCGGAGACGGCCGAGTATCATTTCAGCCAGGTCGTTCGCACCCCATCTGCCCTGCAAAGTCCGTTCATATGCACTCCTGGCAGATGCGCAAATAAATACATCAGTATCTCAATGTACTTTTATCATGCAGCCGCATCCGCGGCCTCGGGGTACAACTCCTGCGCCACCCGGTCAGCTTCGACCTCAGCCTCGCCCGCAGGGCCCGCCTCCTTCTTCTCCTCTGCCTCCACCGGCTTCTCAGCATCGGCAGGCTGCTCCACTTTCGCCTCCTCAGCCGGCACCTCCTGCGTCGTGCCCTCCGCCACCGCGGCCACCGTCACCTTCTCCTCCACCTTTTCCTTCCCCTGCTCCTGCACCGGCGCGCCCTCCGGGTGCTTCGCCCCGCCCTCGCCCTGATTTGTCAGCACGGAGCTGATCTGCTTCTCCTCCTGCACGACCTCGACGCGCTCCGGCGCCGCGGCGCTCTTCACGTCCTTCTTCTCCTCGTTGAAGATGTTGCGCCCGGGCTCGACCTTCGCGCCGATTGCGGACGTGTGCGGCTCTTCCTCCGCGGGCTTCTCTTCGTGCACGACGATGGGCGCGCGCCCGCCGGGCTCGCCGCCGACGGTGGCGACGCTCGACTTTTGCGGCGTGTGCGGGATGGTCGTCTCGTACTTGGCGTACTGGGGAGGGAGTTAGCTAGCTATTCGGGAAGGGGCCAAGTCCCGCCACCCACATCGTCAAAGAAGTCGTTACTGGCAAGATATGGTGAGCGAAAAGGTTCACAGCGGATGCCAATCACATACCACGAGAAATCCCACGTCTTCAGCCACCTCGCACTCTCGCACTGCTTCTTCGTCCACGGCGTGCCATAAGCCAACGGGCTCAGATGGTTGAAGTTCGCGATGGCGACCAACAGCAACAACGCAGCCACACCCAGCCGATAGCGCGTGCGCAGTGTTGACGTCAGGACGTCAAAGACGACGCAAAGAAGAAGGATGGCGAAGTACAAAGCAGGTAGGTAGTGGTGGAGGAACAACTGGCGGCCCATGAGGTAAAAGGGGAAGTAGTGCAGCGCCCAGCCCATGAAGAGGAAGCCACAGAGGCCGTCGTACTTGAGGACCTTGCCTAGCAAGCCAAATCAGTACCGTCAACAGAACCTGAGAGAAGGGGTCAGCGTACTGTTGTCCATATCGCGGTAGCCGCGCTTGGCGCGCAGGATGACGAAGGCGCGGAAGGCGACGTAGGCGAGGACAGCCGCCGTGCTCAGCCACCACAGCATAGGGTTGCCGATGAGGTAGATCTGGCGGTGGTCCTTGACCCAGAAGTTCTGCGGAGATGTATGTTAGCGATGTCTGCCCGTTGGAACTTGTGAAATACACGCACGATGCCACGGCGCAGACGCGGCCAGGAATCAGGGCGCGAGTCAAACGTATGACGGTCCGTCAAACCCTGGTTCGTTGTCCACATAACCTGCTGCAGCTCCCAGAACTTCGAGAGGAAGCCCGGCAGGCGGTAGTTGACCTTGGGCGCGTCGTCTGGCACTATCGAGGTCCTCAGCAACTCGTCCACCTCTCACGAAGGTCGCACACACAGTTGGGATGCACATTCGTCTCCACGAACCACAGCGAGTTGTCGCGCACCGCATTCTTGTTGCACGTCACCTCCTGCTGCTCCCAGCCCCAGTCCGGCAGCTTGACCTTGTGCGAGAACAGGTAGCACCCCTGGAGCGCATGCCGCAGCCTGAACGTCGTCCGTAGGGTCCGCACGCGCTTGTACGACTCCTTATCCCTCCGATCCCCATGCTCAATCTCCACAATCCAGTCATCATTCGCGTCCCCCGCAAAGTTCGCCATCCCATACGCCGACACCTCGTTCTGGAAGTCGACGTCGCTCACGGGCGGGCGGATGTCGTGCGAGTGCAGGTTGCGCTGCGTCTGGATGTGGCGCAGCTTGATGCGCGTGCCGTGCGTGAGGTACGCGACATCCTCCGCGTCGCGCCACGCGTCCCAGTCCTCCGCCGTCGCGTTGATCACCGCCCACTCGTTGTTCGAGTCGCGGTGCGGGTAGAGCGTGACCTGCTGCTGCTTGCTCCCGCCCGGGTAGTTGTGCGGGTGCGAGTGGAGGTAGCCGCCCTGCGTGTTGACGTGCCGGATGGTGACGGTGGAGCCGATGGCGACGTCGGCGAAGGTGTCCGCCATGTGCCGCCCGGAGAGCGTGTGCTGGAACTCGGAGGACATGAACCCGTCGCCGTCGCCCGAGGACTGGAGGATGGCGAAGTGGATCTGGAACATGGACATGTAGAAGAGGATGGGGATGACGATCAGGCACAGGGCGCGCGCAAGGAAGTGCTTGACGAACAGCCTGGGCGGCACGCGCAAGTCACCTAGGAGCTGCCATAACTGATAGATCGTGCTGAAGCCGACCGTCGCGACCGTAAACAGGCCCACCCACTTGCAGCTCAGCACCGCACCAAGGGAGAGGCCCGACAGCGCGAGCCAGGCCCACCACGTCTCCGTGAACGGCTGGTGCTTGTCCTCGTTGCAGAAGCCAGCCCAGAAGAAGATGCTGAGCGCGGTGAAGAAGATGAGCGGCGAGTCGAGGAGGATGTGGCGAGACTGAGTGACCATCGCGTTCTCGAAGATGATGAAGACGGAGGCGAGGAGCGCGGTGGTCGCGCGGCAGTCGAGCGCGCGGATGGTGAGGTAGGCGAGGGGTACGGTCGCGACGCCGAGGATGCCAGGGAGCATGCGCATGGCGACGTAGGGGGTGGTGTCGTCGTAGACTCTGAGGAAGGATTAGACGCGGGTCATACAAGTGAATTGAAGACTCACTTTGCAATGTCCTTGAAGTCAAAGTGCCCATCATATCCAAAGATGAAGGCAACAAGGGTGATCAGCAGCTTCGCCAGAGGGGGATGCACGTCCATAAAGTACTGCGTCTTGATGTACTTGCTCGCGAACTTGCCAAAGTGGACCTCATCGAAGCTAGATGCGCGTCGTCAGTCGCAGAGTCGAGGAAGAGAGACGGACACGCACACAACACTATTCGGCCATGATATATGCCAGAGGCGCACCCAGCAAGCAAGCCCAATGATCGCCAGCAGCAGCTTCCATTCGCCCGACGTCAAATGCAGACCGCCGGGCGGGAAGTACTTGCGGCCCGGCGCGTACCCCTTCGAGGCTGCCGCTCTCCTCTCGTCCGCGTCAAAGTGGTCCTGTCTGTAGGTGAGGGGGTAGTCCTTGTACTTTGGAGGTGAGGGCGCCCGCCGCGCGCGGAAGGTGCCCGTCGGCTCCATGGTTAGAGGGTGAGGGTAAAGGAATATAGAGCCCTGGGTGAGGTTGCTGGGATTACAGACTGGAATACAGTAGAAGGATCGTGGAGGGAGTTGGCGCAGACAAGATGTGAAAGTTCTGGTTCAGCGAGATCGCGCGCACGGCCTGCGGCTGCGCGCAACGTCGGCATTTGCCGAAGGGCCTTCGAACACGTCACTTTCCTTCTGCACGCCGAATTTCTTGTCCTATTCCAGTTCTGATGCCTGCATGGACGGCGCAAATATAATTGCTTCTGTCTACGCTCTCTCTTACCGTCCTCAAAGCTGCAGGCACAATCAGTCTCGACGGCTTCGAAATCCACCCAAATTCTGGAAGCTGCACGATGCAATCATTCGATGTTTTCGACCTTGAGATGAGGCTCAGGTATAGTCGTCACTGAGCCATCTCTAGATCTGGGCCTACTGTAAGGATGGGATATGGCTGCTGCAAAGTTGCTCAAAGTCTCCATGTCACGAACCCGAACCGTGACACGTGGGCTTCTGATCGGTCCGAACAACTATCGCATTTCCTTTTCCGTCATCTCCTTTGTTCTCTCATCTGCCCGCCGCATCGTTTCCCTGACTACCGCCCACTCTCGCGCATACGACCTACGGCAGCTGTATATACCTTATATCTCACTTCCTTGCGCCCACACCAGCAGTCAACAACTTCGAGCAGGTCTTTGAACACCAACCTCTACCCACTTCGACGCGTCCCCCAAGTCCTCTACCACTTGCATCCTCATGGCCGCCCCCTCCGCCGCCCCCCTCAAGGTCTCCAGCGCCGGCAGCAGCGACCTCACCTCCTCTCCCCTCAAGCGCTCCCCGTCCTCGCGCCCGAAGCCGCCCAGCAGCGCCCCGATCAGCGCGAACGGCGCTGTGCCGGATATCTCGAGCCCCCATGAGCTGACTGCGTTTGTGAGTGGTGATTTCATTGTGCTGAGTGCGTAGCTTGTGGTATTGGCGCCCGTTGGTTGTTGCTGAGGCGCGCGTGGGTTGCTGCTGAGGCGCGTAGTTTAGGGCGCGCGGCGCGGCGTGAGCCACTCCACATCTGACCGTACGCTCACCCTTCTCCCCAGGTCGAAACCATGCTCGAGCACCTCGACACACGCTTCGAGGAGATGTCGACCGAGATACTGTCCAGAAGTGCGTGCTAGGCTCCCCTCTACTCTTCCCCTTCTCCCTTCTCCTCTCCTCCTCCCCCACACCCTTGCACTCCCTCGCCCATCGCCCTCACTCCCTTCCCCCCAACCTATGATCCGCCATACTTTCATCCGCCTAGCACTGACAATCCCCCAGTGGAACAAATGTCCTCCCGCGTCGACGCCCTCGAGGCCTCCATCTACGACATCATCAACAGCGACGCGCCCAGCATGCCGCCCTCGCCCTCGCAGATGCCCTCGCCCTCCCAGCTGCGCTCGCCGACGACGGGCATGCCGCCGATCCGGAGGAGCGACACGGCGACGTCGGTGCCATGAGTTTATGCAGGCGCCGTAGGTTCATGCAAGTGCCGTGAGGTTATGTAGGCGCCTTGAGTTCATGCACTGTGAACACACTTGCTAGTACCAGTAGGTGCTCTTGGGGTCTTCGTTAAACTCATACCGTGCGTCTCCCTCTTACCTTCACACTCCCCATAGCTCACGCCAGCCGCAGATATTCTTCCAAAGTACAGTATAGCATTCCAGTGTTGTACCCTTCCTGTGCACGGCGTCATTACATTCGAACATAGATCTCTTTCTGGCCCTCAGCTTCCTCCGCGCCGTCATAAATCCTGAATTATACGATTGATGTCTTCCAATCCTTCCAGCATCCTCGTACCTCCTCTCGGCCTGTCCCTCTGCTCACTCCCTCGTCCCGGCAGAATTCAGAACCCGAACATACTCCCCGCCACTGGCGTCGTGGACAAGTTCGCGGTCAGGCCGAACAGGTCGTCCGTGGCGGGCAGACCGGGTATATGCTGCCCGTTGGCGTCGCGAAAGCCGTACCCGTTCGCGAAGTGCTGTCCGGCCTGTCCTGCACGCGTGCTGGCACCTCGCCCGCTTCCCTGGCGGTTGGGTATCCGCTGGCCACCTCTTGGTTCCGAGCCTGCCGGACCGCCACTGGGATGCAGCCCTGCCAGCCCACCTCCGCTACCCCCACCCGCGCCCAAATCCGGGATCTCGACCGACCCAAGCTGCCGCCAGAGGTCCTCGATCTGGCTCGGGCTGAGGTCAGGCGGGGCGGTGAGGTGGCGCGAAGGGGAGAGTGGTCCGTGGTGCGGAGGGGAGAGCGACAAAGAGGAAAAGCCGGGCGGCGAGGACAGGCCATGGGGCGAGGAGGAAAGGTTGTGTGAGTGCGGGGAATTGGAGAGGCCATGCGGTGAGGAGGCGTTGCCGACCTTGTCGGGGTAGACCTGTGGGATGGAGGAGGGCTGTGGAGGCAAGGTCAGCTCAGCATCCAGGACGGTGGAGGGTCGCCGAAGGCAAAGACAGGAAGAGCGAAGGTAAGGACAGGAAGAGCGAAAGCACGTGCCCGATCGTCTCCGAGATTGAGCGTGATGTCTGCGGACAGGAGGGCCAACAGATCCTCGTCGGTGAGCGCTGCGGACGGTGCGAGCGGGTTCATGAAGGGGTCGTCCTGCAGCATGCGCGCCGCGTCGTCCTCGAGCAAGCGTGTTGCGTCCTCTTCGAGCATGCGCGTCGCGTCGTGCTCGAGCATCCGGGTGGCGTCGTGCTCGAGCAGCCGAGACGCGTCGTCGGCGAGTATCCTTATGTCGCTCGGCGAGAGATCCATCGCGAAGTCGTCCATCGCCCGACTTGCTTCTCTTTCGGACTGCCCGGCTTCTCTCCCGCGAGGTATGTTGACAGCTTCTGTCGAAGCTGGTCCCGCGTCCTTCTCTGCTTCCTTGCCCGCGGATCCATTCCCTTCTTTCCCCGCAGATCCCTCCATGGCTGTCATCGTAGCTTTCCCCGATTCCTTCGCTGCCACCTCTCTCCCCGATACCTCCCTCTCCGGACTCCTCGATCCCCGCATATCGCTGTCCCCATTCTCCCCATCTTCTTGTCCGTCCTCAGGCCCATTATCCCCAAACCCAGCCGGGAAAGTCCCGCACACCTCTTCCTCGACGGCGAGGATCTGCTTCGTTTCGGGACGCAGGTCGGGGCGCTTGGGTGCTGCATTGGCTGGGAGCATTATCAGTGGACAACCTTGCAACACGGAAAATCTCACTCACCTGGCGGCTCCTTCAGCCGCTCCCTCAGCGCGTCCAGCTCCTTGTATAGCCCTTCCCTCTCCTCGAGCAGCACGCGCACCTCTTGCGAAGCGAGCAGGCGCTGCGCGCGCTGACGCTTGTGGTGCGCGATGGACGCATCGACGATGAGGCCTTTGGAAAGGCGGCGAACGTGCGCTAGGTTGGGGAGGAGGCGAGCAAGGTCCTGGAGGAGGATCGATGTTGGAGTGGAGGGAGAAGGTGAGAAGGATGGGAATACGACAGAGGAAAAAGGATCAAAGGGGTGGCGAATCAGTACGACAGAAGACACGGACAGCTTCAACAACGCACGATAAACTTCTCATTCAGCGCCTCCCGCCTCTGCTTCTCAATAACCCTGTGCTGCGCGCGATCGTCCGCGGTGAACGTCCTGCGCCGCTTCTTTGAGGCTGGATAGTCGGGGGAGTCGGATCTGCGCCGTGTCGTCGCTGTTGTGGGGTGCGCCGGGTTCGAGGAGGACGAGGACGTGTCGCCCGGGGAGGTCATGGTGGGCTGCGTGCTGCTCGTGATCGTGGGTGCGCGTCGTGAGCACTCGTGGGTGCACGTCGTGAGCGTCGTGAGCGCTAAGGAGGGCAAAAAATCGTCGCCGCGCCCCCGTCGTGCAACGTCGTTGTCGACAGGCGAGATGGTGGCTGCGGGGAACCTGGGGAAACGCAATCAAGGCTCAGAAATCCGGGGTCTGGGGTATTTTCCCCGGAAGCATTTTGGACCAATGGACGCGATTTGCAATTCCAAATGGGGCCAAGCGAGCTGCCCGCGCTCACCACGACCCACCTGTCCCTCGCGCGCTCGGCAGCAGGGGGTGGCGTCAATCATACCACGGCCGACAATCAGAACGGCCCTTGCCGACTGGAAACATACACTGGTGGATTCTCCAGTGCAGACGTGACGATCCTATGCTTCGCTTGTTGTTGGCGTTGTCCGCGAGACCTCAGACCAGGCTCACACGTTGGCGCGGGAACACTGCCGTCGTCAATGAATTGTCCACGAGACCTCACCGCGGACCAAAGTACGGCTCCTCCTGAGACCTTTCGGGAAGGAGGCGGAATTAGGCGAAGTCCTGGGCCTGGCTGCTGTGCTAGGGTGGCGCAGCGGTACCGATGGGATAGCCCTCAATGCAGCTAACTGGGACATACCTAGAACAGGACAAGGCAAACATATCTAGAACAGGACAAGGGGCATAAGAGTGATGACAAGAAATCCCTGGATTCATGCCCTGAGTAACACCAGATAGAGTACAGAATAAAGTACAGAATTGAGTTGTCAATGAGTAAATCACTATAGAGAAGTATGTGTACAGTGCGAATGAATGAACGGTCGGGTCAAGAAGTCGAAGTGAAGCGATAATAGTACAGTCAGTCCCTTTCCTGCACTCGAAGGCCGCTGTGCATCCACCGAAGCGACAGCGGACTTCAAGCCAACCACCACCTAATGCCACGCCTCCGGCATCATTTCCTCCGAGTCCTCCCCCGCCACGCCCTCCAAATGGTACAGCGGCTCCAGCACTGCATCCTTCCTCCACAGCACATACCGCCTTACGAACCACGGCGCCCACGTCCTCACCTGATACGCCGCATGCCTGCGCGTCGGCACCGCGAAGATGTAGTCGAGCTCCTCCAGCGTCCGCTGCTTCGTCTCCGGGAGCGCGAGGAAGATCATGACCGCGGCGAGGATGTTGAGCCCGCCGTAGAGGCAGAACGCGCCCGTCGAGCCCGCGCCCTTGAGCAGCGAGGGGAACGTCAGGCTGAGGATCGTCGAGAACGTGTTGTTGATGAAGATCGACCAGCCCATGCCGATCTCGCGGTGCGACAGCGGGAAGCACTCCGCGGCGTAGACATTGGGGACGGGGCCGATACCTATGATGGGTGTCTGCGTTAGCAACCTAGTTCTTTGGTCCGCGAGGGCGCCCTAGTACTCACCCGGAGAATAAAACGCGGTGAACAAATAGATGAAGAACGCGATGAGCGGCAGGCGCGCCGAGTTGCCCTCGTTCATCTGGAAGCAGCCCGCGGCGGCGAACAGACACCACGCCATGTTCGGGAAGGTGAAGAGAAGGAGATTGCGCCGGCCGAAGGTGTCGATGGTGTAGAGGGCGGGGAACTATGGCACGGGTTCAATCAGTTTGAGTGTATACAAGATGGACAAGGACTACTCACGGCCATCAAGAACATGATCAACCCATAGCCCATCGAGAACAACAGCGAGGACTTGGCGTCGTAGCCAGCGTCCGAGAAGATGGTCGACGAGTAAAACGCCATGATGTTGATGCCGGAGAACTGCTGCGCGATCATGACGATGAAGCTGGAAGGGACAGGGTCGTGATCAGTCCATTACCAATATTTTGCGCGACGGACAAGCACGCAAAAGACCAGGCCGCAAACTCACCCTCCCAGCGTGCCCCGCCTCAGCCGGCCGACAGTGAAGAGTTCCCGGAAGCGCTTCGCGTACGTCGTGCCCGCGAACGCGGCCTTCTCCTCCTCGAGCTGGCAGTGGGCGTAGTACTGTGGACGAGGTCAGCGCGTCTGCTGCGACATAACAGATGACACACAAACTCACCAAATCGCGCGCAGCCTGCAGCTCCGAGTTACGCAGGCGGCAGAAGGAGCTGAAGGCGGCTTGCATGCGGCCTTTCTTCAGGAGCCAGCGCGGGGATTCTTGGGAGGTGAAGTCAGCCAGAGGAGTCGGTGGGAGAGAGATAGAGCGTACCAGGGCAGAACCACACAAAGATCACGACGGGGATGGCGGGCGCGAAAGCGGCGGCGAGCATGAAGCGCCAGGCTGGAGGTATTCATGAGCGAAAGAAGTGATGAGGAGGACCGGACGCACCGTTCTTCCCAATATTCATCCAGATCAGGTTGTTGCAGAACCCACTGGAGAGTGATTGAGCCTTCCCCTCGTATTACCGTCGTGACGAAACACCGACCGCTACTCACATGAATATTCCGAATGCCACCCACATCTGGAAGCTCATGACGAGGCCGCCGCGGATATTCGCGGGCGCGGTCTCCGCGGTGTAGATGGGGATGGTGGCGATCTTGATGCCAATACCGGCACCGAGGAGGAGGCGGCAGATGGCGAGCTCCCACCAGTTGCGCGTGAAGGCCTGGCCGAGGACGGGGAAAATGCAGCTTGTGGGAAGTCAGATACGTTTGGAGTAGCGGTGAATAGGCCACGCACAAGAGACCGGTAAGGAAGACGCAACCGCGGCGGCCGATGAGACTGTTGGCGGGGTCGCTGAGCCAGGTGAAGAAGAGGCCGGAGACGGTTGGGCTGAGAAAGATGAGCTAAGGGCGTTTGTAAGAGATTAGGGAGACGCACGCAGAGTTGACAAAGCCAGTGAGCCATTGGTTGTGGTCGATGCCAAACTCGACGGGGAAGGAGAGGTTCGCTCCGTTCGCGCCTGTGTTGTCCCATCCTCTGCGGTGAAGGTGAGCAATCCGCGTTCATAGAAGGGATATATCACTGACTGAATGGCGGACCCGAGAGACGTGACAAAGATCGTGAAGTATAGAGCCCTCGGCAGGTGCCATTTGTCTGCGAGTCCCATCAGCACGGAGCCAAGTAGGCGGTTGTGGGAACACGTACGCGTCGTCTCGCGCCGGAGATGGTACTTGTCCGACTCGTCGAGGTCCGCGATGCTCTCGAAGGAGCGAGGGTCCTGCGCAACCAGCGCGGCCTTCTCAAAGGTGCGCACGCGGTCCTGGAAGCCGTGCTCTTGACAAAAGTCCGCGACTTGACTGAAGAGCTTCTCGCGGGGGATGCCCTTCAATGGGTTCCGGATCCTGATCAGGGAGTCAGCTGGCTGCTAAGCGGGGTTCTGCGAGTTTACGTACCGCGCATTGAGGTTCTTGTTCAGGTCCGGGGCGTGCTCATGGTGCTCGATGTCGTACGAGTCGGCTTTCTTGAGGGAGGGCGAGTCGGAAGGCATGGTGAGCGACGCGTCGGCTTCAGAGTCGGGGCGGCGCGGTATATATCCACCTGGGCGCACACAGGGCGTCGGGCCCAGCTCCGTACCCAAGTTCCCAGCTTAGCGGCATGATAATTCGATGGCGCAGGTCAAGCGACACCTGCGAGACACGATCTGACGCGGGAGCAAAAGTTGAACAATGGCCGCGGTCACGGGTGCGCACCTGCCCCCTCACGTGAGACAGCGATGACGCGCACCCGTGTCACGCTCCGCCCTGTGTGCTGCCAAAACGCAGGGCGCGGGCGCGTTGCGTAAACACATAGGCCCGGCCGGTCAGATGCTGGCGATGGGGGCGAGCTAGATGCCGATGTCCTGCGCAGTGGCTGCCCTGTGTGCACCCCAGAACCTGCGTGCGCGCGTCTTCTCGAAGGTTTAAAGGCCCTGAGGTCATGTCTGACAGCGTAGTCATCCCCGACTTACATTCAGTCCCACCCACCCAGCCAACCAGCCAGCCAACATGGTCTCCCAGCTCGAGTACCTCGAAACGCTCCTCAACGTCGATGTCGACCATATGCACCCCAGCGTCGCCAAGAGCCTCCCGTTCAAGCCGCACGACCAGACGAGCAACCAGCTCATCGTCAACGAGCAAATCGAGCTCCCCGAGAACCGCGAGCTCCTCGAGAAGGCCGTGAAGGAGTACGGCAGCAAGGGCTGGTCGGCCGTCCTCGACCGTCTGGTGAGTTCATACCTATGTCATGCATTTTGGGGGACTTACCATCTCCTTCAGTCCGTGCAGCTCTGCGCGAAGAACCTTCCCAACATCCAGGGCCGCGTCCTTCTCCAGACTTCTCCCTTCCACGCGTACGACAAAGACAGTAAGTCGCTTGTTCTATCCAGCCTTGCATCAGCTAACTCTGCCTCAGAGGTCGTGGAGCACGCCAGGAGCTACGCTCGTGAGTTTGAGAAGGTCGGGATTTCCAGGTAAGCGTCCCGATCCTCTCGCTCTGCACGTTGACTCACCTTTTGCCAGGGATCGCTTCTGCATCAAGGTCCCCTGCACGGGCCCCGCGATGAACGCGGCCAAGATCCTCAACGCCGAGGGCATCAGGACCCTCGGGACGTCGCTCTTCGGCCTCCCTCAGGCTATCGCCTCGAGCCAGTCCGACTGCCTCTACATCAGCCCTTACTTCAACGGTACGCAGCTCAATTTTGAAACTCACCTCACATCGACTGACACGCTCTGCAGAGGTCCGCGCGCACGCCGACCTCTCGCTCTGGCCGAACGTCGAGGACCCCGCGACGCAGCACACCATGGCCCCGCGCATGATCCACATCCTCGAGACCTACAAGCGCCTCGCGAAGGAGACCGGCAAGGAGCAGCCTATGGTCAAGTCAGCCAGGTATGTTGTTCTGCTCTTCCAACACCGACGCACCTCACACCCCTGCCCAGCTTCATCTCCGCGAAGGAGGCCCTCGCCTGCGGCGAGATGGGCTGCCAGTCCGCGACGCCCTCCGCCGAGGTCCTCGCCGAGCTGCTCAAGACGCCCGCGGACAAGCCCGTGTCCAACAAGCCGCGCCCCGCGTACTCCTACCTCACCGTCGGCCCCACGCCCGAGCGCCTGCGCGCCCTGCTCTCCGTCGACCCGCTCGCGGCCGCGGACTGGGACGGCAAGCTCGCGTCGACGGACATCGACTACCTGGCGAACAACGGCGAGGAGCTGGAGAAGGCGATCGAGAGGGACCCGATCACGAAGAACCGCCTGTACGACGCGCTGGAGCTGTTCAAGGGTGGCGAGCTGAAGAGCAAGGCGCTGATTGAGAAGGTCATGGCGGAGCAGAAGTGAGGGCGTACCGTTCAAGTAAGGCTAACAAGTGTTGTATACAATGATCTTTAGACTTGCAATTCCCCATCATACAATCTCTGCACATCGTTGGAGTTGGGCCCGGATCTCTTTCAGCGGCCTGAGCAGCTTTCTGGACCTGGTGGCGACTCGAGACGAGCCTATCTTACGAAGAGCGTGATCCTGAGCAGCAATCAATGATGTACGCATGAGAAGTTGACACAAGTCTGCGAACTACGTGGTGAGCCTAACACCAACGGCGACGCGCAAGAGGCAGACATACCATGGGTCAGCATGATAACACTCGATCACACAGTCGACAATGACAACACCGAAACATGCACACCTAGTATCGACGAAGAGATATTCGATAGCGAGACAGATACAGAATTCAAGGACAATGCATAAACATCATAGCAAATAGGTGTGAGAGCAGAGGATTAAAACGATGGACGTCGGCTGACTTAGTGAGCGTACATCTGGAAGAGTGTCAGAAAGCGCTCGGGAGAGAGAGGTCAGATAACGCACTCTGGGCTGTCTGGACCTCTTCACCATCGGTTCTCTTTTCGTGCGCAAGAACTCCTTGAACGCCTGTATTCGCGCCGCGGGGCGCGGAACCGTCTCCACCTTATCCGAGCACGCGATAACCATCATTACAATTAGCGTCCCGTTCGGTAGTTCGCCTTCATGCGCGCCATTATGCCGCGAGATCCCCGTAGCCGCCTCCAGCCGCTCGAACCACTTGTAGATCGTAAAGCACCGATCGCCGTAGAAGCACTTCTCGCCCGTCTTGCAGTCTCGCGGCCTCGCCTTGCACATTTCGTAGATATTCGAGTACGTGATCGCGTAGCAGAGACCATGATAATCAGGCAGTTGGTTGTAAGAGCGGCCGAGCGCGTCCCGGTGCACGTCCGCTTTCCGTTCGATCATACCAGGTGTTATCACCATCCGGCGAACGTCTTCATCGTTCTCGTCAGTGGTCCAAGTGGGCGCGCAAGTGGGCAGGTCTGGCGAAGTTGACGATGAGGCCATCGTGGGTTACGTAGCGGGCGAGATGGAGGTGAACGACAAGGCGCGTTCGCGGGACATGCCGTCATCATGGACTTAGTTGCCACGTGGATGTCATGCACGTCCAACTGTTGAAATCCACGTCGTTCAAGAATTCCCATGCGTTACTGCTCTACCGAAAAAGGAGGCGCCATTCTCGTAGATACCAAGCTAGGGTGCGCGAGCGAAGACTCAGGTTACATGCAAGACCAGTACGGCGCGCAATCACGGCGAGCACATGAACTGGGAATGGGTCTCTTATTGTACAATACAGTCCAGAGATGTAGAGCAAATGGCGTAGAGATAAAACCCAGCTCTGCGGAGGATTGTACACGATTAGTTCAGTCGCTGTAAAGCTGAAGGGAGGTCAATACATGCACAGTCAGGGAAGACAACGAGACGTACCCGAGGCTGCACGAAGCGCTTCACCATCGGTTCTTTCTTGGTTCCCAAAAACTCCTGAAACGCTCGTATGCGAGCAGCAGGTCGCGAGAGAGTGTCCACCTTATCCGAGCACGCAACGAGCATCATGATCATTGGCTGCCCGTTCTTGAGCTCGCATTCATGCAGCCCTCTGCCGCGCACTATCCCGGTCGCTGCCTCCAAGCGCTCAAACCACTTGAAGATGGTGAAGCACTCGTCGCCGTAATCGCACCTCTGACCACTACGATCTACTGGTCTTGCCTTGCACATCTTGACTATGTTGGTGTACGAGATGGCGTAGCAGAGAGCATGGTAGTCGGGGAGTTGCGCATAATGATGACCGAGCGAGTCGCAGCGTACGTCGGCTTTCTGGCTGACCAAACCGGGGGAGATGGCCATGCGTCGAACATCTTCGTCGTTCTCGTCGCACGTCCAGGTGGATGCTATGAGGATCGAGTGTGAGGTGTGCACGGATGATTGAGCGTAGAACGTGCCTCTAAGCATACTCATGACTGGGCTCTATCGGGCGGAAAAGTAGTGTACGTCGCGGTCGGTGGTCGAGAGGTGAATGCGTGATGTTGTGACGTGTGACTAACCTCTGCGCGCACGGTCCGCGCGATTGTGTCCGCAGTCGAGGACGAATATTCGATAGTCGATGGGCAATTTCTGTGCCAGTCAGAACCAGATTCCATAGGATGCATCTGAAGACGCTTAACTGAGAATGGATGACTAGGAGTTGTACAGCGATATCATACACGACAAAGCAGTGGACCAAGCGATCCCGAAGCGACCGTCGCACCTCACCCACTATACATCTAAGGGCTAGTCAGGACCAGCAAAACCAGAAGAGACAGCACCCTGGGCTGTCTGACCTGCTTCACCATTGGTTCCTTCTTCGTGCGCAAGAACTCCTTGAACGCCTGGATGCGCGCCGCGGGGCGCGGAAGGGCCTCCACATTATCCGAGGATGCAATGACCATCATGATTTTCGGCAATCCGTCCCTTGACTCGAATTCGTAGGCGCCATCGTTGCGCGAGACCCCAGTCGCGGCCTCCAGTCGCTCGAACCACTTGTAGATCGTGAAGCACGGGTCCCCGAAGAAGCATTTCTCGCCAGTCTTGCGGTCGCACGGTCTAGCCTTGCACGCTTCGTAGATGTTCGAGTACGTCGTCACGTAGCAGAGAGCATGGTAGTCGGGCAGTTGGTGGTACGAGTGGCCGAGCGCGTCCCGGTGCACGTCCGCCTTCTGGTCGATCATGCCGGGGGAGATGACCATTCGGCGGACGTCTTCATCATTCTCGTCAGCGGTCCAAGTAGGCTCACGCATGAGAGTATCCTGCGAGGCCGAGGACGAGGCCATTGTGTGGTATGTAGCGGGCGAGATGAAGGTGGAAGATGAGACACGTGTGCGGGATGTGCCGCAGTCACGGAGCCACGTGGAGGTCACGCTCGTTCAAGGCCAATCACGCAAAAATCACGGGTCAGAATTGTCATGATACTCAGCTCTGACGAAGAAGGCGACATCAGAGTCGGATTCTCGTGAGCGCGAACGGTCAGGACGTGAATATCAGCCCGATATACAGCAAGAGCAGCGCATTGCATGATCACGGCAAGGACATGAAAGGCCGGGGGAATGAGTATCATATGATAACAAAAGTCCAATTCGATGAGCACAGGGACGAGCACTTCCATCGATCGCATGCGAGAATAATAGATGACCACCTCAACAGTACATCTGAAGAAAGTTCAGTACACGCCCGACCTTGGAAAGAGACGACCGAAACGCACATTGGGCTGGTGGAATCGACGCACTACCGGCTCCTTAGTGACCCGCAAAAAGTCCTTGAATCTCTGGATACGCTTCGCGGGGCGCGGAACAGTTTCCAGCTCGTCCGAGCAGGAGATGACCATCAACAAAACTAGCTGACTGTCCTTGATTTCGCACTCGTACAGCCCATTATCGCGTGAAATCCCAGTGGCCTCCTTCAGATGCTCAAGCCATTTGTAGATGGTGTAGCACTCATCATCGAAGAGCCACTGCTGGCCATCCTCATCCTCCTCTATCGTCTTGCACAGGTTGTATATGTTCATGTACGGGATGGCGTAGCATAGGCCATAGTAGGGTGGGAGCTGGGAGTATTGTATGCCCAGCGAGTCGCGGTGCATGCTTGCCTTTTGGTTGACCATGCCGCGGGAAATGACCATGAGGCGGACGTCGTCGTGGTTCTCGTCGTAAGTCCAGGTAGCCATGCTGGCAATGGAGTTCAGCGGAGCCGAGGGTGCAGCCATGCTCTCGAAAGCAGCGTGCGATATGAAGGAAGAAGACAAGGCGCGTTTGCCTAACAATCGCGGACCTACATACCACGTGGTCGACACACGTTCACCGTCGCTCAGAAAATCTCAGGAGCGCCAATGGTGCCCACGGGTATAAAAGGTGCTAAATAGCTCGAGTGACATGTACGAGGTACCGATCCGTTTCTCGGCTCAAACTCAGGCAAGGCAGATTCAGCGAGAATTCAAGCGATACAATAGATATTCATAGCAGACAAGGCCAGCGGAACATGAATATGATACAGCGAACGAGAAAACAAGGGCACTGCGTCGCGGCGAGCATTTCCATCCGAGAGCAATGCACGATCAAGTTAACAGTACATCTGAATTTTAGTGATTAGACGCGCAAACATGAGATAGGACGAACAACGCACTTTGGGCTGGCTGAACTTTCTCACCACCGGATCTCGCTTGACGCGCAAGAACTTCTTGAAAGCCTCGATGCGAGCCGTGGGACGCGGGACGGTATCCAATTTGTCCGAACAAGCGATGACCATCGACAATATCAGCTGCCCGTCCTGGAGCTCGCACTCGTACAGGCCTTTGCCGCGGGATATCCCAGTCTCTTTCTCCAGTTTTTCCATCCACTTGTATATGGTGAAGCACTCGTCGGGCCAAAGACATCTCTCGCCGTCATCATACACCCGAAAAGCCTTGCACATGTTGTAGATGTTCGTGTATGTGATGGCGTAGCACAGGCCGTAGTAGGAGGGGAGTTGGGAGTAGTAGCGGCCGAGCGAGTCCTGGTGTACATCTGCTTTCTGACTGATCATGCCAGGCACGATGACAATGCGCCGAATGTCTTCGTCATTCTCATTGCAAGTCCAAGTGGCCGCGCGCAAAGGAAGATCTGGTGAAGCTGAGGATGAGGCCATTGTCTGCTATGCAGCGAGCAAGGTGGAAGTGGCGGACAAGACGCGTTTGCGGAATTTACCGCAATCACGGAACTGAACGCCACGTGGACATCACGCATGTTCGACTGCGACTCTGCCAACGAGCCACTCGACTTATTTGAAGATTCTGGTGGGAACGGTGGGTCAGAGAACCGGATCCAAGCCGAAGATCCCATAAGAGTAGTACATGGTGCGGGCATGAGCTGAAAATGCGTACAGTACAGTGAAGGGGTAGTACAGCATAGCGTTGAACATTTCCATCCTTTTGACCAAGATCAGAGCACGCGCGACTCAGCAGCACGTCTGGAGGTATGTGGCTAGATGTTCAAGCGGTATATAGTGCCAAGAGCGCACCTTGGGCTGGATGATCTGGCGCACCACCGGTTCTATCGTCACACGCACGAGATCTTCAAAGGCTTGGATACGAGCGGCGGGGCGTGGAACGGGTTCAAGATTGTCCAAACAGGCGATTAGCATTATCAACACCAGCTGACCGTCTTTCAGCTCGCACTCGTACAAGCCATTGTTGCGCGATATTTCGGTGGCTGCCTCCAGCCGTTCAAGCCACTTGTAGATGGTAAACCATTCGTCGTCGAAGACCCGCTGGTTGCCGTGACGATCCACCTCAATAGTCTTTCACAGTTTGTATATGTTCTGTGTACGTGATGGCGTAGTATAGGCCATAGTAAGGAGGGAAATGGGAGTATTGCATGCCGCGGTGCATGCTCGCCTCCTTGTTTACCATGCCACGGGAGATATCCATGTGGCGAACGCCGTCGTGGTTCTCGTCGTAAGTCCACATAAAGGCGCGGGCGGAGCCGAGCGACGCGGAGGACGTCCTCAGCAGGTGTGGTATAGCGTGCAAGATGGTGGGAGAGGACAAGATGCGTTCGCAGGCTTTACTGCAATCAAGTTCACGATATACATACTTGATGTCGTTCAGAGGCCCTCATTGGTGCCAGTGGCACCACCGAAGTCAGACATCATTAGCATAGTGCTATGAAGCGCGAATGGGCGTCTGAGCTCAGGATGATCACACAGAACGAGGTCAGCAGCGATACACTGGTATTCACAGCAGAGCATAGACAACAAGCAACAGAGATGGTATAATGACGGGATAGCAAGCAAAAAGCATAGCGGCGGATTTTTCTATACTACGATCCATGATAACCTCAACCACTGTACATCTGGGACCATGTGAGTGCGTGCGCAATCGAGAAACGGCAAAGAACACACCCTGGGTTGCCTAATCTGTTTCACCATCGGCTCCTTCTTCGTGCGCAGGAAATCCTTGAACGCTTGGATGCGTTTCTTTGGGTGAGGGAGGGTGTCCACTTTGTCGGAGCAGGCAATGACAAGCATGAGGATAGGCATCCCGTCCCTGCGCTCGCATTCGTACAGGCCGTTGTTCCGTGAGATCCCGGTAGCTGCCTCCAGGCGCTCGAGCCACTTGTATATAGTGAAGCATTGATCGCCATAGAAGAGTTTCTCCCCGGTCTTGCGATCTCTCAGTCGGGCCTTGCACGACTCGTATATATTCGAATACGTGGTGACGTAGCAGAGGCCGTGGTAGTCGGGAAGCTGGGAGTAGCAGTGGCCGCGCTCATCCCGGTAGACATCCGCTTTCTGGTCGACCATGCCAGGAGAGATGACCATGAGGCGGCAGTCCTCGTCGTTCTCGTCGCATGTCCAGGTGACTCCTGCAGACCACTTAGCTGATCAGTCGACGTAGAAGTCATAGCATGACGCACCTTTCGTAGTGCTCATGGCTGAGGTTGGTTGGAGGGAGGATGTTCTCGACGTCGTGGGTGAAGGAAGAAGACAAGGCGCGTGAACGTGATGGCGTTGATGGGTTTGATCTTTCCCACGCGCATTCTACGCGAGGCTATCACGTGTTACTCCATAAGTCCAACCGCCGTCTCATTGTCAAGCAGCTCCGTCACTATCATTGCTATCAGTGAGCGAGGCCAAATGAAGCATGCAGACCTTTGTGCGGCATGGAGCTTTTCAGCCCGCTTTGGTCGGAGATAGATCGCCTTTGAATTTTCAGCGCTGTGCCGCTTGGCTATATCCTGGTCCCCATTTTTGGCTATTCCCTCCGAATCACACCTTGTGCAACCCTGCCTTTGAGGGTTTGCGCGCTGGTCAGGTCGTTATCTTGGCGACCATGAATGACTCTGTCCATGATTTGCTGAAGAATGACCCGCAGCAAGGGAAGACCGGTAAGTAATTTAGCACCTCGATCCAAAATGGAGATACCACGACATGACTGCGGCGACCACATTTCGAAGGTACCCATTGTTCCATTGTCTATCAATAGCTCATTGACTGCGCTTGTTTGACTGCGCCGCCAACAACATCCGAATGCGCTATGTGTTCCGTCGATCTGTGGCCATGAGCAGGGGCCGTCCGGGTATATAACGACAGGATGCCGGGGCTGCGACTGATTCCCTCACCCCATTCCTCAACCCCAACTACCATGGAGAACCAAGGACTCACTCAGGACGATCTCAAGCTCGAATACGCTCGTATGAGCGGGATGCTATATCATCTGAACCCTCGGAATTATGAGGACCGGTGGTACGCGATCGTGGGCCTCGAGCTCACCAAACTCTGCGGTCAGTTCGATTGCGATGCCATTGCCACTGCCCAGGATTCTCTTTGGGCAGGCAATACCTACGACGAGCCTGTCAGGCTCGCGGACGTCGAAATTAGACTAAGCACGGACGACACAATCGGTGAACAGAATATACAGATTGACGCAGGTGAGTACTCGCCTTCGAAGACACGCTACCCCTTGCTGAGTGGCCACACTAGATCCTCCAGAAGAGAATGATCCCCCTCAGGAGGGCGGTCCTCCAGAAGTTTGGGACGACGAAGGTGGGTTTTCTTTACCGTCACTAGTCCGGGATGTTATACTTACCCTTTCTTCGCACTGCAGGGCCAGATGTTGCGCTCGATCCTTATGATGAGGGTGTTGTAGTAGGCACGGAGGCAGAGGCCCACTATAAGGTGAGCAGCATCGACCTCCGCGTTAACCGTTCCTAACTTGGCGCATGTGTTATAGCCTCGCCCTATTCCCGGTGCCACTCGCACTTATGGAGAGCAAGAAAGCTCCTCGGCAGCAAATCAGATAGAGCGTGGGGCAGCCTCTTCGGTAATGCACATCTACTTCCAATAATTCCCCTCACTTAAAAGCCGCTTGCAGGACTCGAAAGAAAAGGACGACAACCCGGTTTCAGATCGCGTGAGTCAGTCACTTTTTCGCATATATATGACTCACACATCTATTGATTTCTAGGCGCCCAATGCCCTCGGCGACGCGCGATCAGGGCCCCTTCTGATCTTGCCGGAGAGTCAGGCCAAAATCTTTCCTGACTACGCTAGTGGCCGTACTGTCACCGGTGGAAATCACCATCGGGTACCAGACAGCGCCGTGAATGGCTTCATCTCAATCGACTTCACTCCCGAAGCCATGAAAAAGGTCATCGACGAACGAGAGAGTTGGACGAAGACCGAGATAGAAAAGCGGCGCGAACACCCCATCTCTGCACCGACGCCAAAGGGCGACGCCACTAATGCCTCGAACCACTCGCAGAGTGAAATCAAACCAGGTAATCCTCCAGTTCTATTTGTTTTGTCACCAGGCTGACAGTGCTTCAGCCGATGTTGCTCAACGGCCTGAGCAAACTTCCGAGTCTGCATCCACTATCCGGAAACCAATCCGAAAAACCCCCATCTCGCCGACGCTGGATCGTAGCACGAAGGATATCCATGACGAGCTCAGTCAATTGCCGCCCACCGACCCCGACGATTTTGATGCTCTCCGCAACCCATACCCGATCTACCGTGAACCTGCCCGTGGCCTCGTTGAGTTCAAGGTCATCAATGCCGAATCGAAGCGCCTCCCTTCGCGTCAAGAGTCGAACGAGAAGCCGCCGTGGAACCTTGCCCTGATAAACCTCATGCATAGTGCCCAGATCGGCAATCTCGATCAGGTATGTTCCTGCGTCGTCGGAAGCTTGTGTTGCCATGAGACTCATGAAGACTTATTCAGATCCGCGTGTTCTATGCCAGCCCTCACTGGCGGCATCAAGACTGCGTGATGCTTTTTGCCACGTCAGGCGATTTCCTGACGCACACAATCGCCAAGCGTGTCCATAGACCCAACCTGAAGAGGGACACATTCGCCATTCAGCCGTGGTCTATGCCTGTGTGGTTCGGGTCGAAGGCTTGCAAGCGCCGCGAAGAGAAGATCGTCAACTGGGTCAACACGGTATTCAGCCCCGAGGCAATGAGGGAGATCGCAATCGAGTTGCGTGACAAGGCCATCCGCCGCTCGCTAGAGCGTCAGAGGACTCCCCCTGAGGATGACAATGCAGACGGCGGTGATGGGCCTTCCGGACCTCCCGGACCTCCTGGACCGCCCGGGCCTCCCGAGCCTCCAGCGGAACCAAAGACTCGGAAGCGCAGGCGCGACCCCAGCAACCCCGAGGAGCCTTCTCGTCGGAGCAGCAGGCCTCGCACGCAAAACCCGTACTTCGGGCGTGGGGCTGAGAGCAAGCACGACAACGTCCCGCGTCCTTTGACAACTATAACCGACGCTGGTGAGGAACTTAACGCTGCTGAAGGACGACCAGTGCAAGGCAATGCCGGAAGAGGTCATCTTGCGGCCCACCCTAGGCCGTCGGAGCGCACTGAATCTATATCGCAAGCTCATCCTACGCGCAAGATCAAACCACTCCCGCGCCTGCTTGGCCACAATAATTCTGGCGGATCGAAGGGCAAGGGCAAGGCGCGCGCCGACCCCGTCGACAACGACCAAGACGACGATTCCTCTGCACTTTCGGAGCCTGAAGATGCGCCTCCGACCAAGAAGGCTCGTGAACACTCGCCGGCCGAGGCTTCGGACGCGAGCGAGGCGCCACCGCCCGATTCTCCTGCTCATTCTGATGCGTCTACTCTGACGGACATCTCGGTCTTGGAGGAAGAGATTCGGAAGCATGATGACGCTCTGACCGCACTTCAAAGGGAGAAAAAGAGGATCCTTGAGATACAGGCCTCGCAGGCGGCAGCTCGCCGACCAATCAACCGCGCTCTGACCGGCCAGCCGTCGGTCCCTGCCGCCGGGCCGTCTGGGGCGAATGATCAAACGAGCGTCCAGGAGTCATCCAGGCTGACTCGCTCGAGGTCTACGAGGTATTAACTTGCAACCCACCGAGACACCTGATGGCGTTGGAGGGTAATTAGCGCGTACATGGTAGGTATAGTACGAGCTGCAAAGTTATCGAGATAGTGATACGCGTGTATGTGAGGCCAACGCTTGAGAATGAATTTTATCGGAGCCGGTCATGAGAGCGTTAGGCCGGTCGAGCCCAGCTAAAGTCTACTTTGCTAGTAAGCATCGCGAACAGTGGAGTGCATGCTCAATACTGTAGCATCGAGCGGCTCTAAATCTGCTGTTGCTTCCTCTGCATCTGCCAAGTCATATCCTGCGCAGACGCTGCATCACTCGATATTATTTAGTCTGCAGAGACGGTGTGCGTGCGGGCTAAGTAAATGACATGTTGGCGAGAGCGAAATCCGAGAGACGGCAGTCGCAGTACATAGTACACGACACCGCATATATTCAGGACCGTACAATATGACAGAGACAATTCCTCGATACCGGGAAAAAGGAAGAGCGGTACGCTACCATTTGACTCGCAGTGCCTCTGGACAGATACGGTGAACACGACGCAGGTACGACGAGGAACAACGCACCCTTGGCTGCCTGAGACGGCGCACTATAGGCTCTGTGCGAGTGTTGAGGAGTGACTTCAATTTTTGAATACGTGCAGCAAGGCGCGGAAGGTTATCCAATGTATCGGCCATAGAGATGACCGCCAGATAGATGAGACGCCCATCCTTCAGCTCGCACTCGTGCAGACCCTGGCCACGCGAGATGCCAATCTCAGCCTCGAGTCGCTCGAAGTACTTCATGATAGTGAAGCGCCGGTCGCCGTAAAAGAGTCTGTCGCCGTTGCAATCGATCTACCTAGCCTTACACATATTGTATTTGTTTGACGTCGAGGTAGCGTGACAGAGACCGTACACGCCGGCAAGCTGCAGGTATGCCCAGCAGCCTAGCGAGTCTTCGTACATCTTGGATTTCTGGTTGCACATGACCTGCGAGACAAACATACGCCGGACATCGCCATCGTCGGGGTCGGTCGTGTATACAACCGTGCAAAAAGGAATACTGATTAGGCAGGCAATAGTCAGGCAAAGTCTGAGCGTACGGATGAGTTGGCCAAGGTAAGGAGACAATCGCCTCTGGTTTGCTGTGTTCAGTATGCAGCTGACGAGATGAAGGTGGAAGACAAGCTGCAGGGCGGCGCTTGCTCTGATCCCGGATCAGGACGCCACGTGGAGGTCATGTGCGTTCAACCTCACCGGGTCCGTTGAAGACAAGCTTAGAAAGGGAGACGTGATGGGCAAATATAATCATGGTTCTCCCGATTTGAGTGTTGGACAGCCATACGAACTCAGCAGCAATGCATAGAATATTCGCAGCCGGGTATGGAGAATGAGAAACGGTACTCTCATACAGTGGCGGTATCGTAGGTCGGGGAACCCATCCGTTAGTCCCAAATGAAAGAATCACACGGTGGGATCAGAGAGAATACATCTTTAAGATGAGGTGAGCGTGCCTTCGGATCAGAGGTAACGCAAAGGACGCACCCTAGGTTGCTTGACCCGACGTACAATGGGCTCTTTCTTTGTGTTGAGAAGCTCCTTGAACTTCTGTATGCGGGCGGCTGGGCGCGGAAGGGATTCCAGCGTATCTGCCATAGCAATGACCGCCAGGTATACGAGCCGTCCGTCCTTCAACTCGACCTCGTTCAGGCCATTCTCGATCGAAATGCCGGTGGCATCCTCCAGCCGTTCGAGGTACTTCAGGATAGTGAAACACCGATCGCCGTAGAAGAGTCTCTCGCCATCGGGACCGACCTGCCTGGCCTTGCACATATCGTATATGTGCGACGTTGTGGTAGCAAAGCACAGGGCATATACGTCGGGCATCTGAAGATACGGGCGGCCTAGCGAGTCTTCATACATTCTGGCGTTAGGTTGATTAGACAAGCCCGGCGAGACGACCATGCGCCGAACATCGCTGTCTTCGGGATTGGTCGTGTAAGCAACTGCATCGAGTTTAGACACGAAATGACGATAGGACCATGAGGTACGCACTGGAAGACTTGGTCATTCTTCAGTTCTCCGGATGATGAGCGTGTGGATGTGCGAGTTCGACTTCGGCTCTGATGAGGGGAGATGGCAAGGTGCGTGCACGTGACCGCATGCTTGCCGAGCCCTTTGTGACTTACCGCAAAAGAGGATGCAGGAGAACGACCTCTGGGGCTGCCCCGCAATATGTATGACTTCTACGCGAAATTATATACCTGAAAATAGCATGATGAGCGCCCGAGCGTGTACTGGGATCCTAAGGGCGTACATTAGATTGTCTGAACTGGCGAAAGACGAGGTCTTTGTTAGCGCGCAGTCACTCAGTCACCTTTTGAGCTCACATAATGGACACAGGATGGTCTCTAGAACCTCGAGCCAGATCGAGGAGCTATGGCGGCAGCTTGGGTTGGTGGAGATCTCAGATCTGGAGGCGGGCAGCGGGAGTCGTCGAGTGCATATACCCAACACGCACGCCAATCGTCGCCAACAGGGGAGTGCACGCAGTCGTGCTGGTAGTCAGGGAGGGAGTGGGCTAGGACAGCATATAGCCCATTCACAAGGCCTGCACGACGCCAATGGCCAGCATATACCCAGTCTGCACGCCACGGACGACCTGTTCGGCCTGACCTCGCAGTTGTCGACGACGCAAGTAGCGGGGAAGATGTTTGATTCTGGAGCTTGCGGGAACGAGGAAGTGAGGAGACGGACGCAGGGCGTTGGGCGGGGAGGAGGCACGAGGATGCTGGAATGAATGGAAGATATCGTATGGTTGAGGATCTGGCGACGGGCGGAGGAACTTATATTGCGCTTTTGTCACTTCATGTTGATCGACACACATCCTCAGGAATATAACGGCCACTCCTGCGTATACATTGCACAACCTTGGGCAGAGAATCTTCTCTAATTCGAACCCTTCACTTCTTTCTCGTCTTGAGTTCCCGTTCGCCCTCTCCCAGTCTTCGCGTATCCCCATTCTATCCGTCTACCACCCACCTTCGTCATCGGCGTCCCGCACGACGAGTGGTGGCCAGAGTGTGGTTGTCGCGAGTGCGGCGCGACGCTTGGCGACGCGGTCCGTCCCAGAAGACTCTGGCATTGTTGCTGCAGAAGGGCTTGCGCTCGTCGCCGTCGAGGCATCCGAAGCAGCTGCCTGTTCGAGCTCTGGGGAAGTATTCAGTGGCGCCTCGTCCGTTGGTGTCGCGCCTCCATCCTTTTGCCTGAGCGCACGGATCGCGGCCCAGAAGATGCGTGCGCCGGTCGTAGCAGCTGCGTCGGGGCCGGAGGGCAGCGGAGGAGGCAGGCGAGAGGACCGGTTGCCCAAGTCCGCGGCTGTCCCTGAGGGGGCGGACGACTCTGAGGTCAGATCTTCTGGTACGTCGTACGCGCCAGGTGCGGGAATCATAGTGCTCGTGCCAGAGCAAAGGGTCTCGCTCGCAGGTGTATGTTGCACGTAGAAGTGGGTGAAGAGGGGGTGAATGGGAGGGCGAGTAGCGGGAGGAGTGGGTATGTCTGGCGCAACGCGTCGATGTTCTTCAGATGATGAAGTGTTTGGTGACTGTGCTGAGGCACCAGCGACAGCTATGGCGTCTGCAGGTTGGTCTGCATCTGCTGGCATGGCGACGGTCTCAGTATGAAGTTCAGCGGGTGGGTCCGGCCCCGCGGCGGCGAGCAATCGATCGAGATACGGGCGAAGGACAGATTCTGCGCGCTCTGCGGGTGATGATGTCGATTCTACGTTGGGAAGCGGCGTTGATAGGTAGACAATATCTGCCTTGCGTCAGAGCTGGCACTGGGAGCGAAGGTGTCTGCTTACAGCTCCCTTCCGGACAACTCATGGATGACGAGCCAGTGATCAATCCGGTAACAGCGAAGCCGCCGTCCGAAGGTGGAAAGACGACAACTGTTGCCTCCTCTGGGTCGTTGGCGAAAGAGATAGGCCTTGCGATGATGGCGATGGCGCGCGCGATGGGTATGAGCGAGGGGTCCTCAACGTGATGTATGAGTAAGTCTGCTGTCAGCACGTCCGGAACCTCGTCAATGGTGAGCGTGTGCTTGTCGGCTGTGGACTCGATCTGGAAATCGCGGCCGAGAATGTACACGGCGCCTCCGACAGCGGCGGCGCGGCAGAAGGCCTGCGCGAGCTCGCCAGGGCCACCATAGTGAGGTAGAAGGAATGGGGAGGGACCGTAGCGGCCTGCGGATCGGAGATGGGTACGCAAGCGAGCTAGAGAGGACGCGGCTGGATCATCAGCGCGGGTGGCGAAGGCGAGGGCGTAGGCTACGGCGTTGACGAGGTCTGAGGGTAGCTTGGCCGCGTTCAGGGCTGTATGAAGCGTTCCGGACGGGACGTCGGAGGCCTCAGCTTGCTGACGGAGGAAGGACATGAGGCGACGCTTGTGGAGGAGGGGTATGTCGGCGGCAAAGATGGCGGCTTTGTCTGTGGGGACCGGGTGGATAGCATCTTGGTCGGCAAGCGCGATGCGGTCGATGAGGCGGAAGTCGAGGTAGCGGGCCACGCCGGACGCGACGAGGGCGTCGATGAGGGGGCCTTGAGCAGGTACGAGCCCGGGTGCGAGGCCGATGTTGTAGCGGCGGGGATGGGGGATGTCTGCGCCGAGCTCATCGGCGGCGAGCGAAGCGTCGTGGGCGCCGTAGTACGCATTCTTGTCGACGTGGACGACGCGGAGGCCGGCCTTGGCGAGGGCGGCGGCGGCGACGGCGTGGGCGAGGGTGGTGCCGACGATCGCGACGTCAAAGTGCGAGTCCATAACGCCACAAATTCCGATCGTCTCTTCAACATGCACGACCGCCGCCGCCCCCCGCCAGAGTCCCCCGCGACGCGCGTCCGCAACGCCATCATCCACTTTGCCAACGTCGACGCCATCCACGAGCTCCCTCGCGTCGAGCGCACAGTCCGCGACTACGTGACGCACGACGACGCCGCCGCCCGTGTCGCTGCTGTCGCAGACGCCCTCGATGTCGCGTTGACCGAGCAGCCCTTCAAAATTCCCTGCTATGCTGCGCTACTTCGTCGTCTGCACGACATCGCAGCGCTACACGACGATCTTTGGAAGCGCTTCCATGCGCACCTCGACCAGCAGCGCTGGCGCCACACGCGCCTTCACGTCCACTTGTACGCCCACCAGGCGCGCGCCGGGCTGGTGGTCCCCGATGACCTTGCAGACCTTCTCAAGTCCTTCTCGGCTGTGCTCGATGAAGTTGGCGTCACACATTCGCGCGCCAAACGCGCCGCGCTATGTGCTGTCGAGGGTGCCCTCATTGCTGGCAAAGTCCTTCCCTCAGACGTGCCCGAGCAAATCATGGCCTCAGTCGAGGCGTATGTCGAGACGACAGCCTCCGCCCAGTGGTTCGTGCGTCCTACTGCCCTGTTGCATGCCGACGAGCGCACCCCGGTGGAGGATGCGGACGAGGTAGGCGCACGATCCCCTCGATACACTTCCTGCTGACGCCCCTGTAACAGCTCCTCGCGTCTGCTCTCGCTGCATTGCGCGCTGCGCACGCGGCGAACTTTTCCTCTGACGCTTGGCCTGCGCCATATGATGAGGAGCCTTCGCTATCGGATACCTTCGTCCCGCGTCCTCTTCCAGCCGTCCTAGTTCCGCCAGAGGCCATCTCTCTCGATGACCCTCAGGCAGACTTGGCACCTTTGAATGCGGGCGCGTCTGATGATTGGCCGGAGTACTACCTACGCCTGTTTGCTGACGAGGTGACACCGAGTCCAAAGACGCCGGTCGGTCATGCCATCCGGAGCTGGATTTTGGACACGATTGATATCTTCGAGGTGCGAGACATATTCCAGTAGCTACTTGTTGACTGACGCCTAACAGGTCAATCGAAAAGAGGCCGCCAGGGCGCTTCTAGAACTGCCAAAGTGGTGCCCGCCCAACACGTTCGGCGAGGGAGCATGGAGTCTGGAGAGTACGATCATGGAGGTGCGTGTGTCTACGTCCGACGCGCAACATATGCTAGATGCTGCCTTTAAGACCATCCTTGCTCGGCTTCTGACCTTGCCCGCCTGCCCGCATCCCGTCGTGTACTACGGCGCGCTCATCACGGAGATCTGTAAGGTAGGTTATGCTCAATTAAACACTGCGTTTTCCGTTTTATATCAAGCCCTAATTCCTGCATCAGCTCACTCCTAGCAAAGGAGGCCCAGCCGTCGGACGCAGCATTCGTCGGTTATATGCGTGGATAGGCGATGGTGAGTGCTTGAAACTTGCCTATACTCGTCCCATTCCACACGCTCTTTTCGTCTTCTGAATATCTGTCGCCTCTCGATTTCTTCTTCCACGTGCTGAGTCTCCATCAGGCCTCGACCCGGCCCTCGCTGTTCGCTTTGCGGGCATGTTTTCGCTCCACATGAGCAACTTCGGTTTTGCCTGGGTATGGAAAGAGTGGTGAGTGTTTACCGCGTCAGGTCGTCCTTTGCCGCGGACGAATGTGTCATGACATGTCTCCAATTTACGATTTCCCAGGATTCCTGACCTGGACTTCGCGCGCACGCACCCGAAGCAGGTCTTCATGCGGCGGGCTGTCGAGCTCGAGGTAAGCCGCCGTCAAGTTAGTTTGCGCCAGTGCCGTTATGCTGATCGTTGCTATCTAGATCCGCTTGTCCTACCTTGAACGTATTGCCAAGACCTTGCCCGAGCCCATCGCGCGCGCTGTGCTTCCACCAGACACGCCTGGCCCTAATTGGGCTTGGGAGGATCCTTGTATGTCACGTCAGGCGATTATATAGGACGGCTTGCTGATAATTTTTGCATATAGCACATCCGCACCACGACGCCGCGCAGGGCATCCTCAACCTCCTGCGAGGTCGCGCGAAGGCTGAAGACGTGATTGCGCACCTCGAGACGGTGAAGGGGACGTTGGAGGGCGGAGGTATGTGACCGGACATCCGATAACGAGTGTTGCTGACCATCCTCGAGACGTCTCCGACGCCGAAGGAACGGTGCGCGACATGGCGACTCAGGCGCTGCTGAACGTGGGCTCGCGGTCCTTCTCTCATCTGCTCAACGCCATCGAGCGGTACCTCCCGCTTTTACGCACTCTCGCGGGACAAGGTGAACTCGCCGCGCGATCCCGCGTACCACCACTGACGCATAGCAGGGGGTAATGCACACACGGACATTCTGGCCTCCGCCGCGTCCTTCTGGGCGTCATCTCCCCAGCTCATCACGATCGTCTTCGACAAGCTCATGCAGTATCAGATAGTGGATCCGAAGGACGTCGTCGCCTGGGTTTTCGCGCGCAGCAAGCAACCGCGCCAGGACGGTATGGTCATCGCCAAGGTGGAGGGAGGTGTCAAGACTGAGGACGGCGATGCCCCGGATGCTGGCGCGCCGGGTATGACGATCACGGAGTGGGACGTGCTGCGCGCGGCGGTGGACAAGGCGAACGGGCGGGTGATAATCGCGCGTCGCAAGCTCGCGGCGCTGCGCCGGGAAGACGACGAACGCCACGCGCGTGCGGTGGCCGGCATGGAGGTTGACGGAGATGGGGAGAAGGAGGTCAAGGAGCAGAGTGAGTGGGAGCTCGCCTGCGCTCCGTGGCGGTGACTAAGTTGTTATCACAACAGGCGAGGAAAACCCGGCAGTGCAGACGGCCCTCAAAGCGTTTGAATCTCTGACTGCCGAGCAAAAGGGTGCATTGAGCAGAACTCTCGAGGGTTTCGTCGATCTGCTCATCGGGGCTGAGGTAAGCCACACCTTGATGCAGTCTGGCAGTGACTGACGAGTTGGGTAGTCACCTGTTGGCCCAGCTGCGCGTGCCATCATCTCAGAGAAGTCGTGGCATAACCGTGCCAACTGGAGCGAGGCTGAATGGGCGGCCTGGGCAACATGGGGCTGGTACAAGGCCTTTGCACGGGAGGTGAGTCTTGACTCATCATCCTTGCCGAAAGATGCTCACGGTTCTGGCCAGTATGCTGTATATCTGCGGCCTTACTCGACAGCATTGTCTACTGTTGCCTTCTCTTCCTTGCATGATGATACCGACCCTGCGAGCACCCTTGTCATGAAGATATTCAATGTAGCAGTAGGGGCAGAATAGATCTCATGCGTCGAGATAGTATCTTTACTTGGTTGCAGAAGGGGGGGGGGGCTCTGCTCTATTATAAAGACTGCACAGGGAGGAGGTCCAAGGGTATATCTACTCTGACGAGAGCCCAACTGTAGAAAAGTCACTATGTAGAAACGCGGTGCCACGCCGGTACGATCTTTGACGCCATGCTGAGGCAGCTGAGTAGCATTGGGTCATGATCATCGTTGTGATTACATATCGCTCAAATCCGTGAGGGAGACGGGCTCACCGTGACGGAGTCGCGCCGCCCATCGAGTCTGGCTTTGCTTTCGACACGAGTGCGTTGCGCCTATGGGCCAGAAATGTGCTGTATATCGCAAGGACTTGAAAGACCAGCAAGGTTATCTCATTGCGGGCGAGGGTGGCGGAGCCCAGGGGTGACGGAATTCTTGTGGAAGACGCGCAAGTACGACCCACGCACGTTGGGAAGAGAACCCAATCAATTCTGAACGATCTTTTGTTATCGCTACACCGACCCAGATACATGCAATAACCGACTTTACCCAACGAGAATGAAAATACAAGCGACCCGTATACATCTGCAGAGCGCGAAACATCACCAATCCTTCAGTTAAGTGTCGGTGTCTCCCAGTTGATCCACTGGCTCTCGCTCCAGGTGACACCATTGAACTGGTTGTTGCTCTCGAAGTAGTCGGTGCTGACGTCCTGACCGAGCAAGAACTTGTTGATGAAAGCGTTCAGCGAGCCGTCGAGCTGCGATGGCCACTGGCAGTGCGAGTGCCCGCCGACCTGCTCGAAGCCGTGGTTCTCCGGCACGCCCAGCGCCTCGTACACCGCGTGCGCCGCCGTCATGCACCCGAAGCTGCTCATCCCGCTGAGCCACACGTAGTCCGTGTTCGCGTACGAGATGAGCCCGCGCGGCGCGACGAGCGCCGCCAGCAAGTGGTGGTCGTACGGCAGCGAGTCGAGGTTGTTCACGTACTGGTCGAACCCGGCCGAGAACCAGCAGTTCTCGCCGACGATCTCCGTCGCGGTCTGCACCTGCGAGCCCTGCTGCTCCTCGTAGCGCGAGAGGCGCCAGCACGCGTCGCCGCCGGAGCCGGACTCCTGCGGGAGCGTGAGCGCGACGCGCGGCTCGAGCGCGCCGGCCATGAGCGCGCCCTTGCCGTTGCGGGAGCAGCCGGTGACGCCGACCGCGGCGGGGTTCAGCTTGGCGTCCGGCGTCGACTCGATGGCGTCGATGATGCGGCTGACGCCCCAGGCCCAGGCGGTCATCGCGCTCGCGTTCGAGCTGCTGCCGTAGAGATCGTAGAAGAGACCTTGGCCGCGGCTGGACGTGGAGTCTTGCTTTCCCATGGCCGAGTTCTGGAAGGACAGCGTCGCGACCTAGCAGAAGGTCAGCAAATGCCAGATGATGAACAGGCAAGTACTCACATTGCTAGGAATCGGCAGACTGGGGAACTCATACGCGATGATGACCGGCCAGCCCTCCGCAGGCGCAGTACCAGACGGATAGGTGATTGAGTTGTTGAACGTGATGGACTTGCCGCCGTAGCTGACCTGTACAGAGAGCGAGTTGCCCGACGCCGTGCCAGTGACGCTCTCCGGCTCCGGCGGTGCTGCGCCGGACTCGTAGCCCTGGATGAGCGCCAGAATCTGCGAGCGTCGGCACTCCCAGTCCTCTGCCGTCGTGACGGGCGAGCCATCGTTGAAGGTGAAGGGGTCAGGCAGCGCAGAGTTGCTGTAGCCAGAGACCGTGGCCGGCGTGTCGCAGTCCTGCGCTATACCATCCGTCAGTTACGGTGCATAATGACGAACTATCGAACCATACCTGAGGCGACGTTCGCGAAGGCGGCGATGGCGAGGAGAGCAGCAGACAACTTCATGGCGGACGACGGTTTGCTACCAGCACTGCAGACGACATAGTCCCCTCGTCGCGCTATATATCAGCGGAGAGAAAGATGCATAGAACGGACCCCAGCAGACCGAGGCGCTACCGGAGGAATGCTTGTATAGCACGCGAGATCGAGGAGGTGCGCTAGAATTCCGGTCGTTTGGGCAACGGCCCGCGAGGTCCCGCTACCCAGCCCCGCAGGATCGTCGGTGGAACAGAATATAGTTTGGCGGGGAAGAGTACATAGTATGACCCATCGAAGCCTGCTCCGCCTGATCTCGACGGGCTGACTCTGTTTCCTCGACCATCGACGCAGATCGTGGTCATGCGTGATGGCGTATAGAAGTGCCGGTCAATTTTCGGGACGGATGAGCGCAAAGGTAGACTCGGAGGCGTGTGCAGGTAACGAGATGTTCATAGCGATGGAGATTTTGGGATAGAATGTCGCTCGCCAAGACTGTGACTTGACTATAGATTCAAAGTATCCGTCAACGGGCACATGGGAGTAGCAGCGGAAAAACTGGTAAACTCGAGGCGGAAACGGAGCGCCGTAAGCTGGTCATGGAGGAGAGCGGTAGAATTCGGACTTGCATAGGTTTTCAACCATCGACGGGTAGCCCGCACGTAAATGTCCGGGACAAAGAGGTGATCAATGTCGGTCACGTCTTGGTCAAAATTATCTTTGAGCCCAAAAGGCTTTGCGTATTGACCATTCGCACAGAGACCTTGCAGTACTTTCGAAGACACTCAGGCTTCTGATCTGATATCGCAGATATGTGATGATCATGTTCGCGGGCGCGCAGTTTATGCAAAAAGTACAGAAAGAGCACTTGAGCATTGGTATCAGTGGGGTTCGAACCCACGCGACGAAACCGTCACCAGGAAACAGAGCAGGGCTCTTAAATCTGGCGCCTTAGACCACTCGGCCATGATACCTGCCCATTTGATTGTCCTCATTACAATCCAACCCGTTGACACGTCTCTCATCAATCCTCGCGAGGATTGGCAATGTTGCATATGCTGAAGGTCGCGACTCGGCGCTGAGTACGGTCATATCGCTCCCAATCAAGTACATTCATTAGAAAATTGTACCAACGACTCGACGACCACTGGATTCACTGTCCTCGCGTCACCATATGTTCACAGTGCGATATTCGGGCATGGCAAGTCGCAGAGTAGCTGCTAAGATTTGCCTGGACCTGATGTGAGTCGCAAGGCAATCTCCATTCAAGTATCTGAACCCGATGCGCGAAGTTGAACTTGTCACGTGAAGTCACGTTGGCACCTGAAGCGACGTGTCGTTCATGGTCTTGAAGCCGGCTCGAAAGCACGCTATAGACTTTGCTCAAGTCACAAGAGCTAGCTGCATAGATAGAAGGCCGTACATGGATGCGAAGAGTTGTACAGTACGGGTTGAGTCGCATTTCGCATGCCTTGCCAGACTTCGGTAAATTCCGAGAACCATCAGGCGTCTGCCAATGCCACGAAGATCATCTTCACTCCCTACCTCATCCCTGGAAATACCGTCTCGTGGTTTGTGTGGCTCGAGCTGGTCCTCTGAGCATACCCCCGTATATCAGCCACCATGCGCGGCATGCTCCTTTCCCTTTACGCCCTGGCGCTTTCGCTCGCGCCACTGGTTTCCGCCGCTCTGTCCATGCCCGAGGAGCCTCTGACGCCCGACAACTTCAAGTCAACCATCAAAGACGGTCTCTGGTTCATTGAGCACTTCTCCCCATATTGCGGGCACTGCAAGCACTTCTTCCCGACGTGGCAGCAGCTCGTGAAGGACGTAGCGAACGATCCGGCACAACCGCCTGTGTACCTGGCGCAGGTGAATTGCGCGGTCAATGGAGGTGCGTGGAAGAGACCATGCTCAATTCATCATCTTATCCCCCCGAAGATCTATGCAATGCGAACGGCGTACGGGGCTACCCCCAGCTCAACATGTTCTACAACGGAGAGTCGGTCGAGCAGTTCCGCGAAGCACGCGAGCTTGACATCCTCAAGGCCTTCATCCAAAAGCATCGTGACGCACACCAAGAAGATGCCAAATCTCCTCCCTCACCACCTCCCACCGAAGAGGCACCTGCACCAGTGGTCCTCAACCCCACCGGCACGGTTCTCGTCGCCGACGACAAGATCCTCCCCTCCGCCCTTGCCCTCGGTCCTGCGTTCATCAAGTTCTACGCGCCCTGGTGCGGCCACTGCAAGAAGCTTGCGCCTACCTGGGACCTTCTCGCGCAGCACATGCAGAACCGCCTGACGATCGCCGAGGTCGACTGCGAAGCGCACCCTGCGCTGTGCAAGTCGTACAACGTGAACGGATATCCGACGCTCGTGTACGTGAACCAGGCGGGCGTGCGCTCCGAGTACAACTCGGGGCGCAAGCTTGAGCAGTTGATCGCGTTCGTGGAGAAGGCGAGCGCACCCGCGGTGGTCGCGATCAAGCCCGACGAGCTTGAGACGCGCGTGAAGGAGGACGATGTCGCGTACTTACTCCTCCACCCTGCAGACGATACATCCATCATCGTAAGTCCTTCTTACTCCGTCCTCATCACTTACTGACCCCCCTCGCAGTCCACCGTCGCCCAAGCCGCCTCTCCCCTCCTCGGCTCTCCCCGCATCTACACCTCCCCCACCACTATCTTCCTCTCCCGCTTCCACATCCCCTCCTCCGCAAAGTGGGCCATCCTCGCCCTCAAGGACCACGACGCACTCACGCCCACCTCCGTCTTCTACGGCACCGCTACGACAGAGCTCTCCTCCGCGGAGACTGCCGCCCTCAGCCGCTGGCTCCTCGCGAACCGCCTCCCGACGGTCACCGAGCTTACACAGGACAGCTTCCAGGGCGTGATGAACGCGCCACAGAACCCGCTCGTCGTGATCGCGGCAGCGCACGGGAAGGCGACGCGCGAGCGGGTGCAGGAGCGCTTGCGGGACCTCGCAGCGAAGTGGCGCGCAAGGACGGCGGGTACGGGGCGCGCGGGGGCAAAGGACGCGACGGACTTGAACGGTCGGGAGATCGTGTTCACGTCCATGGATGCAGAGCGGTGGGGAGACTGGATTAAGAGCATGTATGGCATTAAGGAGACGAAGGTGAAGGATCTCGACGACGTTCCGGTGGTCATCGCCGACCACAAGGTGAGAGTTATTTCCTGTGATCTGCTGCTTATGCTCACCCCCACTTCAGAACCTCATCTACTACGATGACGACGGCCACGGCTCCTCTCTTCACCTCAGCGCCTCGTCACTGCTGCCCGCGATCGAGGCGGCTGCATCAGGCAAGCTCTCGCCCAAGAACTCGGAGAACTTCCTCGAACGCATGGCAAGAGTGAGTCTTTTTTTCTCAGCCTTGGACCCCGCTCCGCATTGCCGTGTCTCACCTTACCCTACAGTACGTCAACGCCAAAATCACCTCCGCCGAGTCGTATATCGTCGAGCACCCAGGGCACCTCGTGTTCATCGTCGTCGCTGCGGTAGGCATGGTAGGCTGGGTAGTGAAGCGCGTCGTACTCGACGCTCCCGGAGACGAGTATGGGTACAATCAGAAGGGCAGGAGAGTAGATTAATGTGTATGTTGGTGTTGGGTTATACTCTAGACCTATTTATTGGCAACATGAGAAGATCTGAAGAGCAGTGAAGAGACTCCAGCACATTCAGCACTGAAAGTTCTCTATCAGGATTTGGAACACTGTTGAGCTCAGGGCTCCAAGTATGGAGGCTAGGGGACGTGTGCTTTCTTCTGCGCAGCTGTTGCACTCAGTTCGTAGCTTCTGCACTTCATCTCGAATGCGAGCGAGAGGCGCCCTATGGTTGTAAATTCTGGACAAAAACCGTGGTTAGTGAATCAGTAAGCAGTAGTGATTCGAGCGCTTGCCTCGATCACTACTGCTTTCGTTCTAGACTCGTGAACCAGTTTCCGCTCGCAGCCGCGGTCCATCACTGGTTTGGCAGGTGCACATGGGAGAAGACAAATGGACCGCGAGCTTGCGAGCGGACTGGGCACACCCGTGCAGCAAGTCACAAAAGGGGTCAGGACCCCTGCCTGACTTCGTGATATACGCGTCGCAGAGCCACAACGAGGAGTAGCGCGTCATGTACAGACCCGACTCGTATCCCACATATATGCACAAGTAGATAACATGATGGCATGCATTAGAGTATTCTGGGGAAAGGCAATACAGGACACTACGAGACAGAGCGGGAGCCGTGCAAACCCCGGGCGCATGCACAAATGACGGTGGCGCGCTGGACGACATCGACAATACGGGTCTGCCCATGGCTGAGCACGACACGCACCTTGCCGGACACCATTGTCTGGTCTATCCAGCATGCGCCACCGAGCTGGCTAACGATGCACTTGCTCGCTAAAGTGACGGCGTCGAGTTTGAGTGAAGCACCGTGAGCGGGTGCGTAATCGACGATCTGCATGACGGGCTGTTCGAAGAAAGCCGTCATGGCCAAACTCGACGGCGCCGCGGACGGACGCGTATACCATCCGCCTCGCGAAGATGCAGATGGTGGCGGAGGGCGATGGTGCTCGAGTGTTGACGATGTTGGCCGGTCCGTAAAATAAGGTGGTGCGTGATGATGAGAGGTGTCCGGGGAGGCCATATATTCGCGCTGCGACACAGGTGTCACAAGTGTCCCTAGCTGCGTGCCGCGAGCTAGAGACTGCCGGTGAGCTGACGAAGGGGGCGTAGGGAGAGCGTGTTGAGATGTACTGGAGTGGTGGAATGTGCTCATGGACGGCGTTGAGCTTTGTTGCCAAGTAGGGGGCGGGTAAGCTTCTCGTCGGGGACGCAGATCCGCGGGACCGTCGCTCTGGTCGCGTTCGACACGAGCACGGAGGAATTGTGATGCTGATGGGTATCCCGAAAAGCGGTAGGCGGCGGCCCGCGCTGCATGAGAGTCGGCGTCGTCGCGGACATGCGCCGCAAGAGGCGGCGGAGGATGAGCTCGTGCGTAAGGTACCGCAAGCCCGTCATGCATGGCTGCTTGTGCGCCGGTGGAGCAACGATCGGGGGCGGGAGCGATTGGGCGAGCAGTAGGCGGGCCACCCGCCAATGATTCCTGCTGCGCGTTCGAGGTGGCAGCAGTTGGGGGCTGCAGGACCTTCTAAAAGTCAGCAAAGCAGAACTTCACGTATAGCCCTCCACGTACCTCATTCATACGGCCCCCAACTGCCCTAGAGGGCGCGGCACCCTCTTCTGCCACCTTTTGTTTCTTGGTGCCGCGCATATCGTCGATAGGGCCTCCACGCATCCGTCCGCGCTTCGTAGATGAAGCCGCTTCGCTCGCCGACACACCTTCTCCAGCGACGTGCGGCACCTCACGAGGCTTCGGCGCTCCCCGCTTCCTCTTCGGTTTCGCTGGGTCATTGGCAGTCTTCGTGCCGGCGCGTTTGCGGGTGTTCGCTGGAGCAGTCCCGCCTCTACCGGACCTCAGCGCGTCGGGAGCGGAGACGGTGCTTTGGGGCGGTTGATCGACTGGTTCCGTGCATGCTGAGAGGTCGGCGGACGGGATCTGCGTAGGGGGAATGGGAAGGGAGGCGTCGTCGTCGTGATGGTGGGAGCTCTGGTCAACCACGTAATCGACAAGTTGCTGACCAAATTTGTCCCAAAACAGCCACTGGGACTTCAGCAACTTCCTCGCGTGTTGCTGCATGTTATCGCGCTTCAGGATCGCCATCTTGTCCACGATGTACGTCGGCAGGAAGCACTCGGGCCCCATCGAACACTCGGCATGCCCACGCTCGCACATGTCCTCCCTCCAGTCATCGATGGCATGCCACAGCTCGGCCGACTTGGAGGCCTCGTAAGCGAGTTTTGGCTCAGCCGCAACACCCGAGGCCTTCTTCCTAGCGCGGACAAGGTCGAGGAGCTCCGGATTGCAGATGTCGCAGCACGGTACGGTCGGACGAGCTAGATATATAGTCAATACAAGTTCTCTGCAAGCACTTTCTCTACGCACCGGGACTGGGATTGTTGAAGACCTCATTCAGTACTAAGCGGCGGCAGCCCTTCGTCTGCACAAAATGATACATCCCTTCCGTCTCGTCGTCTGGCTCGATCGGCAACTGCGTCCAGGTCGAGAGCGGGAAGGAATCTTTACCGTTATGAGCGCCTCGGCCACGGCCGTGAGCCTTGGCATATACCCTCGTCTCTTTAGTCGACAGGGTTGGCGGCTTGACAACTCGACGGGCATTGGCGGTCGCTCTGTCGTCCGCCTCATCTGCCTCGACCGCAATGACTTTATTATAAGCCGCTGACTCGACGAGCAAAACCGCATAGCCCGCCAATGATGCTCGCACCGCACGCCCTGCGCGCTGCATGAACATAGATAGCTTCTCCGTCGTTCTCCACTGAATGATCCAGATGATGTCTGGCATGTTGCAACCCTTAAATGCGCGGATGAGATCGTTGCGAGCGAAGCAATATAGTTCTGTATACTTACCATACCAGCTGCATCCGTGCAGACTAGGATACGGATGATGCCCTGTCGGAAAAGATCCATGGCTAAATCGCGGTAGCCCTCGCTCTGGACCGCGTTGAAGGGGCGCACGGCGCTGTGTAGGTGCTCAGGAAGTAGGGAGTGTAGGTGCTGAATGATCTCTTGACCCGTGGTGATGTTGTCGGCATATATCCAGGTTTTTGGTATATCCTCTGCCCGGGAGACATTCGCTGGGATGACGAAGTCCAAGTCGTTGTACGTGTTCATGGGATGGTGCATCGCTCGCACGATCAGGGAGACGTTGGGCCTGTCGTTGCCTATATTGAGATGGAGGTATGGTCGAGGCGGGGAACGGCTGAGTTGGAGGGTGTCTACGACCGTGCGAATGACCCGCGAAGTCAAAGTCGCGGAGAGGGCAATGATCGGAGTGTCGCGCGGGAGGAAAGCACGAATGAAACCGATGCTGCCATAGCATTTGCGGAATTCCGCACCCCAGAACGAGATACAGTGCGCTTCGTCCACGATCACGGAGTAGACACGGCTGGTGAAGCGCTGATTGCGCAACACGCAGTCCGTGAACGGCTTCGACGCGAGCATCTCCGGCGATAGCAAGACGACACAAAAGTCGCCGTTCAGGATGCGCTATATGGGATCCGATTAGTGCTCAAGGAAAAGAAAGAATGCCGAAGGGACTCACCTTCAGCTGAGAGGTCCCCTTGATGTCCACTGAGCTCTTAGAGCTGTTGAGCGCTGTTGCGCTTACTCCATAGTCCTTTTCGAAGCTTTTGGCCTGTAGCCGCATAAGCGGGATCACCTGCGAGACTGACAGGACCACGCACCATCTCGTTCATCAACGCTATCAAGGGAGAGACCATGAGTGTCGTCCTCCCCGCGTTCTTCTCCAAGACGTAGGGGGCGCTAGCCACCAGAGTCTTTCCCGAACCTGTCGGCGCCTGGCATACTGCGTCTTGACCTTCCTCTTGAGCCTGCGCAAGCCGAAGTTGAAAGTCTCGCGGGTCAAGTCCATGAAGTTGCTGATCCCGTATCCGCTCTCGAAGCTCGGCTAGCTGAGTCTGAGTCATCGGCCCATGGGTTGGAGGGGGATCGGCGGCAGCCTGCGTTTGCAGACGTTCAGCGCGATGCGCCGACGAGGGAGGCTGTGTAGGCGCCATGACGAAGGGGGGAGGAGGCGAAGGTCCAAAAAAGGAATTCAAGATAAGGGGCCGACGATCGCTCAGTCCGCGCCGTCATATCCCCTCCTAAATTCGTGTACAGGTAGCCATTTACCTACGAGAATAGTCAGTGTTGCCCTTGCTGCAAAGAAAATACAAGCTAACCTATGGCTCTACAGCCAATGGCAGACCCACCGCCCCCATTATCGCCTCTCACTCCGGTATCCGATGCCCATGAGCCGTTCCCTGAACCTCCACCTTGGCCTCCTCCTGTATCCCCTCGCCTGCCACCCAGTTCGCCGCCACGATCTTCTCCCTATCAGTTCAGAGGCATATTGAGAAGCGCACCATACACAATACCACAAGGCTCAGACGACGAGGACATGAGCCTGCCACCTTCGCGTGAGTCAGCTATCATGCTGGAGCGATTAAAATCTAATGAACGGGTCAGCAACTCCGAGACGCGCCCAGCCTCAAGCCCTGCCAGCTCGCCCTCCATCGCCTCGCGCTCCTCGAGCTGGTCTTCGACAAACTCCCCCGAAGTACAGAGGGCGCGCTCTCAATGCCCACGGGATGTACGACTCCTCGCCTGTGCTTGACACCAGAGACTCCCGACGAAAAGCTGCTCAGAACGCACGAGACGAAGCTCAAATGCGGCGCGAGGAGCAGGCGGCAGCGGAGGCCGAGCAGGCGGCGCGTCTTGCCGAGGCCGTACGGGAGGCGAAGTTGGCGGCCATCGAAAATGCATTGGATTGCCTTACGCGAGGAGGCGCGAGCCTGGGAGATCTTCTTCTGCACGTCTTTGGCGAGGGCCGTGATCACAAATGGCGCTGGTGGAACTTCTTCAAGGAGACATCTGTGGTCGATAATGTGATTAGTGCGATGGCGTCGAAGCACTACAACTTACCACGGGCGCGCGCGAAAGCAGAGGGTGCTATGCTCAACGTGATCGTGCACACCGTCGAACATGAGGCGCGGCGCATCACTCGCGCTGGCACCCTTCGTCCTCCGAAGGAGGTGGACGAGAACTTCGTCCTGGGATTTAAATTCCACGGCCTCGTCGATACTATCCTTCCCCAATGTCCAACGATTGCGAGGCTTCTGCTTGGTATCTGTCAAACAAGGAGGCAGACCAAGGACTGTACGCTGGAGAAGCTAGATCACAAGCGATTCGTGAGTCATCTATTTAGCGAACCTCTCGTAGACATGCTTACCTTGACTCGCAGCTAACCGCCATCTACGCCGCGCTGCTTCTAGGTGAACGAAGTCAGTATAACTCGTGGTTTCGCCACGTCTTCGGCCTCTACCTGTATTCCCAGGGCGCATCTCGCCAGTTGATCACTGTGTTAAATCACCTGGGAATCAGTATGAGCTACGTCACAATAGTAGGACGAGGCGGAAATCTCGGTGCGGTGCCCGAGCGACCAGAGGTCGCCGCGCAAGATGGTACTGAGGAAGAGGCAGTGGAAGGTGCACCTACATCAGCATCCATCAACGACGGACTTCCGAATACAGCAAGACCTCTCCGAGACCTGCGTCAGCAAGCTGCGAAGCCGGGAACACTGCAGTCACTCTCACTTCAGATGCGGGAGAAAGCGAGGGAGATGGCGAGGAACTCGGACTTCATGGTGGTCTACGACAACATCAATATGATGTGGAGGGTCGCCGAGCAGATACTGGGGCGTACCGGTAAGTCCTAGAGCGGCCATGGTTGTCGATCCTTGACCATCATTGCTGACTTGTACTGCAGACTCGATGGAGAGCGGGACTTGTGCAACGGCCATGCCACTGCACGATGCAGACCCGAAGCACCTTGACCCTGCAGTGTTCTATCAGCACTTCGATGACGCTGAAAAGCTCGAGGCCACGGACCTGATGCACACAGAGGAATACAAGGCCCAACTGCGCCGGAACCTGGTACACACGGTGCTTCGGATTATCGTGCGCCGAGGTGGTGACGCGATGAGGAAGAAGTTCGGGAAGGAGGTTCGGGAAAGCCAGCCGTCGACGTCGTCGAAGATCCCTGTTCACGCCACAAAGATCCATCCGCTCCCGACTATGCACATCGACGAGCAATCAAGGCAGGGGAATGCAGACTTGATCACCGAGATCATGGACGAGCTGGGCCAGGCGACATCAGACACCGAGCGCGCGGACAAGGTTCGTCTTGTAGCCGGAGATCAACTTTCAATGGCGCGCATTCGTGAAGTTGGCGTAGCTCGCGCGGGAAACGACGGCAACGCGGCGTCCCTGCGTCATCTGCTCTTGACGCCTGGTTTCTTCCATTACAAGATGTCCGCCACCGCCGGCTTAATGCAGACGTACCTTGGTACCAAGAACCGCGACCTATCGAACCCTGCATCAATACACGCCCACAATACTCTCCTTCGCCGCAAGCCGCTCACTGCCACGTCCCTTCCTCCGTTTCGCCAATGCCGCGATATTCTCTTCATCTCTGGCGACGCGAGGATCTTGACTGTCCTTCTGAAAGTATCAGGCAAAGCGTCACTCGAGGAATACGCGGCGGATGCGGATATCACCTTCGACGTTCTGCAGCGTCACGCCGAACAGATTGTCGACCAGTACGCAAACCCGGAAGTCGCTCGAAAACTTCGGAGGGCTCGAGACCGTGGCAACGTGGAGGCGGGAGATATGGTCTTCGAGAACGCTGTCCTGTTCCTCCGAGATGTGCTTCTTCTGCGCGAGTTTACGGATGCGATCAAGGGAGGCGACTCGGGCCGTATCATCACTGTGCTCGAGTCCTGGGTGTTCAGCTATCGCGCGCAAGGTCGGCCCCAATACGCGGGGGAAACACTACGCATACTTCACAACTACAAGAAGGTCTGGCCTCCCGGTATTCGGTAAGCACATGTGCGAGACAAGTCCATTGAGATACTCACCAAACACAGTGATATTATGCTGCGAAACTGGCTCGTGAACACGACGGGGAAGCCGAACGCTTTCCTCGAAGTGGACCTCTTGCAGGAGCACCTGAATTATTGGATCAAGGTGAGTCTTGTCGATACCATACGCGTGCGAGGGTACTAATCTGGCGACTGCAGACGTACTTTCAGGCGCACGGGAGCAACGCCTCGTGGGAGTGGTTGGCCACGGTCTCGCCATGTGTTATTGTCCTGCGCTCGCTGGCAAACGAGATCAACGACGCGCTCGGTTCAAAGCAGGGAAAGCGGCACACGGCGCCCGACCTTACCAAAGATATCCACGAACTCATGGCAAGTCTGCAAAAGCACAACGTCTACGAGGTCGTTCCGGGACGTCGATTCGACGCCGACGACTTGAGCCTCGTAGATGATGCCGTGTCTACGGGCTTTGTTAAGCTCATCCAACCGACTGCGAAAGGAACGTCGCCGTTGGACGATTATAACACGGCGTTCACGCGCCTTCAGCGCGCCTACCGCATCACGCCTATTGTGGGCGGTCCGCCGACCTCTTCAGAGGCAACCTCGAGCGAAACCGTATCCTCCAATACCGCATCTGCTCCTTTAGGTGCGTCGTGGCATTTGCAGTACTCGACTGTGTAAGGAGAGGCTTACTTATATGCAGAAACGCGCTCGCGGTCTCCTACTCCGGATGGCAATGATGACACGCCTCGCGGCGTGGATCAGGAGGACAGCGAGGAGACAGGCATCCCCTTCTTGCAGGACGACGCGGGTCTTCCCAACGACGAGAAGGTGCAGGAGTTCGATCTGAACAAATGGTTCGATGATTACGAGTTGAGCGACGATGAGGACGACCTCTTGGATGTAGATGCGGACGGCGAGACGGACCCGGACGCGTTGTCGAACAAGGACTCCGACGTGGAGAGCATCAGCGATGAGGAGGCTGCCTCAAATGCCGCGCCCGGCGAGGGTCTCTCCAGCGACAGCGAGGGCTTCGGTGAGGATCTCGACGCAATTGGATATCACTAGTGAATACTGCTTCGACGGCCTGCAATGTATCGTATATACCACCTAAGTTCCATCTCCAATCGACATCGGGGTCTAAGTAGTACGGGATTCCCCAGTACGAGAAGTGCAGGCGCGCCGCCGCTGGAACACGCTCTTGTTTTCACTAAGTCAGGCAGGGGTCATGACCC